CCTTGGAATTTGCCGAAGATACTACTGGTGGTCATATTTCGGAAACAATTGTTGGTGCACCGGCTGCTTGGACTTGGTTAGAACAAAGATTTGAAGGAAAGAAACCAGTTAAAGGTTGTTCTTATAAAACTAGAGCATCTAATTTCCTTTATCCAGGAATTAAACCAACCACTTTGAAATTCTTCCAATCTTTGTTTGAAACTTTCTTGGGTAGTCCTCTCGGTCCATTCGATGATTCTAAACTTTGATAAACTTCCTTATGACATTTTGAGATTTTGAATGTATATAAATAGATTATTGAATTCATATGGCATGTTTCTATTACTCATTGGGTTTGTGTCAAATGATATCTCTACAAATTGTGCGCTACCAATAACCAGCAAGTTTGTGCCCAGGGAAGTTGAGGTGCTTATTATGTCTCGATCAATCCATCATCAATCCAGGATCACAACACATATATCAAGATTGTGAAATCTCTAAAAAGATATGGAAACAATATTCACCAGATCATCACCTAATCTTGCGAAATATTATAGGCACCACCCACTTAAATCCAACAACATACCTTAAAGTGGATCGATACATTAAAACCATCACATATATATGGAAACGTCGACGACAATCCAACAAAGTATTGAGTCCATTAACGGACAAACAAATACTTCATCTTATTCGAACGGTCCCCCTTACAATTAACAAATATTATTAAGATATAAACTAACCAAATTAATAATAACATTTATATTAAAAAGAAAAAAAAAAAAGTATAAATTAAATAAATATATAACAAACACTAACAACCTCCTTTGAGTTTACTCAATGGGAGCAGGTTTTTCTGTATAGTTTTTATAAATTGTATAGCTTTCCTAATTGATATGAGTAAAAAAAAAAAAAGTTGAGGAACTAATGGTTCTAGGAATTACAAAACTAAGGCACTATCCAGTACCCTTCATAACAGAAGATGTTTTTCAACTTAGTGAATTGTGTATTATATGTGTTTTCGTATCGTTTGTTGATTTACCCCACATTCTACTTGAAAGAAATGGACTTTTTCTAGAACGAAAATGCTTGCAATTAATTCTATCAACTCGCTTAAGTCGACTTACTTCCACGAGGAAATTTATATTAATTTTGTATAAACTAAACTATGTCTATTGTATTCAATCACATGAGTCTAGATCTATTAATTTTCTCCACTTGATAAAATTATTTTTTTGGTTATTGTAGTTGTTCCTCGGGTTCCACCGTTATCCGCTAATTAACTTTGTATGAGAGAATTAGTTAGTGAACAGAAAAATGATGTTTCATTTCAGGTATTCAAATATTTCAGCAACTCTTCTTTCTGAAAATTTACAGTTGAATATTCCAAGTCAAAGGCACTTTACTTGAAATTCATATATAAAAGGTTATATCTCATAGAATATCGATACTTCGCATTAGCTGGTTCCTTTTCAAATATATAGTTGTATTTCACATTTGCGTTTTCCGTTAAAACACACAGGTTACCCTCCCCCAGATATATTATAATAGACAAGAATCTTATACGGTTAAAAAAGTAGAAATCGTCCAAAGAAATCTTCTTTATTTTCTAAGATTATTATTACAACTACAGTTGCTGCATCAGTATATGTTTTAATTAATGAATTTGTTATTAAGAAATTTAGAAATTATCAAAATTCTTTGAGACAAGAATTATTATTTAAACGACAAATTAAACAACGATTTTTACAAACTCAACAAGATTGCTATTATACAATATTAGCTTTATTACCTGTGTTAACTGGTCCTATTGTTGAATATTTACCTATTGAATTAATTACTCAAGCATTAAGATTGAAAAAGACGGAAAAGGCTAAAGTTCATACAGAATTAACTAGTGAAAATTTGAATCTTTTAGAAAATAATCATGATCCTGAATCAAGTTTATCTCATTATATGAATATGTCAAAAATTGAATTATGGAATTTATTAAAAATTAAAACTATAACTAGAACATTAACATTAATGTATTCAATTTCTGGTTTATTATTGATTAGTAAATTACAATTGAATATTTTAGCAAGAAGATCATATTTAGAATCGGCTATATTAATGGCAGGAGTTAAATCAGTTAATAATGATGTTGATCCTCATGAAAATTATATAACTGAACAAAGTTATCTTTCATTAAGTTGGTGGTTATTAAATAAAGGTTGGATAAATCTTAATTCAATTATTGAAGCATTAGCCACTAAAAGATTTGATAAGATTACTCCCAAACAAGAATTAACTATGGGAGAATTCGATTCTTTATTACAAGATATTATAACTGAAATTAATACCAATAATCGAGAATTCATATTGGCTAATTTATTCCCAATTAATTATTCTGATTTATTAGAAACTATGATGAATACAAATCCTGACTTAATTCATCAATTAGAAATTCCTGAATCTAATTTATTAAAATTAATTAATGAAACTAACTCAATCATGTTGGATAGTAATGTTTATTTCTTTGATTTATTAAATACTTTGATTTTAACCAATTTGAATATTTTATCATCAAATTTATCAATGGGTTTGGGCAATAACAATATGGGTTCAAGTTTATTACTTTCAACTGGTAATTTACAACAAGATGAAGAAAATAAGATCGTAGAAATTCCCAATAAGAGTTATAAATTAGCTAATTTCTTGGCTCAACTTTCAATTCAAAATGGAATTATGATGGATAATGATAATCTTAAAGGAGAATTGCCAACTAAATCACAAGAACAATTGGATGAAGATGATATACAAGGGTTTATTAATAATTTGACTACATTAACTGGAGATCAAGAGCATGGAGAAGAAGAATTATCGGGTAATGTTTATATTAATAATTTGAATCAATTGGATGAATTAGATGATTTTAGTGCAGGAATTTATTCAAATTTTGAATAGATAAACAGAGATGGGTTATGGGGTTTTTGAACTAAAAAAGTTTATTCTCCCTTCCCCTTTCGAAGTGGACTTTACTGTTTAATTTAATATGTAAAAATAATAAACGCATATAAACTTTCACCTTATAGTACACATTTAACTTTGCTCTACATAGCGTAACAAAAGAAGCTTTAAATTTTGTAGGAGATTTTTTTTCCGTCTTTGAAAACTGAATTTCGCGCTCTTTCAATCAAACCAGAAAATAAATGGCAATTTCAATTTCATTTTCTCATTTTCTCTCCCTTTTCACATCCCCATAGTATTAACTGTGTAAGAATAATAATCAATAACTAATAAATGTCTTCCTCTGGTCCAAAAGTCATCATTATCTCATCTGATGAAGAAAAATTCCCAGTTGATCAACAAATTGCCGAAAAGTCAATCTTGATCAAAAATATGATTAATGATTTAAACCCAGATGGATTACAAGAAGATTTTGAAATCCCAACTCCAAACGTCAGAGCATCTGTCTTATCCAAAGTCTTGGAATGGTGTGAACATCATAGAAACACCCAATTTCCAGAAGATGAAGATGATGATATTAAGAAATCTGTTCCTGTTGAAGAATGGGATAGAAGTTTTTTGAAAGTTGATCAAGAAATGTTATATGAAATTATTTTAGCTGCTAATTATTTAAATATTAAACCTTTATTAGAATCTGGTTGTAAGATGGTTGCTGAGATGATTAAGAGTAAGAGTCCTGAAGAATTGAGAAGGACNAATCTGGTTGTAAGATGGTTGCTGAGATGATTAAGAGTAAGAGTCCTGAAGAATTAAGAAGGACTTTTAATATTGTAAATGATTTTACTCCTGAAGAAGAAGATGCTATTAGAAGAGAAAATGAATGGGCCGAAGATAGATAGAAATCTCTGTTTCTTCTTTTGTTATTTGCTTGTGTGTATGAGCTCTTATTAGTATAAAATGTATACTCTTGTTATGATATCTATTGTTTTGTAGTTAATCTTTGTAGGGTCAATATCTCTGAATTTCTAGCCATGTGGTTTTCCAATGGACTGAATATTTTACGCGTACTGCTCCCACAATTTCTATACGATTTAAATTTTCAAAAGAATTAGATCCCCCTGAATTACCAGCCAAAGCTTATTCCAACAACACTCATATCAAAACATCAACAACATGTCTTCATCTCCACAAGTCATACTTATATCTTCAGATGAGATAAAATTCCCAGTTGATCAACAAATTGCCGAAAAATCAATCTTAATCAAAAACATGATTAATGATTTAAACCCAGATGGATTACAAGAAGACTTTGAAGTCCCAATTAGCAATGTCAAATCAACAGTATTATCAAAAGTACTAGAATGGTGTGAACACTACCGCGACACTAACTTCCAAGACGACGACGACGAGGATGATGATATTAAAAAAGCCATTCCGGTTGAAGAATGGGATAAGAAGTTCTTGACTTTTGATAATGATGATGAATTGTTATTTGATATTATTACTGCGGCTAATTTCTTAAATATTAAACCATTATTAGAAACTGGATGTAAAATGGTTGCTGATTTGATTATGAAGAAATCTCCTGAAGAATTAAGAAGAACTTTTAGAGATGTTGAATTTCCTTCTCCTGAGAATGAAACTAGAAGAGAGAATGAATGGGCTGAAGATAGATGAACAGTTGGATTGTTTTAATTTAAATATGGTTTATAGTGTTATTTGATTTAATAAATTATTATGTATGTTATGTTTCATATTATGGTTGGTTACTACTGCACTTTATGTGACGAGTGGCTGCTGCCAAAAGTGGAACAATTTTCCTGGAGCCATAGTTGACCCTTAACAGATATATCATTCTTCATATATAGCCGACATATTCCTCTATAAGCTATCTCTTCTTCTTTTCAATCGCACAAGAAGATGGATGTAGTATTTAACTCCCTTTATTTGACCACGCAGAAGGTGGATCAGAGAGCACTAGAAAAGAAACTAACGGTGTATGAGGAAACGTATAAGAGAGCTCGTGACCTGGAAATTGACATAAGATGGAGAAGAGTATACTTCTTATCTCATAATTCCCAACCTCATTCCACAACAGTTGAAGATATAAAATAAAAATAAAAGGAAAAGATAAAGCTCCTCAGTTACAAGCAGAAAACATCGACAATTGAGTATACCATAATAGAATCACCGGGAAAACTTGCACATTTAATGAAAGATCCGTGGGTGTTTTTTGTAGCCCAGGAATTCGTTCTGTGACTCTCNGGGAAAACTTGCACATTTAATGAAAGATCCGTGGGTGTTTTTTGTAGCCCAGGAATTCGTTCTGTGACTCTCAATCTATCTAACTAGTCTTACAGGTATTACATACTCCTTCATTTCTACACTCTCTTCTTCTACGCTACTATAAAGAAAAGACCCAACAATAAAAGCTATTTGATAGAAAGCGGGAAAAAAAAAGGGAAAACTGAGAAAATAAGGGAAATAGAGAGAAAAAAAAAAAAAAAAAAAACCAGATTTTAAAAAACTCAAAAGAAAAACAGAAATTTCTTGCAACCAAAATATTTTACGAATTCTTTTTTAGCATCACACACTTTAAATTTCAATTAGTTACTTACTTATTACAGTTACACTATCAACTCCTCCGCATAGACAACTAATCAAAGTATCACTGACGTCACTTTGATACACTCATCAATAGATCCATTTTTATACCCTCATTTTGTATTTTGCAAACTAATCTGATAAGCCCAACATGTCGTCACGTTCTTTATCCACATCCACCACCACCACCACCTCAACCTCCTCCGCCAACAACAAAACCAACAACTCAAAATCAAATACACAATTTCAACCTTATCAACTACAAACAATAGCAAACCTTCCAATAGATGAATTAACTTCATTAGAATCCAACATTTCCCAAGAGTTTAAACAATTATCTCAAGAATATTTACGTAGTCGATTAAATCGAATAAATGCTATGATTGAAAAACTTATAATTCTGATTAGATTAGCTGGTAATAATGATAAGAATTGGTTTAAGATTTTTAATTTTGAAATTGAAACTATTAATAATATCAAAACAAATTTTGAAGATTTAATTTTAGAAAGTTTAGGTGTTGTTAATAATAATAGAATTGATATTTTAAAATCTTTAGATGAATATGAAACTGAATTAAAAGAGATTTTTAAAAGTTTACAAAGTCCTTTAGATTTTGATGATATGTTAAATAACAATAAGGAAAAGAAAACTACACAATCATCATTAGATAAATTATTACCATTTCCATATCTTTTTAATCAAGTTTTTCAACCTCATAAAGATCTTTTAAATATGATTATAAATGAAAAAAATTATCAAGCTGAATTAATTAAGAATAATCTGAAGGGGAATTCAGTTATAATTTGGAAACAATATTATCATGATATGTTACGTAAGAAGCAAGAACTTATTCAACTGACAAATGATGAATTATATGAATTATATCAAGAATTCCATCATATGAATATTCAACGGAAATATATCAATCATGCAAACAAAATATATTTCCGTTCTGTAGTTAATCCAATGGAAGTTATCGAATCAACCGAACAGCTCCGAAATGAAGAAGAAGAAAACGACGCTGATGAACAAGAACAACAACAACAACAACCAAAACAAGAAGAACAACAATCAATCACAAAAGTAAATTCACTCAATACTAAAGATTTATCAAAACTCATAAAATATAATCATGATTCAGATTATGTTAATCTAGATACAAGATTTCTTCCTCATAAAAATAGAATTGAATTAACCACGATAAGAAAATCAATTATTGATAAAACTTCAAGAATTTGTAAAGTTCCTCATATGAGAAAAATGTTAATCCATAAGACATACCCCAAGGAAGAGAATTTAATTTTACTGAAACGTCCTTGTGAAGGGTTGGATAGCTATCAAGATGATGATATTGATCAAGATATTTGGTTGATCCGTAGTCGGATTCAAAAAGGGGTTCAAACTGAACGGATTGATGGGGATGAAGAAGAAGAAGAAGAAGAGGATGGGGAAGATGCAGAGGGTGGTGGCTCTGAAGAATCTGACATGGAAGAGGAAGAAGAACTGGAAGAGGGTGAAGATGAAGACATGAGTTCCGAGGATGATTCTGAATATATTGATGAAACGGAATATCAGGAATTATACAACTTATCCCCAGAACAACGAGAACTTCGTAATGAATATAAACGATTATTAAATTCATCCTCATCATCATCTAACCCCAGGAACACAACCTTAAAATGGCGTTCCATACCTCCATTAGAGAAATTTCAAATTTTGTAATACCGAATGTGTATTTTATTTTATGTATATTATTATATAATTATATCTGATTAATCCTTTTCTAGAAGAATACTTGCATTTTTCAAATTTGCTTCCTCAATAGACAAATCCAAAGAATCTATAAATTTAAATGATTTATCTGAACTATTAGATAAATTAAATCTATCATTTGATTCAAGACCATATTCTGCCGATTGAGTTTCTAATACCCATTTCAACCATTCATAGATTATAATTACATGATCTGATGGTTGTAATTTTCGTACTAATCTCTTCCCATTCGGGAATCTAATTTGTACTCTAGTAAATGGTTGTGATGTTGGTTCTTCATGATTCACGGGCTTGATTGCATCGAATGGATCTTGTGGAGCAGCCGCAATAGCTTCTGGTTCTGGAGATGATGGAACTTCAGGCGCATCATCTTCATTTTCATCACTTTCATCTAACACAATTGCGTCATCGGCAGAAGCACCCTGTTTTCCTTGCATGGATCTCCTCAATGCCAATTCAATCTGTTGTTCTTCACTTAAACTATCCGGATCAATTCTAGGTTCATGACTCACCAAAGGATTAGTTGAATCTGGTGAAAGGGAAAATTGATCCAAGAAATCCTGGACATCCTTAATCCAATCATTCACAATGGGCACTTGTCCATCCTGCCATTTTTTCATTCGTTCACCTGTCAATGGATCCAATATGGCTAAATGAGGGAATTGATCAGCATGATAGAAATTCACATATGTTTCACCATTATTTGAATCAGATTGATATTGTAAAAAAATGAAATTATCTTTGACGATTGATTTAATACGTTCATTTGACCAAAAATCACGATTCATGACTTGACATTGGAATTCTCCTGAATCTTGGATATTTATTAAGATCCATTTATTGGATGTTTTGGCTAATTGTTTAGCTTGGTCGAGATTTGTCATTGTCATTAAATCAAAGGGAGGTCTGAAAAGATTGGCTAATCTTCTTTGAGTGGATGTGAGTTCTGATTCACGAGTTTGATGGATTCTTGAACGACGATTACGGGGGAGGATGGGCACGGTATTGTCATCATCGGAGATATTCATATCATCATCGTCTTCATTGGCGTCATTCGCGTCATAATAATGACCATGTGCTACATCTTCTTCTTCATCATGTCCGAGGAATTCATCATCCTCATCACTACCAAAGGTTTGTCGTTGATGGAAAACGCCCTGTCTTCGACTACCAAACACATCAACCGGGCGATTTTGGAATTGACCAGGATGGAAAAATCCAGCAGAGGGGTCAATTAACATTTCATGTCTATGAATATTTGTATCTGCTTCCCGGACATCATCTTCTGTATTAGTGGCATATGCTTCTTGTTGTAATTTCCGAGCTAATTCTTCATCATCCTCTGCAGTATTAGAAAGCCCACCACCACTGCTGGTGGTAGTTGGTTTTGTGGTGGCAGATTGTCCTGATTCCATGAATAAGGTGACTGCATATTCTAAATCACCATTAGTCAATTCTAAGAATTGTTTGGCGATTGATTCATCTTCTATGCCTGTGACAGCTAAGAAGGTAGGTATTTGTTCATCCATTGTATTAGTTCTTTAGTGTATATGCTTCTTCAATTGTTTACAAATCCTTGAAAGTTTAAATTGAAAATTGATATTGAAGAAAGAAATCAGTAAGAGAGAATTGATACTGCAAGCAAATGGCAAATTGTTAAGCCAAAAAAAAAAAAATCTCTTAGGCAAAAATGTCGTGACAATGTCGGAGAAAAGCGTGACCTAAAAATCGACAAGAATAGATCTACGACATTAATAACCGGTTTTTTCCTAACAATGAGTCACACCATCAACATTCATCATCATCTACCCCATACTTTTTTGAGAAATCCGTTTGTGAAACTCAGCAAGAAAGGTAGAAAGATTTAACTCCGGAGGCTGTGAGAAGGGGCAGTAGCTAGTGTACTACGTCATATTGCCAAGAATTATCTTGATCATCAGGACATATACAATTACGTTTGATACGGCGATTTGTTGCAGACAGTAAGGTCGTAGAAAGAGAAGAACGCAAAAGAAGAATTTTTGTATTTTTTTTTTGGGTGTTGTTTCTTTTCTTTTGCGTTCCATTAGTTTCTTTTTTTGGGGTGTGGAGGAAATAGAGAGAGGGGGTGGAGTTGTGGTTGTTTGAAGTTCGTTCTTTGTTGTACTTTTTGTTCTTTTGAGATTGAAAGTTGTTTTATCTTTTGTTTGATAAGAAATGTAAATGGGGGGAGGGAGCATTACTTCTAACCCTTTCATTTGACGTGTAAATATTACAATTAACCGCTAACTGTTTACAACTCCATTTTTTTTGCCATCCTCAATTGAATAAATTCGAGGGGGAACGCAATTCAATTGACGTATCTTATAACAGGGGCAATAAGGCGATTCCCCGTACTACTACTACTACGGGCCAACAGAAATTAAATCATCAACAAATTTATTTTTAAAAAATTATGGAAATCAAGTTTTCTTTTTTTTTTTTTTCCTTTTAAAATAAAAAGCTTTTCTTTGGAAACCGCCCAATTTAAAACTTATTTTATTCTTTCTTTAATAGCTCAACAAATCATCATCATCATCATCTTTAACAACCAACCATCAACTAAAACTATTCTTATATTCTTGTGTCATACATTTATATTTATATTCATAACCAACCCAACCCATCCCATCCAACGGCCAACAAAGCCTTACATTTTTGAATATAGATCAGTAGTTTTTACTGACTCATTTTTTGTTACTCCTATTTCGAGTCTTTTAAAGATCAAGAATCCAATAAGATACCCAACACCCGGTGCTTTAGACCTACCAAACCAATTACATCCAATACAGAATATCATATATATATTCACATTCCTTTTCCCACTGTTTGTTTGCTTTCGTAGCATCAGTTTGCATATCCATTTTAGTTGACGATTAACATATTCATTTCCCTGTTTCCAATTTTTTACAACCACCTTTTTTAATTACCATTTATGCTCCATTAATATTTTAACGACCCATACCCATACATACATTTATACATACATTTTTATTGCATTTGTTATTACTCAAGTGACAGCTAATTATTCACGCTAACTTTCACTACGACAACTTACTTACTGCTTTTATTTCAATTCATATATCAAATATAATTATTATTCCAAAAAAAATAATTTACTATTTATTATAAAACTCCTAAAAAAACAATACTTACAACGTTTTCATTGCATTTCCAACAAAACGTTTATCCTAGACTTACAGACGATTTATATTACCAGACTGCTTTTCTTTCTGATTTTCACATCATTACATTGCAATGGATCAATTTGAACAATATGACAAGGGTAGCTTATTACGAGATAGATATCTTAAAATTAGTGATATAAGTGAAGGTTCATATGGTTTAGTATCTGTCGCTAAAGATACCAAGGTTAATAATAGACTCGTGGCAGTTAAATTCATTTATCCACTTGATTATAAAAAGAATCGAGATAAAATTGAAAATGCATCACGTCCATCTTCAAGTCCAGCAAAATTAAAATCACAACCCCCACCAAAAGGATTGACCGATGATGATATAGACGTAGAAGAAGAAGAAGATGGATGTCCGAAATCCGGGGCAAAACAATATAGACAATCAGTTATTAATAATCTACTTAATGAAGCCCAAAAAGAAATCAAAATCCATAAGATTCTTGGAGATCATCCTAATATTTCAACATTAATAGATCATTTTGATTCTTGTTTAGTTTTGGAATTTTGTACAAGAGGTGATTTATATGAAGCTATTCATAATGGGAACGGACCGGCAACTACTCAAGATATTAAAGATGTTTTCCAACAAGTATTGAATGCAGTTGAATTTTGTCATTCTCATGGAGTTTATCATCGTGATTTAAAACCGGAAAATATCCTAATTGCTGAAGATTGGAGTATTAAATTATGTGATTGGGGATTATCCACTACAACTAGATATATTACCAATAAGGATGAATTTGATATTGGATCTGAAAGATATATGGCACCTGAATTATTTGATAATAATTTAGAATCTTATGATGCTTCCAAAATTGATATTTGGTCTTTAGGGATTATTTTATTAACGTTAGTTTTCCATAAAAATCCATTTCAAGTGGCTAATTATTCTGATAAACGATTTATTCAATTTGTTAATAATAGAGAAGCATTATTTGATATTTTTAGTACTATGAGTGGTGATTTATTTTCAATCTTAAGATTTAGTTTAACTATTGATCCAAATAATCGTGATTTGAATAATATTCATCAAGAATTAAAATCACTTCGATATTTCACAATTGATGAAGAATATTGGGCAAGTGATTATGAAGAAGAACAAGAAAGTATGGAAGAAGAAGAAGAAGGACCTGAAAGTATGGAAGAAGATGATGGCTACTTTGATAATGAATCTGATGAAAAAGTTTCTCCTGAGGAAAGAATCCCCAAGAAATCTCCATTATTGATTTCTTCTCCTGATAGTAGTAAATTAGATCAATATAAACCTAAAGATGTGGCTCCATCGGTATCAATCACAAATGTCGATGTGGATGCCGAGGGAACTACTACCAACAACAACAACACACATCATCCAAATAGTTATACCCATGCTTCTAAACCATATCATCCAAGACCTAGAACTCCTGATATATTTGATGAAATTCCTCATAATCACAGAGCAGACGCGTTATTATCTTCCAATACTCATGTGAAACCTATACCTATTAGTGGATCTGGATTTAAGTTTATTCGTAATACTAGAAAACCATTGAATGTTGCTTCATATAATCAAAATTCACATATGAATTTCAATCGTGCTAATAATAATAGTATGAATAATAAATTTAATCGTGAAGATTTCTTTACACCAAAATCGGTATTTAATCATTATTTGGATAAATATGGAGAACAAAAATTTGGGAAACTGATGATGCCAAACCGAGATAATGGATTTATCAATGACATAACAAGAGGAGGAGATCAAAAGAAGTATCAATATGCTACTAGAACCTGGAAGAAGAATTATAAAAAGAAGTATAATAAGTATTGTTATGCCAATAATTCTCCCCAGCAATATCACCGTGGTGGCAATGATTATTCAACCAATAATGATTCTCATAATCATTATCATGGAAATCGAAGAAAATCAAGACTGTATTCTACTTCAAAATTAAGAAGATCTTATTATGCAACTAGTGGAACTACAAGTAATCCTCCAAGTGCTGGTCCTAGTACTAATCTTAGTGCATCTATTCCGGTATTACATCATCCATCTCCATTGAATGGATCGGTTGCAAATAATGGGAATATTACTACTGCAAATGGAACTACTACAAATAGTAATAATTTATCGACTTCTGGGAAATATATTCCACCATATTTGAGATCCCCCAATTATCAAAAATCACCAGTTATAGAACCATTAATGGAAGAAATGGATCATCTTTCACTTGGGAATGATTATGATGAAGTCTTCCATTTAGAAGATGATTTTGATTTACTGAAACCCAGTAATGGGAATGGATATTCAAGTAATAATGATTCACCATCTACATATCATAATTTCCCCCATCATCATAGAAAAAATTCATCAATTGATAATAGAAATAACAATGGGATTAATACTACTGGTCGCAAGAATTCCATTAGTGCAATAGCTACAAGAAAAGCGATATTTGGTGATTCCATCACACAGCAACCAAATGGGAATCATATGAATATTGGCGCAAGTTCTAGTGCTCCATTATCTACTTCTGCAAGCAGTACAACCAGTGGAAAATATATTCCACCATTTAGGAGAGCATCGATTGTGGCTGCAAATAATTTGAAAAGGTCCCCACCTGATGGTCGAAAAGATATTAATATTAATAAAGCATGTCATGAAAATAATAATAATACTACTACTCCTGGTGGTCATGGTCATGGAGGTCATGGAAATGGGAATGGGGTTTCTTTGATTGGGTCACAATGGATTACTACCACTTACAAGAAAGATTGGAGTGATTATGATGATTGAGATTATAAAAAGAAATTGGTTTTATTTAATTTAATTTTTGGTTCTTCTTTAGGTTTGGTTTTTTCTTGTTTGTTTAACGTCATGATATCATATTTTTTTTTTAAATTGTGTATAGAATATAGGTTTTAAATAAAAATATTTTGACACATTTAAGGATATTAAACTTTTTCTTATCTCTGTAAGAAGTAGAATAATTAATCCGGTGATGTATTTTTAGAAAGGTCATCAAAATTGTAATTGGGGGATGACATGAGCATGAGGATATATCAATTGATGATTATTTTGCCAAGAGTAAATACCCAAGAAAAAAATATGCAATAGAAGTAGAAGAAGCGTTGAATGACGATTAGGGTAGAGGTAGTACGTGGTGAGGTTTTGGAAAAAAAAAGGTTTCAAAATAAAATGAAAAAAAAATATGGTTGGCTCAGGTGATGGGTTTGTGTAATGTTTCAGGATTTAATTCTGAAACGCACCAATCAACATACAAACAAAGAAGTTGAAACAGAATATAAATAGTCTGAAACATTTCTTCCAATTTAAAAACAATTTTAAAACGTTCGACTTCTATTCGCTTTTTTTTTAGTTTGTTTTAGATTAAAAAACTAAACCTGACTAAACCTATCCACCCCCTTTCATTGTCATCATCACTACAGTTGATACTTGAGCAGATACTACTACATCTACTACCGTTCTATTTTTTTTTACAATTGCCATTCCAATTGACATTCAAATTTTCCATTTTTCGCGACAGTCGACATTTTCTTCGACACTGACAGATCTACTCACCCGACTCACAGTCATTCACATTAAAAATTAAATTAAAGAAATTTTTTAATTACAACCTCGATTGCAACGTTACTTACATCTGGAGATATAGAAAAAGACTAAGAGAGACTAAGACAGAAAGTGAGCGATAACGGCATATTTATTATTATTAATTAATTAAAATATTTAATTTTGCTTGACTGACTCCCCCTAAAAATAAAAAAATAAGTTAGTCGGACCACCAACCCACATTTCATTGAACTTTATATACCCCCACGCCATCTCCATTTTTAAAAGATTACCTTTAAACCCACCTTTTCTTTCTAAAGCAATTCACTCATACCCACATATAAGAAAAGACTATCAAAACTACACCACAAGATATACAATGGAGACAAACAGCAACAACGGTAACAATACTAATAACTCCCAGGTAGATGTTAAAGAGTCATTACGACTAATTGAAGATTTAAAATTCTTTTTAGCTACTGCTCCAGCCAATTGGCAAGAGAATCAAGTTATAAGGCGATACTATTTAAATCTGGATGAAGGATTTGTTAGTTGTGTTTATTGGAATAATCTTTATTTTATTACTGGTACTGATATTGTTCGATGTATAGTTTATAAATTTGAACATTTTGGTAGAAAGATTATTGATAGAAAGAAATTTGAAGAAGGAATATTTTCAGATTTAAGAAATTTAAAAATTGGTACTGATGCAATTTTAGAACCTCCAAGATCAGAATTTTTAGAATTTTTATTTAAAAATTCATGTTTAAGAACTCAAAAGAAACAAAAAGTATTCTTTTGGTTTAATGTTCCTCATGATAAATTAATGGCGGATGCTTTAGAAAGAGATTTGAAAAAGGAAAAAGTTGGTCAAAATCCAACAACAATTGCTTGTAAAGAACCAGCTTTGTCTTTTAATTATGATGAATCGCAGAATTTATATTCTCAATTGGCAAAACATATGGAAATTCAAAAAGGTCTAAATGATCTTGGTACCAATGATGATAATAATAATTACTCTGCTGCAACTACTAGTAAAACTGGTGGACAAAGTACTCAATCTTCTCCCGAATATATATCAACCAATCGTGCTGTTAAACGTGAAGAAGAGTTTGGTTATCTTAATCAAGAAACTCCATCTCAATATAAGACAGCTTCAGATTATGAAGATGATTTCCCATTGGATTACCTTAATCAAAATGGAAATGCTCCAAAACAAGATGAATATATCACCTTAGATTCCAACTATCATCCAGGAACATATCTAGAGGAAAATTACGAATCTTTCTTAGATTCAACTCTATTTGTTCCTCCATCGGCCACTCTACCTACATCTGCAAACCCAGTCGCTTTTAATGATGAATATCTCATAGAACAAACCCAGCCACTCAAAACTCCCCTTCTACCAATTTCAGCATCAGCCCTACAACCAAGATCTGCCAAATATTTGCTGATACGTTCTTCCAAAGGTGAAGAATTCTTCCCCCAAACAATCCCTCTATCTGCCAAATATCAAACAACTTTCGGTCCGGCACAGTTAGCTACACCTGCATACTTCAAACCACAACCAACGACATATTTACAACCCCCTTCAGCTACAATCGCTCAATTCTACGATTCTTCCTCAGTGCTATATCCAACGGAAATTCCAGTGCAGTATAATGTAATTCATCCTGAAAGTGAATATTGGACAAATATTGCTCCTGCAACTGCTACTACTTATACGCCGGCCTATGATGCATTTCTGATGAATCAACAAGTTATGTATATGAATAATGATGGAGATTATCAATCGGCATATAATAATGGGATGGTCAACATGGTACAGCGACCACCTCTTTCTGCTCTGACACAATATTTCTATCAACCGACTGCTGTTTCTGGTAAACATAATAGTCGACAACAACCACCACCACAACAACCCCAACAACAAGGTAGTGTAGGACAAAAGAAACAACAACCACAACAACAACAATCGGCGGTGCTGTCAAAGATTATGAAGAATAAGAAAATTCAACAACAGCAGCAACAACAAATTCATCAGTTGAATAAGAAAGGGAAACAGGTGTATGAGACTCCAAATGATTTACTCAATTCTCAAGCTACTAGAATTGTGAATATGGCAAGAGATAAGGTTGCAAAATAGACAAGACTTTTTTTTTTTGGTTATAACATTTTATTCGTTCTTTCTTCTTTTAGATTTAATAAACTAATGATTCTTTTACATGTTTTTTAAATAAGTTTATGTATTAATAATAATAGCAATTCGTTTTACCTAGCTTATACTCGCTCTCTATATACGTAATTCACTCTATTCTGCTTGACTACTAAACATATCAATTAATTTCTGTTGTGATACAGGTCGTTTAGATTTCATCTCGTTCAATGTATTTCTAACATCTGGGGCAAGACCACCATTCCTAATCAAACTTCCATAACATACAGTTGCCAACATTCTAAAGTCAACTTGATTCAGAGTTAACAATTTCCCAAAAATATGATCTATCCTACGGACTTTCGTGCTATCTAAAGTAGTACTTTGAGATAATACTTTTGATAAATAATTCAAACAAATAAGTCGAACACAAGCATCCGCATCTCCAGTTTCCAAACATTGTAATGCCAACTCTTCCATTGTTTTATTACCCAATTGTGACACATTGTGAAGAATATCATTCCAAATGTATGCAATCTCACTTTGGAATTGTTGATCTTTACACGTTTTGTTGAGCAATGCCCAGACTCTTGTCATATCTATAGTATCATCATATTTCAAATTCTGATTAAATAAAGCTAATCCATCCATGATTTCAAATGTATTCAAATTGTTCAAATCTTCAAAATAGGACCAAATACAGTTTGCCAATGTATATCTACCTCCGTTTATGAAATAATCATGAAATTCAACCGAACTGGCAGGAAGCAATTTTAAAGAACGTATTAATCTCAATGCATTGTCAGTTATGTTTTGCTTTTGGGCAAAATCCAAACAACATGATTTAAATAGTTCAATATCCCAATTATGCGATTCCATGAAAATTTCATGATCATCATATTTAGCCAGATATGTACATTCCCAAGTATCTACACTTTGGTTCTCTTCTTGCTCCTCATCGGGTACTGTAATGTCTTCATAGATTGATATTTTCTTGGCTTTGTTCGAGAGTGGTCTTAATGGATCCATCATTTCTAACATATTCTGGATCCCGATCATTTTATCACTCGCTGGTGGTGCACGTTCATCGTCAATTGTCACTTGGGCAAAATCGTCGGATAAACCAGCCGCTTCACGTCGTAACAGATCATCAACCAGGACATTATCATCAACTTCCTCAACCATTTCCTCCTCATTTTCAACTACCGCTTCCGTATTTCTTACTTCTGTGTCGCCTTTGGAATTCTCGTCGACTTCAATCGTGCTTGGAGTGCGCAGAATTGTTTCTTGTGGTTGGAAAACTGGTTGCTGTTGTCGTTGTGGTCTTTGTGGAACAATCATAGTAAAATCAACCGGCATCTTCACAGGAGACATATTAACAAATTTTGCTGCCTCAGTAGGTCGAACTTCCGTTAATTCAAAGATATTCTTATTCAACGAAATATCATGGATCAACATACTATCTAACCCAACCACATTCTCAACCTCTTCTTTTGTATCTTGATCCGCTTGATTTAAGGATGTTTGAAATTCATTTGGATTTATGCTGTATAGTTGACATAATAATTGACCTAATGTCTTATATCCTTCTTTTTCCTTCAAATGAATGACTAGACTAATAGATGCAGTCAAAAGCTTCTTGAGAGACTGGTCCGTAATTGGGATGATATTCAATGCAATCAGAATAAATTGCACCACTTGGCTCAAAATAACATGCCCAAAATCAATCGCGTGCACAGCCATAGCAGTATCGTAGATAGTATTAGTATTGGAAAAATCATGTAAAAGTTCCACTGCGACTTCATATAATTCATTAGACTGCATTGCTGAACTTATCAATCTAACATTTTTCTCGTCCATTTTTGGAAATACAAGACAGCAAACTCTTAATAGATCAGATGGGGTGAATAATTTTGCAATTTCATTGAATATTTTTTCCGAAGTTGTAAACAAAGGCTTCAATAACATTGGATAAGTGACAGAAGTCTCCTTGAGTGACTGGTTAATTCCTTCGGGTAATTGTTCGTTCCCCTTTATGGCAAAGCACAATAACTTGACACCTTCTTCCACAACAGCTGCTTCTGATGAAGATAAGAAATCAACAATAGGATCTTTATAATTCGAGAAAGAAAATGACTTTCTTGCATTTTCCTCAACTGGACTATTTGGTGCATGTTCGGTATGATTGGTTGATACTTTCTTTGGCAACTCTTTCACGCTAACTGAACGTAATTTTGGACGATTTAACCCACCACTGTTTGCTGTATGACTAACTGACCAGCTTGCGGCTCGAGAAAACTTGCTGGCTGATGAAGCGATATTCAAATCTGGGGAAACACGAGAAGATGCTTGTCTAGATGGCACTCTTGCACTAGCTGACAATGGAACTGAATTAGCCCTATGAACTTCTTCTCTATTTGCACTTCTTGGACCACTTGGTGTCGCTCTTCTGGGTGGTATATCCTGTCTTAGACGAAGTGATGGTCTCGACATCGCTCTACTACTAGGAGGTTGACTTGCTCCCTTTTGAAATTGAGCTTTGGATCTTTCGAGAGCTTTGACTGTATTTGTATCAAGCTTTTTCATGAGTATTTCCGCTTCAGCTGGAAATATATTTTGAAAGCACCAATAACATCCCTTAGCGACTTGTCTGACATTCGGGTTAGGGTCTTTGAGAAGTTTGTTCAACAACTTTGATGTGGATTCTATAAGATAATAACCATGGTTTTCAACAAAGCTTGGATCCAGACCAAATCTCAACAACATTATTTGTAACCACAAACATGCATGAGATCTTGGTTGATAATTACGTTCTTCTCCAGCAGCCAAGATCCTTTGTATTAATTTTGAAGTATAGGAGAGGTTAGCATAAAAAGCTGAAAGACACATGTTGGCATTATTCGACGTAATGCTTTTAGCATTTGAACAGAGCTTTATTAAAGTTGGGAAAAGTAAGTCAGCGACACCATCAAACTCAGCAGTCAATATAATCGCACATTCCTTAACCAATTGACATGTATGTGTGGATAATGTAGTTCGAAGAGAATTCGCAGCTTTACAGATCCCAAGTGCCATTTCTTTTAAGCAAAGAATTAATTCATCCCCGTACATGGTTGCTGCATTACCACGTAATATGGATCTAATTTGTACTATACTATTCTCTCTCTGTTTCCAGTTGAACTCAGATTCTTTGCCCTCAAAACATGGAGTATATGCATTGAACAACGCAGAAAGGGCTTCTGGGTCGGTTACATCCAAAGGTTCTATTGTTGTATCTAATTCGTAATTTAATTTATCCAGGAAAGTCTGCAATTGTGCATTATTCAGAACTGAATTGGATTCTTGTGTGTTGCTAGCTAAACCAAGAGGCTTTGGGGAATTTGCATGAACAAGTTGTGTATCTTTAAATGTATTGATAGGAGAATTTAGTTTCATGACTTCATTTTCTCCAAGTAGCATGTTGAATTTAGTTCTAATTGAGGAAGGTACGTTCTGTGCATCAAACTCTTGTATTAAATCAGTTCTGTCACTTCGTTCTTTATAAAAATCCTCCAATAAATGCCATGCTGCATTCTTAAGTTCCAACTTTATTTCATCATTCACTAGAATTTGAACGAGTTGTGATAAAAATGATGCTAACCGAATATTTGGACTTATATCTTTCACTATATGATCCAACCATCGTATTGATTCAAGTGTTACATTGGAATCATGACTACTAAATGCTTCTCTCGCAATTACCGCTTCAACTTCCTTTCTTGCTCCTAGCCAATATGTTTCAAGAGCCCTTTTTGCGATGGATACGATATTGGGGTTTGTATCGCCTAGACTTGTAATCAATGCTGGGACGACGAGATTACTATGAACTTTCAACAATTGGTCTTGAACGTCTTGAACTCCGACTCTTTTAATTAAATATGAAAGTGTTGTTAATCCTAATGACAGTATCTGATGATTTCCATCTTTTATTGTGACAACAAGGGCTTCCATATATTTAGGAACAGGTGCTAGATCAATCTTGTCTCTTTTGATATGGGCTTTAAGTTTTTGTAAACTGTCTATTTTGAACGAATCATCAACATCTGTGGATAAAACTGTTTGTAAAAATTCATCTCCTGAAGGAGGTCTGGTAGCCAGCATCTTGTTTTCGTTTTCTCCTACTTGTGATTTTATCTCCCTACAATTACGAGTAGATATACAACAACAAGAAGAAGAACAAGAAGGAAGACGTGAAGATTTGTTGTAAATTTTTTGTTTACATTTTTTGGTTGTAAAAAAAAAAGTTTGGCGGTAAAATTGGCATTCTAAGGGAATAGACGCGTAATCCACTACAGAGCTGGATACGAATGCTGTTAAAAGAGAAGTTAGTACGAACTGAAATGTACAGAGACAATCGATTGTAATGAGATATTACTAGTCGATCTAACGTATTTATTATTGTTAATCTAAAGTTTGGTTGCAATAAACCATAAAGCTGTCATTATAAAAACTGTTAATCCTCCAAACATCTTTGCTTGTGATTTCGTCACTTCAATTGCTCTTGTAGAATTCTCATCACTATCAAAACTAAACTCAACCTTACCTCCTTTCTTAATTGTAGTGGGTGGATTAATATTGTCTTTAGAAGAGTTATTAATCGAACTCAATAATAAATCACTTTCCACGTTATCAACAATTACTTTTTGGATATTTCCAAAGAAATCTGTTAACAAAACCTCACTAATGTTTCTTTTAAATAACTCAGTCCTTATTCCAGGATGTGAATGAACATTTTCATAAGTATAAACCTCAAACAATTTATCCATTGTCTCTTTAGAATCTTTAGAAATATTTTCAAGGAAATCCAATGTATAATACGTAAACCTATCAATCACAGCTACACCAATATCCAAATCTGAATGATGTGAATATGATGATTCATCAAATGCTGATGATCCTACTGCCAATATATTAGGAGAATAAATCTTTTCATACATAGTATTTGCTTGACAAGTATCAATCATAAAGAAGATTTCATTATATCTCTTCTTTTCATGCATTTGGGCAAATGCATCAGCTATATCATAAGCACCAATCTCTTCAGCATCTTGAAATTTCAAAAATTCATTTCCTCCATGTCCCGTCATATAAATAAATATATTTGAATTTTCATCAGTTAATAACCTTTTGGATCTTGGTTGATCAGAATCCCATCTATCTGTTAATAAACGAATGAAATTTTCCACTGTAACTTCATATCCCCTATAATCAACCTCTATAGCATCTCCATATAAATCAATTGCTTGATCCATGTTATTGAAAACTGTACCTGGAAATGCATTTCTAGCATTACATGCAATATCATCAGACAACATCAAAATAATTTGAGAATCTGGGATACCTAATCGTTTGACAGTACGATATAAACTTAACACATTGGCCATATGACGATAATTGAACCAAAATCGTGAGGTTGATACTAAAACTGCCCAATTATTTGTGTGGTGTGATTCATTTTCATTATTGTGTTTGTGAGATTCTTGTTCTGACACTACAAAATTAAATACTAGTAGTATTGTGAGTAAGAAACTGAATACTGATTTCATAGTACCTTATAAGTGTAAATAGATTAATATTTCTAAAGGATCTAATTATAAAAAGAAAAAGTTCAGTATAAAATTAAAACTCCTTTTAAAATATTTGTAAGACTTGAAATCGTTTTGAACTTTTGTACACGACATTTCTATTTGGTCGCTACCAATTTTCGACTTGCTTATAATTTACCTAACTTGACGTAGTAAACGCCGGAGCTCTATCCTTAGTAAACACAGGAATCCCGCGCTTCGAGAGCTCTCTACCGGGTGATTGGGTGATTAAACCATTGTCCAATCTCGCTTCTGTCAGCCTAAAGATTGAATTGAGTTTGGCTTGCGCATAGATGGAGTTTATACTGTAATTTATTGCAAATATTAAATTCGACATTTCTACTTGTGACCGTTGACCGATTTCCATAGCAAGGCAATCAATAAAGGGGTCTTTCGCTGTTATATTATTATCCTTAATGTATTTTTGGATGCGGGCACGTGCTATCCATTTGAGAAAGTTTACCTGTTTCTCGGTAGGACGATATTCGTGCTTGTATTTTCTTTTCATTGCAAACTCACATTCATCATTACAACTCTTTTTGAACTCATAGTATAATCGATATAGATTTGGATGCTTGCAAATCATTTTTACAAGAACGGTTCGCTTAACGTTAAATCCCAATCGGCTAATTTCTTCTCGACTCTTGAGTTTATGGATAGATATCTGAAAAACATCCTTCCCTTCTTCAGATAGACGTTCCATTTTTGCAAAATAACCCGAGTTAAAGTCCGCCCCAGGGACGCCCCATACGTTTTTTTCAAGCTTTACCCAACGGTGAGGCATGGTACGGAAGAAGGCATCAACAGCTTGGTCATTCTTGAACCATCTTGCATCAACAAATTCCATACTGGTTAACCCATCTCTTGTATGTTCCACCATCTTAGTGTCTCTCAAGTTCTTGTCAAGAAACATCTTACCAGCGTCAACTGCTGCCTTTATTTCCATAATGGTTCTTTCCTCCTCCTCTTTCCTTCTTTCTTCTTCTAGGGATAACCCGCTCTTCTTGCGTTGTGATGCCAGTCCATATAGTGTTGGTTCACTCTCCAATCCTCCACGAGTTAGGCCCGCCAAATCAATAATATGGCAGTGTGATTTCCCAGCATGCCGTCTCAATCCTCTGCCAACCATTTGTACTTTTAATGGATTAGAACTCGTGCGACATGCTAAGATTATGCAGTCAACGTTGGGAAGGTCCGTCCCTTCTGTAAACACTTTGACATTACAAAGTACGGGTATATTACCCTGCTTGAAATCTTCCACTATTGCTTCCCTTTCTATTTTGGAAGTATAACCAGTCACATACTGGGCATTTACACCCATTTCCTGTAGTATTCCACATAAAGTTCGACAATGCGCTATGTTCATACAGAAAACTAAAGTGCTTCTGAATTGATGCTTCTCTTGTGCTTTTAGGTACGTCATAGCAATCATTGTATTACACTCCTTCGAGAATATGAAATCAATTTCGGAGAGTTCAGAATCTCCCCCGGTCATTCCGGGAAATTCCACTTCTGATATCTTAAAGTCTACCAAATGATTATCTTGTATCATGTTACTTAATGATCTTTCAAACACAATAAAATCAAATGCGGCATTCAATGCAGCATTATCATCTCTTTCAAGTGTAGCAGTAAACCCAATAAGGTAGACTTCCAGCTCCTCTGTAGTTGCTCCAAAATGTTCAAATATCTTTTGCCAGGAAGATGCGACAGCATGATGACATTCATCCACAATTATTGCCTTGTAATCATTGGGATCATATCTAGACAATCTATCTCCTCTTGCCAAAGATTGTACTGAGGCTATTACTACATCGGCATCCTTGCTGGCCGCCAATTTACCCATTTCGATTTCTACTTTTAGATCAGGGTTAACTTTTTTGACTGTTTTATAAGATTGGTGAATTAACTCTTGAGTATGTGCCAAAACTAAAGTCTTATTACCACGTGTTTCTGAGGATGGTTTCAATAGGGGGATTAAATGGGAAAATACGACTGTCTTACCACTACCTGTGGCCATAGCTACAGCAGGGCGCCGTATTCCTTCATCGATGGAATCTAGTATTGAAGAGATCGCGAGCAAAACTATCGGAGCATTAAAGTATCTTGGTCCGTGCAACGGTTGAACCAGTTCACTAGACGTGACAGCTTCTACTGTTGCCGTTGAATCATTTTGCTGAATAACCGAACTTGTACCTTCGACCTTGGATAGTATATTCTCTTGGTTTGGCTGAGTTGGCTGCGATCTGGGAAGATCTACGACTTCCTGAATTGATGGAAAAACGACATCGTCCCTTGACTCATGAGCAAACAATGATGNCTGGGAAGATCTACGACTTCCTGAATTGATGGAAAAACGACATCGTCCCTTGACTCATGAGCTAACAATGATGGATCTATTTTTAAACCTGTTTGAATCGCCGCATTATGATTAAAACGGGGATGTTGTGATATGGATAATCTAGAGAGTCTTCTTAATATTCGGTCCAAGTAGAAAGTCAACCACGACATCTTTATCATGTTACCTCTACCTAATAATCAAATCTAGAAGTTTTTTCAATTGTTCTTTTGTTAAGCAAATCCGCGAGATCCATTTAACAAGCCACGAAAGAAGGTTATCTGCTTGTCCCGTTTTTCGGATTATTTACTTTTGGGATACTTAGGAGCAAGCGAGGACAAATGCCATAAATTATTGCTTCATGTCTCGTTTCTCCATTTTTATACGTAAAAAGTGTGTTTGTAACTACAGAAGGAATACTAACTAGAGAAAATATCTACTCTAGCACGTTTATAAACATTATGATAAAACAAATCACCATTAGAATCAACTGGTTCTATAAAACTAAGTGATAGTAATTTTAGACCACGAAACTATAATTATTATCGTATTGATGCATCTTCTTGATTAGGGTTCTTACTTGGTTTAATGAATAAACCAGGATTAATCACAGTAACCCCTTTGATTACTTTTGCAAAATATTTCAACTCTGAAGGTAATATTAATACATCAGGTAATGAATCCCCAAGTTCAGTTAATCCTAAATATGGTACTTCTAAACAAGACCCGCCGATTCCTGTTTCCACCAAATTCTCTCCCATTCCTCCATTTGTCATTTCGTAAGTGTTTGAAGCAGCAGCAGGGACTGTCTTCACTGACCCTGGGAAACAAGGATAGTACCTTCTTTGATCAAGTATATGTTTCACAATTCTATCAAATCGATTCTTATATACCAATTTAGAATCATCTTCCTTAGAAACATCTCTTAAATCTTTAAATACATCAAGATTTGAATTACCAATAAGAACTTCGTTCACTGAGAAACTTGAAGGGTTAGGGAACACTTTGATATTCTTGGGCAATCCAAATTTCTTTCTATCGAACCCTTCTTGTGGATAGGAACAATGCTTGATGCAACTATCTTTCAATGATGGATATAAAATTACCTGAATACGATTATCTATTTTCTTCAATATTGGAGTGATTACAGTCTTGAATACTTCATCCAAGTTTCTTGGTTGTGGTTTATCATTTGGGAAAACGTACTCCCCATCTTGCACAGCTTGATTGCATTCTAGTTCCTTACCGGGTAAGTTCTAATGTTGTAAACCATTATAGAATCATATGATCAAATCTACCAATTTACTCAATTTATCATAATTTAATGTTTGACTATTTGAAAATGGCCCGGAAGCAACCAATACTTTCATACCATTTTCTCCTTGTAATTCCTGAACTTGTTTAATTTCATCTGCACTTGATACTGGAGAACCTAATTGAGGTAAATCGAGAACTTCATGAGCGATAAACGTCTTTCCAGATGGATTTCTTCCCTTCAAGATAACAATCTGGCCTGGAAAGAAGGAGTACGCAGCTATCTTAGAAATATCCAACGGAACTCTTTGTCCAATCCCTGAAATTCTTGAAGTTTCAAGATATAATGAAGTGCTATTCAATGATAAGTTTTCCTTATCGTATAAGGGTGAATCAGGTACGATTCTTCCACAACATAAGATTTCGAATTGGGAACTTAAACATGGATTGCCAAATTGAACATCAGATTGTTTGTTCGATTGTTGATACAACAGAGTGAAATGATCAATTTGATCATCTAAAACATCTGCACTTTCTAATAATTTCATTTGCATTGTCCTGAATTTAAATTTGGAAGCATCGAAATTAGATGCTAATCTAATTTGTTTCTTACCTTCATTTTCATCTAGACTTGTTTCAATTTCTTCAATAGCTGGGTTCAATGATTCTAATAAAATGTTTGATTCTTTACTCTTTGCTTTTATAGGACTAGAACCTTCAAATGTATTATTTGCACTGACAAATTCAGCAGGAGAAGACTCGGAAATCCCAGTAAGTGGTGGAGTGTTATAATCAGGTGTTCCTTGTTCAGCAACTTTTCTTCTCTTCAAATTTGGAGTACTTGGATTTGGAGAATTAATAGCCTTTCTCATTAATGGTTTTCTAACATTATTAACGGCATTTCTTTTTATAGAAGGTGTTTTATTGGATATTTTATTCTGCATGAACTCGTGAAATCTTTCTAAATTAACCATAGTTAAATCCAAATGAAGAACTTAAAGTCATTGTAATTTACTAAGGGTAACTTACATATTAAGAAGTTGAGAAACATTAAAAATTTCAGAAATAGTTTTTAATTTTTGAAGCTCATCTTCATTCAATGAAGTCGATGGACCAAATTTGCCTTCTACCTGACTTTTGAATTCACTATCTACTGACATCGTTGCTGACCTTTGAAAAGTAATAATTTGGCAACAAATTCCAAAACTGATTAAAAAAAAATACAAAACCCGTTTGCGCAGAAAAAATTTCTTGCTGCGCGTAATCGCAACTGTCTGGAGATACGCTTCTTAACTATGGGCTCTAACTAATTTACAGAAATCATTACCTTTCTTTCTATTATACATGTACTCATATAAAAAATGTATGGGGATTTCCCCCATAGTAAATATAAACAGATTTATAGTACACTAAAAGCTTATGGCTTTTCCTTTTGAGCTAATTAAACGCATTTAAAGCAAAAAGAGTGAAGTCTTATTGGTTATGCGGCGCGCGCTACCTGAATCTAAGCTTCAGTCGCAGGTTCCTTAGCTGATTCAGAAGGAGTCTCTTGAGTTTGTTTTGGTTGCTCTGTAGCTTCTTGAGTTTGCTTTGGTTGTTCAGAAGATTCTTCAGATTTCTTTGGTTGTTCAGAAGCTTCTTCAGATTGCTTTGGTTGTTCAGCAGCTTCTGGAGTAGCAGTAGATTCTACAGCATTTTCATCACCAGCTTGCTCACGTCTGGAACCACGGAATTCTCTTCTATTATCTCTCTTTCCTTTGAAGTCCTTCTTAAACTTCTTACGGGAAACTGACAGCAACTTTGAAGATGCAGAAAACCACTGAAGTAATTGTGGCTTGCGTTTTCCTCCCTCTCTCATTTCTTGGAAAGTTAAGAGAGACATCTTCTTTAAGAGATCTTTTTTGTCTCTACCTTCAGCAGAAACAATTCCTTCAGGGTATGATAATTCGACGGTGTTTAATACATATTCAGTATCTTCTTGGGTTTTGAATTCAACATCAACAATACCTAAAAATTCCTTAGTGAATCTGTTCTTAATACGACGAATACAACAAATAACTTTTTCATTTGGTAATTCGGTGGCAATTTTCTCATTGAACCAAGATTCTAAAGCTTCTTGAGTTAAATCCTTTGGGAATCCTTCAATATGAATGGTATTTCTTTTTCTGGTATTCTTAAGTTCATTAAAATCTTTCAATGGTTCTTTTCTTTTAATCATATCATTATTAGCAGATAATTCCAACTTGTCAGATTTCTTTAAAGCTTCAATAACTCTCTCTTCTGGACGATATTGTTTCATTCTACCAAAAGTTAAAATGGTTTTCAATTCAACCCAACCATCATTAGCTTGATATATTTTGAATAAAAAGATATCAGTTTGTAAATTAGAATCTGAAAAATAGAATTCTACTTGTTTGATAACTTTTTGATCGAAATCTTCTCCTTGGTAAACAAAATCAGTCATATTTAACGTGTAATGGCTTATTGTTTACTTTGGCACTAACAAGTGAAAAATTTATGAATAAAGTTCCTTAAAAAAATCGATGCCCGCAAAGAACAACTGCGATGTGAAGAGATGCTTATATGCAGTATTCAAGTCACATGACTCTGTGACTGGTTTACTAAATTTTGAAAGAAATGAACACAATTATAAATAGCTTCCGCTTAGCTAAAGTTATTCTGAGTATTATTGTGTGTTAGTCCTTGGATCCTAGTGAAACATCATAGCGGCCAACCTTTATAAGGAATTGAACTTCTTGCATAAAAAAATCTACGCATTCTCCCAGGTTCCATTCCCTTTTCAGGGTTTTAGACTTAATTTTTCAGTTCCCGCAAATCTTCCCCCAACATTTCTACTTCTTCATACACCTGTTCTTCTTCAAGAAGAAGTGTACTCCTAATATTAAGGTGCATAGTTTGGGAAGGTTTCGTGGTCAATACTCGTTAGAACCATGTCTTCATATCCCCAAGCAACCGAAACCAGAAAACAAGAATTGGCCGAAAATTACAAACTCATCAATGATCAAGTCCAATCCCTCAATCCGAAATGTAATCTTGTCGCCGTATCCAAATTAAAACCTTCTTCAGATATAATGGCCCTCTACGATATTGGTGTCCGTCATTTCGGGGAAAACTATACCCAAGAATTAATAGCCAAAGCTGCGGAATTGCCAAAGGATATTAAATGGCATTTCATTGGTGGATTACAATCTGGAAAAGCTAAGGATTTAGCTAAGCTGGTTGAGAGTTTATACGCTGTTGAAACAATTGATTCATTGAAGAAATGTAAACAATTGGATAATACTAGAGAAAGATTAGGTGGTGATGTTGTGAATGTTTTTCTTCAAATTAATACTTCAGGTGAAGATCAAAAATCGGGATATAGTTCAAGCGCATTGGATGATGTTGAAGAAACTGTACGATACTTGGTTTCCGATGAATGTAAGAAATTGAATCTTTTGGGATTGATGACAATTGGATCATTTTTGGAATCGACTTCTGAAAATGGTGAAAATCAAGATTTCTCCAAGTTGGTGGAAGTTAAAAAGATCCTTGATGAGAAATACAATTTGGATCTTGAATTGAGTATGGGAATGAGTAATGATTTTGCTCAAGCCATTAAACAAGGAAGTACAAGTGTTAGAGTAGGTAGTTCTATCTTTGGAGCTAGACCTCCAAGAACGGCCGCATAGAAGAAAAATACACATAATTATATATATTGACAATGAATAAAGATTTTACACATTATATAAATTCAAACCGAAACAGAACAAACCATGAAATGTTACTCATAAAAACAAAAGACAAACATTACTGTTGCAAAAAAAACATCATCTCGTCATTTCTCTAATCTTTACGCTTGTTAAACACCTTCTTTGCCTTCTTTAATTTGTCCTTAAAAGATCCCAGACTCAGTATACTAGCAGCATCCTTTTCTGAAGATGATGTAGTTTTATCTTCAGATGATGGTGGCTCCACATGGGTATTATCATCAATGGTACTATATTGTAAATTACCTTCATCGTTCTTAGTGGTTATGATTTTATCACCTTTTTCCCTAATCTTTTCTAAATCTTCCTTGCTTCCAATAATCTCCTCCTTAGGCGCTTTCTTCCCCGATAATTCACCATCAGGATTTGTCTTCTTTGAAATCAAGACTTCAATACTTGGTTCGTCATTTCCCATTTTTTCAGAACGAAGGGTGGCCGTGGTAGTTGCCGGCTTGGAAGAAGTCAGGAATGATTCCGATTTCGATCCAACTAATTCCGTGTCTACTTCTTGACTTGTTGTCAAATAACTCAAAGTCGCAGTTGGAGTAATCTTATCCCACTCTCCATCACCATGTACCGGAATATGAGGCTTAACTTTCGCAGTATAATGATCATGTCTTAATTTAATATCATTATCCACAAAATCATTCTCCCATTCAACTTGACTCTTAAATAATTCCGAATACTTATATAAAACATAACAAAGGGCCAAAAACATATGTTCGGATAAAAACATCAAAAGCACAAATTCGGCCGACGACGAAATATTAACACTGGCTTTATCCAATGCCAATTGTCCCAATGTCTTAGGTGGAGCAGTTCCATGACGATAAAAGGCAGTCACGATTGGTGACATAAGTGAAGCTATCCAAGTCAATAAGAATAATCCTTTATTCCAAGGATGAATTGAATCAACTCGGGTGGGGACTGGGGGTTTGAAATATTTCCCATTTAATAATTTTAAATTATCGAGCTTGTAGGTGATTAAATTGAATATGACACATACTAATGGTGCTAAGGGCCATACTGGGCCAAACATGATAAGATAACCGTATTGTAAAACTACCATTCTGAAATCGTCATTGACGTTATATTCGGTTAATTTCAACGAGGCTCTGATATTTGTTAACCAAATACCTTCTCCATTGGTATCACGGGGATTAAATGTTTTATTCTTGGTGTCTATGATTTTGAATACTCTCTTTAAAACTAAAGGTAAGATATATTTGAGACCGAGTTGGACAACTTGATTGGTGACGATGAAATAAAAGAATTGGATATTTAATCTGTTTTGATTCATTTGGAAATCTTCTTGTTTTTTGAGGGTTATCAAATAATGATAATAAAACTTATCATCACCGACATAGGTACTAATTGTATCTTTAATATCATTTAAATGAGGTTTAACCAAATGAGCAAATGGAAGATATAAGAATGAGGTAATGATCAAGGGAACATAACTTGTCAAAAAATTCAACACAAATTCTTTAATTATCATTGAATTACGACGACTGTATTCACTATCATGTTTTTCCCAATTAACAACAACTTCAGAAACAAAATTATAAACCAATGTAAGAATTGGGACAAATCCAACAATTAAAATAGTAGGTAATAATGATAAGAATATCTTACCTGGTCCATCATAGATATCAGCTAAGAAGATTTCCAAAAAGAAACAAGCCAATTGATAACTAATCAAAATAACAGTAAACACAATTGCAATTGGAATAAATGCCAATTGTTTCATAAAGACATACCATTCACTATTATCTTTATGGAAATAACTTGATTTGACTTCAAATTTTTTATTAACTTGAGCCAATCGAGAATTATATTCTTCAAGTAAATGACAATTTTGAACTCTCCAAGTGTTTACCAAATATTTCTCTCTTCTATTCCAAAAAAAGACAAATAAACTACCCCAAGCTAAATTGATAAATGTATATGTTAATGAATATGTATTTCTCTCTCTTCTAAAGAAGGATGCCACACCAACTGCTGAAATAAACAATAACCAAATGGTATAATATTTCAAAAACTCGAAATAAAGAGCAATTTGAACCCCATAAGTGTTTTTAATTCTATTAGTTGATAAATTCTTTTGAAATATATTCAAATTAGTTTCTTCAGTCACAACAGAATCACCAAAACAATGTTTAACAGGAACTATACTCTTAACAAATTTCCAATCACCATTATTTGGAGTAATACCACAACCACCAATTGATTCAGGTGGAGTTAAATATTGATAAATGATTCTTAATCTTGAACTAATACTATCATGTAAAAGTAAATGTGGTTAAAGTATTAGAGATTAATTTAGAAAAAGGAAAAGAAGGGCAAATTTGAAAGATAATAATTTGACAAATACAAGTAAACTACTACTATCACCTGGTCTAACTTGAGATGGGAATCCTTTATTGTATAAATGATCTACTAATTTGTTCAAATTCTCCTTCTCTTGTTCAGTTGGAGAAGGATATGAATAGTCAATCTGTATATAATAATCGGGCAGTAAATCTCGAAGTGAAAGCGTCATGGTTGATTGATACTAATCAATTGAGTTGCTTTTAGAAACAAGGGGGTTGGATTGAGTAAACAAATTGACTTCTCTCTCCGTACCAAGAATTTTTATGTCAATTGACAGCAAAATAAGAAAATTAAATCAAAGGGTTTTTTTTCTTTAGGAGGAAGGAATTCAGAAATTTTAAATGTGAAAATAAATAAAAGGGGGCAGTAGACCGCGGTCGCAGTCGCAGTTGTAGTCGCAGAGTTAGCCAGCATTAGCCTAGCCGTGTGAAAATTTCATATTTTAATTCAAGTGTAAAAAAAAATATTAGAACGAGCAACTTGATTTCTAAAACGGGGAATTGTCTTTTTCTGATTTGCGTTGTAAAAACACAGTTGGTCTGTTACTTGCTACATTACCTACATAAAGAGAGTGCAAATGGACCTATTTTTGTAGTCGATTTAGACTCAATTGGTTGAATTCTAGTTGGCCAATGAAGGTACGCTACTGAGATTAGTTGCTGATAGGAATGTCATAAGATCTCTTAAAGCCTTTGTTTTATTTTGCTTGCGACTTATACCACTGTGTTTCAGAACTTTTTTTTTGGCCGAGAAATTTAACCAAAATTTTTGCAGCCAGCAAAATTGCTTCAAAAACTGGATATCTGAAACGAAGAAATCATATTGTACAAATATAGATTTGGAACTTATCTACTCAAAGATAATTCAATCTCTCGTAACCTCATTAGAAGTAACAGATATAATATTGATTCTGTTGTTCGCTGAATACTATGACGTCACACCGAAATATTATCGCCTTCATACCCCGGAATTCACAATTGTCTTTACTTGTTTCAAGATTGATTCACAATCGATATAAGATTCAGATTAGTATATTAGATTTCCTTTACTTTTGATATAAGATTCAGATTAGAATATGAGATTTGCGTTACTTTCCTAACGAACTATAGATTTATTGGATATGGGAATTAGGCAGGACCAGAAGTGCGTAAGTAAAGAATATGGGTTTTTTTGGTATGGTACTGTGTGTGTGTATAACTCAGTGCGTTAGAGAATAGAATATACGTCATGCAGTGTAAAATCTAGATTTTTATTAGGTTATAAATAAATCACTAAATGACCAAATAACTCCCTTTTTTTCTGTTTTACTTTTACTTCTTCTTCTTTTCTTAACACTTTAATAATCAAACAGCCATCAACAATCCATTCCATCCAAGCTAATATACAAATCATGTTTATCTTCTAGACCAGAGTATCCTAACAAAGTGATTTTAGGCTTTTCCAATTTTTCCCTTCCCTTCCCACATAATGATCCCCCCCCGTATATGAATTCCAAGAGAATCCTCCCACCACTTTTCCAATTGGTATCTCCCCCCTATAGATATAAAATTATATATATGTTTGCTATCATTTAGAGCTGCGCTACCCTACCCTGCCCACCAGAAAACTACCCACTAGATGTAAAAATAACGAGAGAAACTTAAAAGCGAGAATAATAATAGTAGAGAACCCGAGAAATCCCTATATATAATAAGTATTTTTTTATTTCGATTTACTAGCGGCTGCTGAACCCTGATTTTTAAAGAAGCTGGTTTTTTTTATCCCCTCCCCTTGATATAGTAGAAATTCCTTTTCCATCCAACCACATGAGCAAATGATTTGAAACTATAGTACTTACGACGTATTTTTTAGTGTATAAAATTTTCGAATATCCTCCCAGATTTTATGATCCCGATTGTCTACCATCCTCAGATATATGATCCCAGAAAGCTACTACTAATGCAACTACTACTGCTAATTACTACTACTACGACTAGGTAGGTATCTTTTTATTTTATTTGTTTCCTATTTTAATTCGCAACGTGCCCCAATGTGTCACCCCAGACTTTAATAACGTTTCCACGTAATTTTAAATTTTCATTTCCACTGGTGTATTTTTTCAGAGAGTAAAATTTTAATGATAAATGAGAGATGTATGATCCCTAATAGAGTAATAACAACTAACTAATATCCTCCCAATGTTTTTTGTTATGGTTTTTTTTAATTTTTTTTTGGTAATTGATATAATAATAATTATTGTCCTCCACTCCTCAACAAGTTGGTAATTGCCTTTTTTTTGAATTTTTTTTATTTCTTCTTCAGATAGTCACGCCATGACTTTAGAATGTTCCCAACAACAACTCCTCCATTGACTCCTCCCTAATATAAAAAAGAAAGAATGGAAAAAAAATGTATTAAAAAAAATATGATAGAGGTTTTAAGCTGAATTTTTTTTTGATTTTAATTAATAATGATAGAAATGATAAATGCCCTTCCTCGTATCCTTTTGATCACAATTTATTTAATAATAGTGGGTAAGTAAGTATTTTTTATTAAGCCTGAATTTGTTTTATAGATGAAATTTTTCTTGTTTTACATAGAGATTGATTTGATAATTCCCTTTGAAAGGTTGATATTGAAAAAATGAAAAATGAGAGAGAATTGGAAAAGCCTAAAAGTCATTTAACTCTGGTCTAGGATTTACTAACGTGATTGTATATAGATAGCTTGGAATTTACTAACATGATAATATACTAACATAATAGAAGTCTATAGATTTTAGTTTATTTGATTTTTATAGCGATTAGAAAACATTCATTTTATATTATAGAAAACTTATTAATACTATCTCAATCTCTCTCACTCTCTCTCTACCAATCTACATAATCTCTTCCAACTGGTCTAAATACTCTAATTCTTCCACTTTTAAATTCACCAAGTTTATAAGATTCTTTCTTAAGTTGACCAGAACTATCAGTTTCAAAAACCTTAAACTTCTCCTTCTTTGGATCATATTCATAAATTATAGCACTATATGGTGCACCTCCACCACCACCCACTGTAACCGATTTAGCACCCACAATACCTTTATGAACATTAAATTTCCCATTCTTAATCCATAAAATATCTCCCAGTCTAATTTCATCAACTTTATTCACATTACTATTATTAATATTCTTATAAATAGTAACACCATATCCTTTATTTCCAATCGCCGGAACAATAACCTTTGTCGAATTCAATTCTTCAAACACATGTTCCACAATTCCTCCATCAATTCTAGTCCCACCCCCACTCCCAATCAATCTCTGGGCTTTTTCCAAAATCAACCCACTGAATTGTTTATGATATCGATCTAATAAATCCTTCCGCACGATAGGAACCCCCTTGACGAAATAATTCACAATATGAATCAGATTCCTGGGATCTTGATTCTCAAACTCCAATTCCAAAACTAATTGAGATAAATCATAAAATAAAATATAATAATCACGATATTCAATAGTTCGTGAACCTCGTTTATGTATTTCATTCGAATCAATTTCATATATCAAATCAATCCCAATTCGATGGGTTATACTTAGCCCATTTAGGGGGAAATTGGTGGTACGTGATCAAGGTCAAGATTGTAAGGCAATCTCAAATTGGATTTCCTCAACCGCAGCAGCAGCTTGTGATTGTCCGTCTCCTCCTTGTCCAAGAGAACGAGAAGAACGTGAATCAATCGAAGTTCTTGAGCCCGGAAACATTCCCACAGCCGGCGGACGTGTGAAATGGTCGAGATCAGTTGAGGCCCGTTTGGGTGGATTTCCCATTGGAATAGGTGGAGGGGCTGATGTTGGTGAGATGGGGGCTGGGACTGGTGGTGGAGGGGGGAATGAACTAATGGTATGAGAACGAATTGGTTGTGGTGATTCATCTTCTTCATCACTTGATTCGTCACTAGAGTCTGGTTGTTGTTGTTGGGGTTCTTGATAAGATCTGACTGGAATTGGAGGCATTTGTCCCGGAACGGGAGGAGCTTCTGTTGGAATTGATGGAGGTGCAGAAGGTAATGGAGGTGGAACCGCTTCCGGGATTCCAGGAGGTGGAGGTGGTGGAGCTCGAGTTTCTTGAGGAGTACTCTCCTCGTCTTCTTCCTCTTCTTCTGCTAACGTATCATGAGATTGTTTCTTATCCTCAATATCAGTACTTTCACCACTTCTCATAGATACAGCTGGAGGTGGTCTACTAGAATGATCAACTTCTGGAGGCTTGGTTATATCCGATAAATCTTCATCTGCCTCATATCCAGCACCTTCTTGTTCGACACTTGTATGTTTATGTAATTTCAATGGTTTTGGTTCATCAATTCCACTATCGGATACAACTTCATATTTTTGAGTGGCTTGCTTGTCAATCTCCTTTTGAGTGATTAATTCATTGACATCGGTATCTGAAGGTTCATCATCTTCAGCCATTGAAGATCCTTCTTGGCGGAATTTACCTGTAGACTGAGGTGAAGTCAGTGGCACATCAGCGGTAGGAACTGGTGGTGCATGATGGGCTTCGATTCTTGGTTCTTCAACTGGTGGTTCTGGTGGCAGTTGTTTCTTCTTGGGTTTACTTGCAGGCTGAGGAGCAGCAGCAGGTGCGCCAAAAGGCATTGGCATCCCCATCATACCAAACATATTTCTCCCACCGGACATCTTGGCCATTCTTTCGATCAATTTTCTTCTTTTGGTTTCTTCATCATCTTCTTCTTCGTCTTCGTCTTCTTCTTCTTCTTGTTCATCTTCGGCTTCTTCTTCTTCATTATCACCTTCATTTCCTTCATGTGCAGCTTCTGGTGCTTCAACAGCATCTTCGGTTTCTTCTTCATTTTCACTCAACGCTTCTGTAAATTTCTCCGAAGCTGCGATGCTATGTGCCAATGATTGTCGACGTTGGCTTATTTCCGATTGATCCGAAGGTTGAAATTCACCAGTACCATGTCTGGAAACAGCAGTGACGAAGTTTTCTTGTTCATTACCTTCTTCAGAAGCAACCTGTTGTTGCTCTCTCAAATGCTTCACTCTTTCCTTTTCATCAGCTTGTTTCTTCTTCTTTTCTTCCTTCTTTTTAGCTGCAGCGGCTTCACGTTCAGCTTCTTCTTGTTGTTTCTTTTGCAACAAAGCAATACGTTCCTTTAAAGTAAGTTTTGGACCCTCTTCCTCTTCTTGCTCATGTCCTGCATCATTACTTCTTACGATATCGTCACTATGTCTAACTTCATGAATTGCATGAACTACATTTGATTCATCTCTAGGTTGGATCTTGGGAATATAATGAGAAGTACCGGCAGCAACAAATTGTTTTTTGATACTATATGGATCTGCTTGTTTATGTGGGAATGCTTGTGGCATTGGAACATTCAATGGATTAGATTCAATGGATTTTGTGGATGATCTTCGTTGGATTGGCAGGGTAGGTTCTTGTTCTGGTTCTTGAGCTGGTGCGGCAGCCTCTTGTTTGGCAATTGAACTTTCTTCAGTTGTTGATGTACGTCTTGTTGGTCTATTCAGGGTAGGAACAACAGGAATTGGTACGATTTCTACAAAGTTCTTAGGGAACATTCCTGATTTACCATCATATTCACCAGTAAACCATTCATCATTTTCAATGGTTGTAACAGTAATGATTTGACCAATGGAAAAGTTTAAATCATCTTCAAAATCTGATTTATAATCAAAGATAGCTTTGACTTGGAATGGAACTTGTGGTTGTTCTGACATTCTTCTGTTTAGCTCTTAGCAATTGAATTGAATTGAATTGAAGTTAATTAATAAAAAGAAGAAAGAAAGATAAAGAGAAAATCAAAGAGTGGGAAGTTTTAAAACCAGAAAAAATAGGAAGCCTCGTTACAATATCCCTCCACACTTTGGCTTGGTTTTTTTCTGGTGCGCTATTAATTCTCTCTTTCCCCCCTATTTAAAAAGTTCCTAAGCAAATCATATAAAAACTTTTTTTAGCACCGCCCCTCCCACTCTGATCCCTCGTGCCGATTAACTGAAATTCCCATACTAACTACTATTGGTACGGGGACTGCCTTACAACTATTTCATTATCCTTTACTTGGGGCTTTAGATTGGTTCTTATTTAACATTTGGCATTCTCATAGCGGAGAATCATCCTTTACTCTTATCCTTCTTGGCTCAAGGGAAACGTATTAACACGGGGATATAGTAAAGTGGTTAATAGTAACACATTCTAAGCCAGTACCATGCAACAAAATAATGGTGATTAGAGAGATTCGCGTCCGCAATATTTTCTCGTACCAAATCTAACACGGTTCAATATTTTTTCTCGTGCTAGATCGATTTGATGGATGGACAGATAAACAACAAAGATCAAAGATATCATTCACTGCCATTGAAGAGGAAGGATATATTGTAAAACGCAATGTCACAGATCACTATTACTGCCAAACCGTCATCTTCAACTACTCAAATAACCGAGAAACTATTAGCATCATGTCGACCTACCAAGTTATTTGATTATCATCAAGGTGCATCAATCACATCACTTGATTTTGATGATTCTGGTCAATATTTAATATCAGCAGGTATTGATAAATCTATACAATTATATGATTGTCATAAAGGTATTCATTATAAAGATATACAATCTCAGAAATATGGTTGTCATCTGGCAAGATTTACTCACCTTGATTTGAATTGTTTATATGCTTCAACTCCAAATAATCCTCAAGAAAATGATAATGCCATAAGATATCTTGCTTTATCAAATAATCAATATATACGATATTTTAAAGGACATAAAGAACAAGTTAGTTCAATTGAAGTTAATCCAATTCATAATACATTTTTAAGTTCTAGTTTTGATGGAACTGTAAAACATTGGGATTTAAAATCTTCTTCATCAATTGGTAATATTGATATTGGACAAAATTCAATAATTGGATTTGATCCTCATGGAATTATATTTGCAATTGGGAAATATCCTGATGAAAATAGTACAATTGGTTCAATTGGTTTATATGACCTAAAGACATTTGATAAAGGTCCATTCTTACAAGTACTGATTCCAGTATCAAAAGGTCAAATTTGGAATAAATTGGAATTTTCAAATAATGGGAAATTACTTTTAATTTCAACTGAATCTTCAGAACATTATATTCTCGATGCATTTCTGGGTAAAGTACTTGCAAGAATTCAACTAGATAAGCAATCACCTAGTCATAATCATACTCAACCTAAGAATTGGATGTCATTTAAATATCCTTATACTGGAAGTTGTACATTTTCACCTTGTGGTAAATTCGTCTTAATTGGTAGCCCATACTCAATTGTACATATTTTTGATTTGAATGATTTAAAAACATCAAGAGATCATAATTCAGATCTTGAACCAATTATATTAACAAAATCAAGCAATATACAAAGTACTCATGGAATACCGAAAATTGTAGCATTCAATCCAAAGTTATTTACTTTTGCTACTGCTGATACAACTGTAACATTATGGCTGCCTACTTCAAAGTAGGAATCCCCCACCAACTTTGGTTCCCCCACCAAAAAAAAATATTTATCTCGATGGACTTACTTTACTCTTCTCATAGATCATCATTTCTAATACACATACACCAATGACTACTCCAACGCTAAGTAAATTCTTGACACGACTCACAGAAACCAAACCAATTACTCGTATAAAACTAAAAGGACCTTCAACTTCTTTCAAACCAAATCCTGCCTATAATAAAACCAGTGTATTTGACAATGAAAAAATCAACTACACAGGAGCCAAAGACTTTTATTCAAAACAAACAACTCCACGCTATGCACAAGAAGTGCTTCCTGAAAAGGTCACAGATATAAAAGGTGTTGCAGAAGAAGCGTTTCAGGTTTTGTTTAACTCCAGAAAGAGTAGTAAATATCCATATGCTAGTTCTAACCCTTTTTTCAAACTTCAATTTTATCCACCTGAACATCCATTAGCCAAATTCAGGAAATCAAATGTTGCATTTACATTTGCGACTTACTTTGTTAGTCTATTCAATAGTAACCAATTAGAAAAAGCATTCACTCGATATTCTGGAAAATACAAGAATCTAGTAAGTTTCCAAGTGAAACCCCTGCCTAAATTTTCTGCATTTGGAAGAAGTAGAACCAAAAGTGTGGCAAGACGTCTATATATGGAATTATTAAAGGAGAAATATTCCGATAGGACAAGTCAAGAACTTCAAGGAGTTTATCACTTTATGGTATATAAAGTTCCAAAGACTACTGAACATATTCAAGAATTTAAACGAGAATTAGATCTTGCAATTCAAAGAATTCTAAATGATAGATCTTTAAGAGCAGCGGATTTTAGGGACTTTCACTATGATAGAAGGAAGTTAGAGTCTCGGGACTATTCACCTTTCTTCCGCCCTGAGAAGGAACCAATTCCAAGAGTTAGTTGGACACCATTTTTAAGAAGAACACGCCGTGATAGATTCTAGTCTATAAATATGTCTATTATAAGATATATACAGGTTAGTCTATTTTTTAATATCTCAAATGTAAGACCATTCTGGATAGTCAGTTTCGAAATGTAATTGGTTGCCATTGTCATCTTGACAAGTGAAACTTAATGCATGCAACCATACTTCTGATTTTATTCCAGTATCCCCATCAAAGAGTGTACGATTACATTCAGTACAGATGGAATTTGTGGATTTTCGAGATGCGATATATTTTTCTTGAGCTTCTCCGATTTCTCCAATTCTTGATTTTAAACTTGGATCAGAATTCCAATTTATTGCATCTAAAACATTGATTGTGGTTTCGCTTCCTAAAGGATTGCAGTCTAATTTGTGAAACCCTTTAAATTGAGGATATGCTGTGAAAACCATCTCATATAGTTCAACTTCAAGTGCAATTTTCTGACGCATTACATCGTCAGTTACATCTGCTTTGGCGTTATAGACAAAATCATTAGCAATTGGATGTCCAAGGTTTCTTAGATGTATTCGAATCTGATGGAATTTCCCAGTCAAGGGTTCACATAAAACAACACTTTGATCTAATTCTTTATTATATGAAATCCGAGTGAATATCGTAGTTGAATCAGTAGGTAAATTCTCTATGTTTGATGGTTTCAAATATCCTCCATTTGTATTAATTGAAAACACGGGACAATTGACTACGATCCTCCCCTCGGGGAATTCACCACTCACTCTAGCCAAATACCTTTTCTTAATCGTTCCTTTTTCGTCTCGGATAAGCTTCATTATTCTAGATAAGGCTCCTTTCGCTTTCGCAAGGATCAAAACCCCTGATGTCACTTTATCCAATCTATGACAAGCCCAAATCGACTCCGACCCCCTCTCAAGCTTCAATATCTCACTCACGCTATTCAAATTATAATTCCCACTAGGATGAGTCGGTATTCCCGAAGGTTTATTCACCACCACCAACTCATCATTCTCAAACACAATGGGAATCCTTTCTCGATCAGTTGGCCAAGGAACCTGGGCTTCATGCATATGTTTCATATGACATATTATATCTTGCATCTCGATCTTTCGTGTCAGTAAGACTTCCCAACCTCGATATTCTGTTGGCTGTTGTTTTGGTTTCTGGTTGATTAGATAAAGTTTATTGGTTTTGATGTCATGGATCACGTTGGGTTCTTTTTCACCGAAATCTCGGGTATATACTTCAACTAAGGTTTTGCCTATCCATCTTCCTTTTATGCGGGTCTGGAAGGGCCGATAAAAGGGGGAGACAGTTCTGAAACCACTCTGGGTTGTGATGTTTGACATGGCCAGAATAGCGAAGAGATAATTAACAGCATCATCTCGTAAATTTTATTTTTTGCACGGACCGTTTTGCGAAATATTCAACAGTGATCTGAGAAATCTCAAAGGTAGAGGTAGAGACTGTTCTATTTAAATGCTATAACTTTTATTATGAGTGCTATTGTTCTATAAACTTATAATTTCCCTTTAAATATTTCACATAAGGTATTACAAATCATTTCAGAAACTCCACCACCAGTACATCTAACAGTCACCAACAACTCTTTCCCAATCGCATCCTCCCCGCTAATCGAAACCAATACCCCATAATTCGATTTCTGAGTATGTAAAATCCCAGCACCAGTCACATAGATCTGCGTATCTGGAGTATCCGGTGAAATCGCAACAATGGCAAATCCAAGCCTTGTCAAAAGTCTAGAAATATTAGACGCATTAAGTCGATGAGAAAGATGGACCTGAGATTTATATTGTCCCTTATCAACACCCAAAAGTTCACCAATCTGGGTCCATCTTTTCGTAAACTCGTCTATTCCGGTTAATGAAGTAGGTGCTAATGTTTTGATTAACAATACGGGGAATTTCAAATTTAGATGATTGAAAGATCCTCCACACATATATGTCATGGAAAGGACTGGGCTTTCATGATTTTCGACGATATTTCGAACTTTTATTTCAATTTCCATCGTAGTTTTGTCATAGATGTTTGCTTCGGGGACGGTTTTGATACGTAATGTATAATTAGGATCTTCTTGTTTGGTTAATGATTCTAAATTAAGAACATTAAATCCAGTTATATCCGTTCCGATAGTTTTGGAAGCTTTATTGATGATTGTGAAAATTAGGTCTATACTTGGTCCATTCTTGATTACTCTGTATGTGATTTTGATTAATTGATCTTCATAAAATATCCCCATATCATAATGAAGCATTCTATGATATCCCACATACCAATTTGATGATAATGTAGTTGTTGATGATTTCTTATTGGTTGCTTCTCCATCAAATGGGTTTGTGTCTTCGGAATCTTCGTGTTTACCATTTGATTTAGAATGGATATTTTTAGCCAAAACCAACGATCTTGATCGATTTAAACTTACGATCCTACTCACACTCCCTAATCTATTCAATAATGGACTTTCCTGCTGATTAAATACCGGTAATGGTTTTATGATATTTTTGGCAAGTGTGAAATCAGAATCAGTGGTTACTAATTTAAGATATTCATAAGCACGAGTTTGTATTTCCAAATCAATAGATTGAGTTTCAATTTCAAATAAATCAACAATCTCAGGCACGAATTCTTCATCGGGGAATTTGACGACAAATTTCAAAAATGTCGATAATAACATTGCTCTAGTCAAGAGAGAAACATTAAAATATGCATCCAACAATAATTGAAATTGAATTTCAACACTCATTTCTTCAATATCATTAACTTGTTCTCCAAATTCTCCTAATATGACCGCTGCGGCTTTTACCAAATTCTCGGAAAATGGTGGTGGTGCGGGTGATTTATTATCTTCAGGGTTCCGGGAATATGGTTTCTTTAATAAGTTGATAATCAACTTACATGTCTTCTTTTGTAAATCGCCATTATTCACCACGATCTGAACCACCCGTTCCCAGATTTCATTTCCAATATATCCCATCCCAGAACTCGAAGCACTACCACCAATAGACAATAATTTAAGCATGGTACTAACATACCAAGTCGAATCAGTGGCGAATCGTTCTGCCAAAAGAGCAATCTTGATAGCTAATTCTGATTTCAAAGATAGGTCAGCCTTAGGGAAATAATCCAATAATGTACTTATGATAGTGCCATAATTGATATAATCACATACTGTATATAATAAATCAAGTGCTTTTCTTCGGACGGAAATATCTTTATCATGAATTAATCTAATCATAATATGAAGAATTTCGTCAAATTTATCCTTGGATGATAAATATGTGGAATCCAGTCTTGCTGTTAATTTAATCAATGCATCTAGGGCAAGATATCTTGTATTTGTTTCTGGGGAATTTAATAACATTAATAACGCGTTCATTGCACCTTGAATTGCTTCTGGTGCTGCTTCTAAAAATACTGCAAGCGAAACTGCTTGGAATAGGATTGCACTTTGGGAATTTCGATTGGGTAATCCTTTTATAGGTTGGGTTGCATTATGAATAGATGTAGCTACAGCTTGACGTAAATGACCAATTGTCTGTTCATCAAGAATATGAATCGTAAGCACAGGGGTTCCATTGTCATCTAATAAGAATAATTGTTCTATGAATTGTAATAATTTGATGATTAACCAAGGTGCTGGGAAATTATAATAATAATATTCTTGAGGACACATATTGTCAACAACTATATTATATAATTTCTGAGCTATCGAGGGGACAATTGATTTGACAAATTGAGGTTTGAGACGTAATATAAGTTGTAATACTGGAATACTTGAAATAACAGTACCTAAATCATTATCATCTATTAATTTAAGTAATCGAAGAATCCAATTACTATTCGTGATAATTACATCGGGATATAATTCAAATAATACTTTTAATGCAATTGATGCCTTCCTTCTCATGATTGGTTTTTGAATAGGGGAAGTAACTGAAGCATATACCATATCTATCAATTCTAACCATTTCTCTGAATTTGGATCCAGTTCCAAAATTTGAATAGTTTTGGAATTATTAACATTAAAAACAGTAGATATGAATTGTACAGCCAAACAATTAAATTCTTCATCTTGAGATTGTAAATCCCGAACCAAATCTTCATGAACCAATTCAAGAATATAATTCATATGGTCTTTAAGTGGTTTATGTTCTCGATTATTTGCCAATATCGAAACAGCCAAATATCCAAGTTGTTTCTCTGAATAAACTGAAGATCGAAGTAATTCAAATGATTCTTTTAAACCAAAATTAACTAATTCACTATTTCCTAATAAATAAATATAAATCAATTTACTAACATATTTCTTCTTTTGAGTTCCATTAAGATTAGTATCAAATTTTGCTTGAATATTGTTGATTTCAAGATTCATCTTTTTATATTCTTCTTCTTGATCTTTGGAATTACGTAAGTCCGTAATGAACAGGGTTAACCCTTTCATCTGACTTTTCAGTTGCAATTTAACCCCTTGATTCCGCAGCATCTTTCTGTTTCTATAAATCTATATGCCAATTGATTCAAGGTGTCTCAAGCGTAGTCGATGACAGATTTATGTCAACGGTAAACACGCAAATTTCTGGTGCCAAATATAAATAAATATACAGCCGACAATTTAATGAAATTTCCAGTGGTCACATGACTTGTGTCGCTTAGTTGATGTTTGACATTTTTTAATCAACTTTGAGACATAAAGAAAGGTCGTGTACTTTCATACAATTAATGATTTGCATTTTTTCATTGGTTGAGAAAAAATTAAAGTGAGAAAAAAAACTCGGATTTTCACTTCACTCACTTCACTCACTCAATCCAACCAACTACCACGAAAAAATCATTGAAAATTTCCAAAATACATTTAAAGAGAGCAGTATACTGTTTTTACAATTGGAAGATATAACACAACAAGTAACACCCACAATGTCTGCCGTTGCCAAACAAGTTGCTAAGAAAGTTGATTTCACCAAAGTTATCAACAGTTTAGGATTATCCGGTACAACTGCCGGTTCCTTATCTGCTTTTAAGAAGAGACATGATGAAGCCAAAAAGGAAAACTTGGATTTATCAGCTCATAGTATTGATATTGATTTCAATCATTATAGATCAGTATTAAAGAATAGTAAAGTCGTCGATCAAATTGAAAGGTCTGTTAAATCTTTTACACCAGTTACTATTGATGTTTCTAAAAATTTAAAGAATATTGAAATTTTTGAACAAAAAGCAATTGAAAATGCTCAATTAACTGAAAAATCCGTCTTGGCTGAAATTTCTCAATTACAACAAACCTTGAAGGATATTGAAACTGCTAGACCATTTGATGAATTGACTGTCGATGATGTTATTGCTGCTAAACCAATTATTGAAGAAAGATTAACTTGGATGGTTAAGAATGGTAAATGGGAAGTTCCAGGTTATAAAGAAAAATTCGGTGACTTGGCTCCTATGTAAGAAGACTACTACTGTCTGTCAATTATTATATGCATATATCCCATTTCACACTTTGTTTTTACTTCCAAGTCAAGAAGAAGAAGAAGAAGTTACAGTTTTTCAATTTATCATTTAATTTTAGTTAGATAAAATGATTTAACAATAAATTATTATATTATTATTATCGGGAAGAAGTGAACTAGCTTGCGTTGATATCTATCCATTGAGCTGTTTGTTTGTTAAACAGTTGAAGAGCTTGGATATTATCAATATGTAAAATCTGATCAAAATGTAGTACAAATGATGGATCTAGTTTTGTATATCTCTGAAGACTAGTATCACGTACAGGTGCAATATTCTCTTTGATTCCATTATTAAACACAATATCATAAGCAGTGACTACAACGTTGCAATTGTATTTCGTGACAATCACTTGTAAAATTCTAAATAAATTCAAATAATAAAATTGTGGAGGTCGTAAGATATTATCAAATCCTAATTGTTGATAATTGAATTTATCAACTATAATCAAATCCCAATAAAATGCAGTAAGATTATGAATTAGAATTGTATTGACTACTTGATCGTTGAATTCAAAATCACCATTTGCAATTTGTCTTAATTTAATAAGAAGTTGAGTAAAAGTTTGTACAATGCTGTTTGATTGTATACTACCATCCATACAAGATATTGTATACGTTGTAGCCTGTTGATGTTTATATAATTCATCAATGACATGTCGTATTATTCTTCTATTTGAACATAAATGAAGATATAATTGATTGGGTAATAAAGTAACTTTATTATTATAAATATTTATAGGTTTATTAGGGAATTCTATTCGTTCTCTTAATGCAATTTGTTTCATAATAAATTAGTTGATTTAAGTATCAAGGGAATGTAAATTGTATAATTTCGCTGTTTGGATCTTCAATGAGTATGTACTTTTTGTTGAAATAGATAGGATAAGCCAATACTATATGAACAAAGAAATAAATTTATAGCAAGTGATAACAAAGTCGGGTAACACCCTTCTCGATACTAAAGCTGAACAACCAAACAAACAAAAGTGTACAACGTGAATAAAATTGTACTATTTATAGGCTTATATAGTTAAGGAAAGTAAATTAATACATTAGGTGAACAAAGTTTTATAATATCGCTTATACAATTAAATTATATTGATCACTCATCTCAACTTGTTTGTAGGATCACTTATCTCAACTTGTTTGTAGTGTGTCTGGTCTCGAATTTTAATAGCTTTTTTTTGGTTGATGGGTTACATAAACCATCGGCCAATGTGAGCAAATTGCCGATTTCCGGTTGCAAATTTTTAAGCCATGGAATATTTTATTGAAAATAAATTTCAATCAATTACTTAATAAGTACCGTTCCTAACGAAGCCAGCTGGCAACTTTGTTTATTGTAGGCTGAAGAATTGGAGGAGATCTTTGAAAGGACGTGAAAGATCTCTAAATTTCTGATACAAAAATTCTTGCCAGAAAGAATAGTGCAGTATATGTAACATCAAATCTTAACCGATATTCTGATAATTATTATCAGATCTGTTGTTGCAAAAGTGATATTTCGGAATTGGTGCAATAAGAGAATATCTCAATATGTACTAATGTGTGACATGATCCTGTACCATGATATTTTGATGGGAAAACACGAATCGCGTGTCACTTGTTTGATTTTCTTGGCTGGGGGGGTCCGAGAAATCAATCAATTTGTTTCTTTTTTTTTATTTTACGTTGCATAAATTGTGCTTAGCCTAGGTAGGCTGATCTTCTCATTATTATCCTGACACTGAGATAGAGGGCAGTGTCTATAGATTATAATAGAATAATACAATCGGATCTCTGTGGGATCTTTTACCGAACCCCGTGCCGCATTAAAAACGGAACAACTGGAGATGAGAACAATAAGGTGATATAAAATTATAATAAACTGGTAGCGTTAACATAAAAAAAAAAAGACGAAACTGTAATAAGAAAAATAAACTCGGAATTTAAAAGTTAGTTCTTTCTTCTCACATACTTTTAATCAAATACCAATTGAAGTCACAAGTTTGTATTATTAAAAATATCTTAATACTTTTTTTCTTCAAACATTTATAAATAATTAATCACACTATCATTTTAATATTATTATTGCTTAATGGTAGCAATCAATCAGCCCATATAATCATTCATTCATTTTTACACTTTTAAGCCAAACAGCAATTCAAGCAACACTAGAAATTCATCTTCCATGCAGAAGCCAACCAATTTTATAACTTCAAGATTATCAAATAATCTTTATAGATTGTTTAAACAACTGAAGTTAATATATCAAGAAATGTCTACTAAAGTTATTAAAGACATATTAAATGAAAGATCATCAACTGAATTTAGTAAAGATTTATTAATTAACACAGCATTCATATTATGTTGTATGATTTTCACTACTAGTCTTAATTATATTCCAAGACCTGATCATATTTATTATAAATTTTTATATCGATTTGATTCATATTTCTTTGAATTTAATAAATCTATAATTGGTCCAATTACAGGTATTTTGTTATTATTATTAGGTTCATTATTATTATATGGGAAATATTTTAGACACTCGTTTGTTATATTTGCTGGTAATGCTTCATTTATGGATGAAGAAGAAACTGATGATGGGTATTCTTCATTCACGTTAAAACCTTTACAAATAATACCTGATAGTCATCATCATCATCTAAAGATAGAACCACGACATTCTTTATCATCAACTTCAATATCAACTGATACTTCATTAGAATCTCCTCCAAGTGAACCAGAATTATTAGAAAATGGAGGATTATTTGATTTTACTCATTTTAATGATTCATCAACTTCAGAATTTATCGAAAAGAAAACTTCATCATCTTCAAGTAAAGTTTCATATATTTGGAATTTATCACCAATATTATTATTAGCTACTTCGTGGTTTATTCTTAATGCATTATATTCAACCAAAACTCCAATCTATAAAGCAAAAAATATTGTTGCTTGGATTTTCCATGTCCCAGTACATTTCATAGTTCCACCATTTATAGGAACTTGGTTATATTTATTCCACCCTCCAGGAGCACTTAAATTATTTATATTCAGTTTAGGTCTACAAAACTTAGTAATGGTAATCACCTATTTAATATTCCCTAATGCCCCACCATTATTTATAAAATTATACGGAGAAAATAAAGAACCTACATTTGATATGATCTATACCGATGGAATAACCAGTGAAGATATGAAATTCAGTATCCTACTACAAAAAGCAGTCTATTATGCTACTCCCAATAAATTCGCATCATTCCCATCAATGCATAGTGCTTTCGCATGTCTAATATTCTTTTTTGTATGTTATTATTCAAAATGGTCGCTGTTTAAATTATTAGGATTGATTAATATCCTAGGACAATGGTGGACTGATTTATATCTTGATCATCATTGGAGAATCGATAGTTTGGCGGGATTGGTGTATGCTATAACTACTTGGGTAATATTAATGAAATGGAAAAAATATGGGTTGACTCAAATTGATGAAAAATTTCTGCGAGCTAAAGAAAATATGAATTTTAAGAATGGGAGTACTATGGGAATGAGATTGTTTAGAAATACCAGGTTTCAAAAGTACTTTGATCCTTTGGCGTAAGGGGATGGCTTTACTTTTAGACTTTGCTAGATAGTTCTATATATATATATGTATAATATAGCTCAATGAATGTTACGATGGTTTAGTGTTTCTTTTCCTGTATCGGTTGGCTTTAGAGCCATAGATTGGTTACATAAATATACTTCTAATTTAAAAATTCAATTCTAGAGTCTAAGCGTTTTTTGTTTCCCTCCAGGAGGATGTTTATTGACAGTGCGATACTGGAGCTTGACCATTTGTCGGCCTGTTTACAGTAGAAGAATATGAAGGTAAGATAAATGTAGCAATTAAAAAACAATATTAAATTCTATTCTTGATTTAGATATTGGTGAGAGATATATAACTAGAGATAAATAATAAATAAAATAAATAACTAAACCCTCACTTAATCATCTTGACATTCAATCAATTCAACAACATCTAAAGTAACAGGATGACATTGATATCCAATTGGTTCATCATATAAATTATAGAAATTTCCAGAAGCACATTGATAAAATTTAGTTGAATTTCCTAAAGCCAATTGTCCATCTTTAGTAATTGACCAACCAGCACAATAAACAGCACCATGTTGAGGAGTTGGACCATCGAATTGGAATTGATGACCAGAAACAATACTTCCAATTCTATTATCTGAATCTTTCAAGATGGAATTTTGTAATGTCATTCTTAAGGTTGAATTAGTATAACAAGCAACTGAATAAACTGGGGATTGGAATTCATCTTCTGGACCATTTGGAAGAGGAACTTGTTCACTACCTTCTTGTGGTCTCTTCTTATTACCACCACGTCTTCCACTATGCTTCTTTCTTTGTCTATCAATAAGTCTTGGTTCTCCATCAATCTCTTCATAAATCTCTTCAACAGTTTCAATTTCTTCTTGGATATCTTCTCCATTTGCAACTTCTGATAATTCATCTCTTTTTAATAACTTACCGCCATTAATTTCTTCTTCTTCTCTTTCCTTTTCTCTACCTCTTTCTCTTTCTCTAAATTCCTTCCCGCCTTGTTTTCTCTTTCCTCCTTCTTGTGATTCTTCATCCTCAGTTCTAACTTTTTGTACTTGTCCATCATTTATTTGCATAATAATATCTTTTGTTTTTGTGGGTTTTGGAGCAGCGGTAACAACAGATGTAACAAAACTGGTAGTCATGGATCTTTCAATCGTAGAAATTGGTGGTTCTAATAAATCTCCCTTTTCACTAACTAAATATGGATTAACAACTATTCCAAATGAAAATGGAACACTTTCAAAATTGCCTTCTAAAATTCCACGATCGGGTTTTAAAAGTGACCAATCATCACCATTTGCTGGAACATAATAGGCGGTAGTTTTAGGTAAGGAGAACAGGATTATTGAAACTGGAAATAATAATGAATTGATCTTCATGCTTTGTGTTTGTCTTTGTAGTTCTTGTATTTGGAAACTTTTGACTTAGTTGAAAAGAAAAAGAAAGTGAAGTATTTGTAAAAAGTTTTACAAATTGAAAGTTATGAGTTTAAATAGTTGCAAAAAAAAGCCGCACACACATAATAGGTTGCAAAAAAAACAGAAGGGAGAAAATTCCAAAAAAATATACAAATTTGTTGCAACCATTTATGGGACAAAGTTCATAACAAGTTACAAAGTAAATTAATTAGGGTTTATAAAACTAATAGGAACTGGTTGATATATGCTATTATATCCTTCTTGAAAGTCTATTTCTTTCTTGTGATAATATAACTAGTAAGTAGTTGTCTACCGAATGAACAAACTTACTACAAAGATAACTCAAATTAGCTGGTCAGAATTAGATATATCCTCTTTGTGCTTTTCTTGCCCTATGTCAATAGTCCACATTTTAGTTTGTATGTATGGCAAAATTCAATAAGTGACGTCTCCCTCTTGTAACTTACTAAATCAGAGTGGGAGAAATTGAGAGAGCAAGATCTGAAAAAAATATTATTGGCCATTAATACACGACCTTTTATCAGTGAGGAAAAAAATTAAATCCAAAACTTCGATGGTTGTCCAACAAGATTCAAAAGATTAATAAGCAAATCACTATAAGATAGATAGACATTCTCATTTATAGAAATATCATAGATACAACCCCAAAATGTTTAGAAGAACTTTATTAAATACCACCAGATTCGTATGTTCCATTTCGTTTTGAACAGAACAGCATATAAACCCTATACTAACCGTACACCAAGACTCCAATCAGAACAACAACTCCAAAATTCATTTCAGTCAGATTCATGTCAACTGAAATCAAAGAAGCCATAGATAAAGCAGTTGCTTCATCCCCAGTGGTTCTCTTTATGAAAGGTACTCCCGAATTCCCGCAATGTGGATTCTCAAGAGCCACTATTCAAACATTAGGACAACAAGGTGTTGATCCCGAGAAATTCGCCGCCTATAACGTATTAGAAGATCAAGAATTAAGAGATGCCATTAAGGAATATAGTGAATGGCCAACTGTTCCTCAATTATATGTGAATGGACAATTTGTGGGTGGGTGTGATATTGTTATGCAAATGGCTAAAAATGGTGAATTGGCTGAATTGTTGGAAGAAAATGATGCTTTGGTTCCTGAAGAAGAAGAAGGAGATGATGTTGTTAAAGCTGCTGAAGTTAAGCCAAATAGAGATTAGAGGAGTTGTGTAGTAGTGTGGTGGGGGAGGTATTGACAGTAATATGCTCTTTTTTTGTACATAGTGAAGTAAATTTAGGGATTAAAATGTATTTATTAAGAAAGTATGAATATGCTACGGAAACAGATAACGCGAGGATGCATTAACATAATGAATCCAAGGATTATCAAATGTTAGCAATTGTAAAACAAAGCCTAATCTAAACTAATGGCAATCTTTATTTATGTAAGCCATGCATGCTACTGCACCCCCTTGAACGATTCTGTAAACTTCATAGAGCAACTTGGTTCAATCTCTCACTTGCTACAAAGAGAACCCCTAACTAAATTAATTTAATCATCACATGCTATAATAATATTACCTATACAAGATATATTCACAATACGTAATAAATGCAAAAAAATCAAATCTGTTTTTGATATCCTTCTCCGACTCTAAAAAAACCCCGGTATAACTATAACTCAGTCATAACTTCCTGAGTCTAAATGAAACTATTATAAATAAATAAAAAATGCATTGCTGTATTTCTAAGCACATTGACAACTTTGTTGAAGTCCAGAAGCTGGACCCATACCATTTGAAACGTCGCTATTTTTCTTTGACGATTTTCTTCTAGATAACAAGTTGGAATCATTAAGATTCAAATTAAACGTGATCGATTCTCCATTAATACCAGATATAATGGATGATGATCTAGTATGATTTTCCATATCGAACCCAGATGATTCAATTGAAGAATTGGTGGTGGTGGTAGATAAATACTGGTCGGGTTCTAAGTATTGAGGCGCAAATAATGATTCATGATGTTTTTTAATCTTGTTTGATGAACTACTACGGCCTCTTGCACGAGTTTTTATATTGGTTAACTTTTGTCCCAATTCAGAAACTTCGTCTACTTCATCATCTTCTTCTACTTCATCTTCTTCTTCTGCATCATCATCATCAAACATCTCATTCATGGCTTTGGGATATGGTGTTCTCAAATATCCAACATGCTGTGGCTGTTGATCCTGGGGATCAGGACTTTCTTCTTCATCGTCATCATCGTTCTCTTCGCTGCTGCTATCTCCCTGGTCCTCCTCTTCTTCTTCTCCCTCTTCTTCCTCTTCTTCCTTATCAGCATCTTCTTCGGAAATTTCTGATAAATCGCCAACATCATGCGCAGCTACCAAGTTTTCCTCGGTCATTGCCGGATTATCAAACACCTTTCGAATAGCATTTGCTCTAGGTGAATCCATCGCTTGACCACATGCCACAGCTCCGCCAGCAAGTACAGTAGCTGCCATAGTATTCTCTTCAACGTGATATACTTCATAGCTCTTAGTTTCGAAATAATGTGTAGGTTCTTTTGGTTCTGGTAATGATTGTTTATTTTCCGATTGTAACCAAGGATGTCTCCATATTTCATCAATTGTAATTCTTGCATCTGGATTAATTGTCAACATTCTTGAAATTAAATCCTTGGCATCAGTACTGATTTCATCCCACCATGGTCTTAAGAAAACAAAATCTCCTTTTAGGATCTTGATGGTTAAATTATTAGAATCATCATCATAAAATGGTGGGAATCCACATAAGATAGTATATAAGAAACAACCTAATGACCAAATATCAACTGATTTTGAATAATAATTCTTGGATTTCTTGAGTAAGAAATGTCGAGTGTTACAAGTTATGACTTCTGGAGCAGTATAGCCGGCTGTACCACAAGGAGTCTTTAAATGAACATCATTTACATCGTCAACTAATTGTTTAGCAAGACCAAAATCAGCAAGTCTAATGGAACCTATAGTACCACCACCAATATTTGGTTTGAATTCACCTTCATCAGCTTTATTTTCATCGTCTGATCTACGTAATGATTTTTTGAATGTTTCCTTTGATCTTGGGAAATAAGGAATCTTTTTAAATAATAAATTTTCTGGTTTTATATCACGATGAACAATATTTAATTTATGTAATTCTTCAATTGCAGATAATAATTGTTTAAATACATGAATTGATAATTCTTCGGAAAAATACGTATATTCAATAATCTTATTGAATATTTCTCCACCGTCACAATGTTCCAATACCAAAAAGCAATGATCCAAAGTATCAATAGAATCAACCAACTTTAATAAATTTGGATGATCAAGACGTTTCATAATTTGAATTTCATTCTTAATATTATGAAATTGTTTTGCCGATAAATTAGCCTTTTCGATAATCTTTATGGCAACAGTTGTATTATTATCGATATCTATTGCCTTATAGACAGTAGAAAAGGCACCTTCACCTAATGTACAAACCAATTTATAGTTAGAAGGTAGGTCGGGATAAAAATCATTTAGATTTGCATCAAATGATATTGACGACTCTTGAATAAATTCTGAGGTAGTAGTCTCGGCAGTCATAATGTAGTCATTAGCAGAAATACCGTCTTCTTGACTTGAAAGGAATGACGAATGAATTGAATGATTGTCTAATAAATCTGGGGTAGAATGGTGAACACCAACAGTTACGGGCAAGATTTTAAGTTTCTCGGTTGATCTTGCTGGTTCTGAAATTGCAGTGGTATAAGTAGTTTGAGTTGTTGGAACCGTATTAATAAATAACTTTTTAAAATTCTATAATAAAAAAAAATGTTAGTAAAAAGATGATATATTAACCTTTTTAAATATAATCTGATAAATTGGGGCAAATGAAAATAATTCTTTTATAAACTCAAAAGTTTAATCATCCATGTTCATTTTTATATTCAAAAAAAAAAAAAAAAAGATTTTAATTAAAAAAAATATTTTTTGGATTTCTCCACTTAAACAATTTTTTCGCTTAAAAACAAAAAAAAGAAGCAAAAAAATAATTTATTATCTTTTTGTGTCATGATTTGCACTACCTTTTTCGGTCATTTTGATGTTTGCTTTTTTTGGGGCCATTTAATCATTCATTTCTAGTATAAAGGACAATGATGTGATTATGACGTTATAGTTGTAAAATATGTGACATTGCTAGTTTCATATGGTTGTGAACTTGAAGCGAACTATGTTGGTATGTAATCCAATACGCCCTAAGAAAACTTTAAAATGGCAAAAAAAAAAAAGTTGCAAAGTAACGTGGAATTTTAGTCGTAGATTTTTTTTTTGGTAGCCCTGAGAACTAGTAGATTGCAAAAGATAAACAACATTGGAGAAATGACCTAAAGGATCATAACGGAGATAGGGGGGATCAAAACGATGAATGATCAGGATAGGCCAGTGCATATAGTGTTTTGGATGGAATCTAACTTTGTAGCCCATTTATCATATTATACTTATGTTACTGGAACTAAGCTGGGAAAATAAAAAAAAATACATACCTCAACAATCGCCATGATTAAATCTCTATCTTTTTAAAAAGTTGTGTGTAATGAATGAGTTAAGATTTAACTGTAATATATTTGAATTAAAATAAACGGAATAGGCAAATATTTATGTGTCCTTTGTTTTTTGTATGAAAAGTTGTTAACAATGGTTGAAAAAAATTTTGGTTGTTTGGTGAAATCTATGAAATTTTCAAATGAATAATTGACAACTGATTAATTAGTAATAAAAAAAAATGAAATTACTTTGATTTGTATGAAGTTGTTATTTAAATGAATTGAATAAAAGGAAGAGATATGGCCAGTTAGTCAACGCATTGATTGATCAACTATCGTTTGCTGTTTATCTCTTGTGAAATTCTTTTGTGATAAAGTGAATATAAATGGTTGTAAAGCCTGTGACAATTCAACTTTTTAAGTTATTATTGCTTTAAGGAGTTCCTATGGTTTATAATAATAATAAGAATATCGGTGTAATTGATGATTTTTTAGAGAAGTCCTACTTTTGTTGTAATCTCTATATCATATATATACAAAAAGAACAAATAAGAGAGAGAGAGAAAAGGGTACCAAATATTTAAAATGAAGTTTAAATTGGAATTTTTACAACACTTTTATAATTTTTATTTTATTTTAATTTTAAGTCCATAGAAAAAAGATTTTGATTATGTAATCGGAATGTTTATGGAATTTTGCATAAAAATTTATTTTTAAATTATTTTGGATTTTTTTCAGAGGGGAAATGTATCTATGCATTGCCCATCAAAAAATAATATCAATTGAAACAATTATCCTTTCTTTGTTTTCTTTGTTAAATTGTCGAAACTGTTTTGTCTTGAACTATTTGATTGTTTGCTAATCGACTGTAATGTTAAGTGACATCATATTTACAATGTCACATAATCATAGTCACCAATTTATGACAAATCTTTAAAAAAGAAACTCTTTGTTTAGATTGTGGGTTATAATTAGAAACGAAATGTATGTATATGAAAGGGTAACAAAGCAAGAGAAAAAAAGAATTTAAACTTTCTGAAAAAATAAGAAACTTAAATTTTTGAAAATTTGGGGAACAGAATTCTTTATCTTTTCAAATCAGACCATAGTTAAGAAGAATTATTATTCCCGCTATACCATCCAGGCGATGATCCCTTTGAAGTTGTTTCTTATATCTTTCGTATTACAAGTACAGATTCTGAAGGAGAGGAGGCGGTTATCATAGCCCGCTTGAATCGTATGGATAGTATTTTAACTTTTGTTCTATTCTTATTTTTTAAGTTATTTCATATTTTTTAATAATATTCTTTCTTTTAGATTTTGCAGTAGTAAACAATAAAAAATAATCATAAAAAAACTATGGAGAAACTCTTTGTTTTTTGGAAATCATCAATTTACAACCTTATCAAAAATAAAAATGCGACGCAACCAAAACACCAATTTTTTTTTAACTATGCTTTTCTTTTAATCGACGTGTCTAGTTAAACTAAATTACGAATTATATATTTACATTACAGTAAATATCGACCTTATTATTGAGGCTTTATTTTTGTCAGACATGGGGCAACCATGTGAAAATGATGGAAAAATGGTAAAATAAAGTGATTTTACCAAGTCCCATAACCCCCAGGTTCACAGCAATTTTAAAACCTGATGGCTATGGTTACAATTTTTGTTTTTGGGTGCTAAAAATAAAAATCTATCAACAAGTTTCCAAAAATTTTCTATTATAGGGCTGAGGTCATAAATTTTCTTATTCTCATCCTTTGCTATGTACAAGGGCTATTCGTTACTCAGCAACATCATTCTTCCTTCACAAGACTCCCTTTAGAATCCATTGTTGCGTCATGGCGGTCTATTGTTCTATTATCTTTGGAGTAGCCTTTGTTTCGAAACGGTACGGTATATCAATAATTATATTATTTTTGTAAAGTTTAACTTTGGGTGTGACCAAGGTTATTTTCTATGGCCCCTAGTGGGTGGGTGGGGTGGAGATAAATTGCCTTGGAATTATTATCTTGTAAATCTTCGCAAATTATCTTAAGTAATTTGTTTACGATGCATCTCCCCCTGAAAGATTACGGTATAGAAGAGCTATATTTCAAACCCTCAATTTTTGCGTGATCAGTAACTTACAACTAAAGAAATGGTGCAATTGTTTCTAAATAATATCTGACTTTGTTATTTTTTTATTGGTTTGCAACTAATGTTCTTTTAACAATAATGATTTCAGAATCACAATTGATTCAATGGTGAAAAATAATTTTTGCGTTGTTTTTCGGAAAATATTAAGTACGGGGAGGAATTTTATTACCGGACTTTCCTGGTATTAGTCATGGATATAAGAAAGAAAAAAATATCTTTTGGTCACATATCCATAACGACACCCCTTAATGACTTACTTTTCTATCTCATTTCTACTAGATTTCCATATAAAGTTCTTGAAGAAATTGGAACAGATAAGTCACTTTTGATGCTGAACTGCAAACTATCTCCTGAGAAATCAAAAATTAAAATAAGATTATCGTTTTATACATAAACGCAAGTTGCAACCAAAATTCTTTTTTTCTTCAACATTTCCGTTTGAACGCCACTTTTTTTTTCGCAGTGAAAAATTCATCTTATAATTTATTCCCCCCACCGCCATTAAGTTTTGTTATAGAGCCGGTGAGTTTAATTCGATGCCGTTTGAAGTTAGAATAGAGATTAACTTTTCAGTTTACGCCTCCTTAATCTTATTAACATTGGGGTAAATGCTTAGCCATGCGCAACTTTTCTCTAATTCGAATGATAAAACTTGATTTTTTACGAGCGACGTAATCGCTTGTCATAATACCTCAAATTACATTTTGACAGATGCAGAGTCACGCCAAGTGCCCCCTTTTTAACTTTTACTTGGCCATCATAAATTTGTCAATCATAATTTATCAAACATGACAAGCATATTTCAATGAAACAATAATATGGTACCTTATTGAGTTTTAAGAAGCTTGATTCTCCTCGTTTTAATTCATAGTTCTTATATCCCCATTACTCTTCTAGATTAGGCAATTGGCATACCCAGTCGTCTACGCAACCATCTTGAAAGATAGGTTTTCTTTTTAGCAATTTTTTCAATTACACGGACTGGTTTTCTGAGATGACTTGCACTCCCCTCGATCGAGTCATTCTGACTCAGTTTTCCTATACGACTTTTAGATTCTGACTAAGTACTTTTCTTTTTCTTAGCCCCTTGAGAAAAGCTCGGCTTTGTCATATCTCCCCCCCTGATAGTTTATACTACGTCATTTCTCATTCAGAATTGGTTAGATTGGGTCTATGGCCCCCACCTAACTTGGCTGGCTTGTATGAATTTCAAGTTTGTTGCGATTGGTGCGATTAATTTGTATGGGTCAGGCATTTTTGTAAATTTTTTCCTGTGAACGGAACTGATGACCATCTGATATAGGAGATAGCTCTAAGACTTGCATGACCTCTTTTAATTCCCTCGTTTTAATCGTTGAAAACTGTTCAAACGGTGCTTTACGAGAAACATGGTTGATTAAAATGTTACAAGAACAATTTCCTGCATTATGAACCGTATTTTGCTAGAAACATGGTTAATTTCCTGTGTTATCGTTGATAAAGAGTCGTTCTTGGAGAGGAGACCGCAAATAATTTTACAATATTTTGAATCCACATGGAAATGTGATGTCTAGCTTGCAGTGTTTGTCCAATGGTATGTTCAGAGCATAATTTTGACTAAAGATTAACAAAATGTTATGAAAATATTGAAATTAGGAATTGGCTGCAACTTTGTAGCAACTTCTCAGATCTGGTACACTAGAGATTTTTATTTGCCAGAGTACACGTCCTATTATGATTTTTCGCGATGGTCTTCTCATTGATTGATTTTTTTCATAGCCAGAATTTTTTACAACCAATTTTTTTACAACCAATATTTTTACAACCAAATTTAATTGTTGTTCCCACCCCCAGCTAATCAAAAACAAACTATGGTTGTTGAAGAAAGGAAGAAGAGGCAGTATCTGACTCCCAATGCTTCCCATAAAGATCAAACCTTAATTCTAAATTTAGATGACATATTGTCTTCAACCAATCCTGATACACTCACTACTACCAAAGTTCAAGAATTAGTCGACTTTATAGACCATGGCAACATTAGTACAGTTTTATCATTGTGGTCATCTTATTCGACATCTAATGAACATATTCAAGTCAGTAATATTTCCGTCAGATTAATGCGTTTGACCACTCAGATCAATTTGTTATCATCGGTTTTGTTAACTCAAAGACAAATAATTCTAGATACCTATAGAGCCATATTGAATAATCATAGCAAAATCATATATCGAGCATTAAATAATATGAGAACATCATTTACCAATCCTATTTTACGACTTTTACGTAATATGATTAATTATGATCAAATCATTGCCCATGAATTTCTTAATGCCTTTGATTTAACTTTGAATGCATTACCTAAATTATTAGTACCTCATAAATCGGAAATAGAATCAGGACAAGTTAAAGAAAGATTATCCATTAGATTAACATTTATTAAGTTTTGGATCGATTTATGTTCGAAAGTTGCCTATTTCCATAGATTAGATTTATTATCTAATCATCCAAAGATTATGAATAATTTATGGAAATATATTGGAATGGATTCAATTGATTGTATTAAGATGATTATTGAATTTGTAGATTCAAAGATCTTGGGAGAACCTAATTTCAAAAGAGCTCAGAAATGTAAAATATTGAATGAAAACTTCATGTTCAAAACTCAAGCAATCTTTCATAAAACTGAAGAACCATTCTTTATTGAATTCATGAATAAATTGGCCACTGATTCTAAAGAAGGATTAGTCTTCCCTAATGATAAATTATGGCAAAAGTCCGAGAGTGGAGGTGCACCAGTACAAACTAATAATAAAACTTTCAGAATTGCCAATAAATTACTATATACCTTATTAACAAGTCTTAAACCAGGAGAATCTAATGCTCAATTACAATTCGTGGTAAGAATTTTGGCTGCAAATCAGGAATTAATTCCTCCATATATGAACTGGATGGTTCAACAAGGAGGTGGGTATCATGATCCTTCATTAACTTCATGGTGGATATCTCATTCATTGTTATATTCGAACGTGTTGCAAATCAGTGCTCCTGAATTTAATACCGATACTGAATTTTTAAAATTTGATGCCAAATTAGTTAGTGAAAGTATTGTATTTGCTCCTTTATCAAGAAGTGCATTGACTGCTGGTTTAGAAACCGCAAAACCATTGATTACGCAATTGACTTTACAGTTGATATTATATATTTTGAAAAGATTACAAGCTGTATTGAAAACTGTTACTAATATAAGACAACAATTGATCGATCTTGTATTTAATCAATTACCTGATTTGAATGTCATTGCACAAGTCTTACTTAAAGAAACGGACTCCAAATCTAAGTTAATCCAATTGACTGCATTGAATATAATTCTCAAATATCAAACTTTGTGCCCTTCCAATAATGTTAACAATAATGTGAAAAAAGTTGTTTCTAATGGTATTTCCTCAATTATTAATACGAATGATTTATCAGATATTACAGGATATGAAATTACCTTACTTAATTTATATATTGAAATTCAAAACCAAGAACAAGATTTCAAATGGTGGAATAAATTAGGACAATCCTCAAATTCATTCTTTACCGTTTTGATCAAATTAGCATCGAAATCGAATTTAGACAAGAGTTTCACATTGAATATTTATCAATTATTAAACCGATTGGGACAAGATAAGATGTTGTTTGATTCGGATTTATTAATTTCTCCAATCCTAGCATTGATTTATTCTCTTGATTCCGCGGGTGTTGATGATAGGATTTGGAATATGTTGGATGAATCCATAAGTAGATCAATCCGTACTCCATACAAATATCTCGATTTATCACATTTGAAATATGATGATACTAGTATTTTCATCGTTTGTTTATTTGAACAATTTAAATTCACATTACAAGCAGGTAATAATAAAGCTAATATTGCTTGGTTATTCCAATTCATGAGATATTTAATTATTATCGGTGAATCTAAGGATGCATTATTGGAGTTGGTTAAACTGTTAGATATTGATGTTGAGAAATATGAATCCCAATTGGAATTCAGCCGTACTTTGAAGGAAATCGAATTAAATGATTCTTCAATCCTGGAAATTTTGTTGAATTATTCCATAAATGATATTGTCAAAATGTCAAACACGATTGAAAAGAAAGTAATAGCTTCTGATTTGGATTATTTAACTGGATTGTTGTTATTAAAGATGATCATCTCTCTTTCGGGAACGAAATCGTTAATACAGATTTTGTTTCAAAAGTTTTGGAATTATTTATCAAGTTCAGGGAAGAATAGTCAAGCAGTCAATTATTTCACTTCAAAGAAATGTTGGGGCCCTTTGTTTGCTTATCCAAAGAGTGATAATTCACAATTGACGATTGATTTGTATAATGAAATCATTAGACAATTGCCAGATGCTGATTGTCAAGAATTGAGCAGATTCATTTTGGGCAAGTATGTGGATGGTAAGACCGATTTTGTTGAGTTTATGTGGATATTGAATAATGATCAGTTGCAACAGTTGCTCAATGTGGAAAGTTCTGAATTATTTATTAAAGCGGTAGAATATTGTATTGAAAGAGAAATTCATATTTCATTCGAACACTTTGAGAAGTTGTATGAATTGCCTATCGGTAATGAAAGGAATGGCCTACTTATAAAGCTAATTGAATCAAAGTTGGTGGATATGACTGAGGAACAATTGAATTTAGTGATCGATAAGGTTGTTGCTAATCAAGATAATCATTTCTTAATTGCTAGTTTCATTAAAGTTTCAAATACAGTAGGTATAAAATTACTTGAAGCTTCTGAAAGTATCCAAGACGAATATTTGAATTGTTTGATTGCATACTCGTTGTCTCAATGCAATTTGGAAATTCCACAAGGCTTCCTTGAAAAAGTCGAATCAATAGCTACGAGATTGTTACAAGATAATAATTTGGGTAAATTGCAATGGAATCAATTGTTGGTAATCTTGTCAATGCAAGAGTCCCCGTCAGAAGATATAGTGAAACAAGTGTTTGCGTTCTTGGATAATCATTTGGGATTAAAACATTCATTTATTCCAGAATTTGTTGATTTTGTTTCTAAATGTCAATTAAACGATCAGATCCAATCTTGGTTGCACAAATCAATGCTTTATATCACGAAGAAGTTTGCCGAATCACATGAGTTATCTGACAACTTTGAGCAATTCATTCAAAATATTATGAATTTCTTGATTGAAAAGCAAGTAAATATTTGGAATTTCGTTCCTAGTTCAATCTTAAATACTCAACTTGAAGTCATCTTAAATTCAAAATTCAATAAGCAGGCAACATATTTGAAGTATGTTACATCCATTGTCATAATTTCACCAAAGAACAAACTCGAATATCAACGTGTTTTCCAAATTGCATTAAATGTGTCAAACTTGAATGATTTACCAACTGAAGAAAACAAAGAACTGAGATATTATTCAGCCATGATTTTATATTTGATATATAATATGGATCATAGTAAGTTATCCACGATGATGAATCTTGAATTATTATTGGAAAAATATCTTGGTTCAACAAGAATGGAAGATTTGTTACTTAAGTCCATTTTGATTAAGATTGAATCAAAAATAGCTGTATCTTGGTTGACAAAGGTGTCAAATTGGGAATTCCTGGAAGAATTAGCTGGAAGTGAAGTTGAATTGGTTGGTGAACAAGATAGATTGATTAAGACTAATAAAGGAGAATTCACGATTTGTTTGAATAAAGGATTTGTCAAGAATACATACACGGCAATTCAAAACTCCTTACCTGAGTTTGGAAGTGATGCTAAAACTAAATGGAATCAAATTAAGGAATGTTATCAATCCTCTAGTTTGGGTTCTGGGAAATATAGTTCGACTGCTTATGATGCTGAGTTTTTATTGTTGTTGATTTTGAATAATGAAGAATTACTTAAGATTACCAAAGATGAAGAATCCGGAGTACAGAAAGTAATTTTTAACATTAAGAATTTAATTGAAACTGGAATCTTGCAATTCATAATCGGTAACTTATCAAACAACAAGACTAGGCCAATCTCCAAATTAATTATTTCAAAGATCTTATCATCCATGGATGATGAATCAGGTTTCAAAGATGTGAATGTTTATAAAGTTTACTTGTCTTCTGTTTTATTCACATTATCTCAGGAAGATTTAGAAATTCCTCCTGTTATTTGGTATCTTTGGTCTCAATTTGTTCCACTTTTATCTAATCCTGGTCATTTCCTTTATGAAAAGAGTGTAAGGTATGTATTGAGTACACCAAAGTTGAAGAATTGGGATATTCCGTTATATAATTTAATCACCCATCCAAATCAAGAATTGACAGACACTGAGAGTAATTATTATCGAGAATTAGATTGGTTAGTTCAGAATATAACTGATGGTATTGAAAACTTACAAGATTTAACGATTTTGAAAAGAGGTATTGTTGAAACATTGATGAATTTATTGAATTCAAAATATTTGAATATTAAAATTCAAACTAATTTATTGAAATTTATTTACAAGATACAATCTATTGATCAAGGTTCGGATATGTTGATTACCAGATTTGGTATGCTAACAGCTTTGGAAACGTTTCTCTTGAAATTGAAGGAAACTAATGATGATGATGATTTGATTGATAAGCAGTTAAGATTGAATGTTGATGAATTGTTAGTTAGATTTAAAGTGAGTGTTGGTTCGAGTAAAAGAGTAAGAGAGTGGACTAGTGATGATTTAGATAATACCATTAAGAGAATTCATTTGGAAACTCAGTAGATAAGTTTAGTATAGGTTTTGTAGTCATTAATGATACAAATTATAGAATCAAAAGATTTTTTGCAATCTCTTTTCCACATGAGACATTTTCTTAGGCCAAAAAGAAAAACTAAAAAAACAGTTGGATTGTTTCACTTCTTCATTCTACACGATTAACCAACTTCTTTGAACACAACAAATATATAACAATGGGTGTATGTATACCATCTAAATTATACGTACGTAGCTTGTAAGATATGGGCGTGGTCTTATTGGATTAGTTCTAGTGTTATTGCTATCCCATGTTTTTGTCCCTTCGAGGATGATCACTAATTGCCTTCCTCGGTATCTTACCAGTAGTTTATTCGTAAATTTAAATGTTCTAACAATTCATTGTTATTAGATAGGAAGAATAGCACATTATTCATTTGATTTGGTATTAATATCAATAATATTGGCAGGTATCCATCGCAATACAGGATTACAATTTGATACTTCTCATTTCTCACTGGTTGATGTACGTCGTTGGTTTGGCAACTATTTAGCTTTTGGAGAAAGCTGTTATGATAAGGTTGTTGGTTTGTTAAAGTTTAGTGGATATTTCAAACAACGTAATTTGGTTTATGATTACGTTGAAAGAAATGCTAATCAATTGCTTAGAGAACAAACTGGTAGAGATTTAGATGATTTTAAGAAATCCCTTTAAAAGAATATTGCTGGATACATATTTTTTGATTGGAATAATCTTCACTTCTTGACATTATTATTAAACCTCTCTAGAATTAACGTATGACTAAATAAAAATGTATAATTAAATGTAAGAATCTATGAATGATTTGACATTGTTCTGTAAGTCCGGAATATTCAGAAAAAAAATTCACACGATCTTTAAGTGAAGATGGAACAACGACTATTAACAACGCAATTGTATGTTACATTTCTCAATATGATCATTAGTCATGGTTGCATTTTGACACTGAAATGCTTTAATCAATCAGGATGATCAAACATCAAATGGCAATTAGGGGTTTGTGTGGGAGAAAAGCACAACTGCTTTGATCAATCAATTTATGCCTTGAGTCTAAGATGCATGAATGTTCTCAAACTTCAACGAACAATTCAAGAAACAAGATTCGAATATACTAACGCATACTCAGGACACAACAGAACAGAACATAGCAAGTGTAATGACTCTATTTGATAGATTCAAAGATGCCATCATTGAAGAACAAGATGAAGATGTTTCCCAAACAAATGCCTATCTTGCTGCATATTCACTAAAGAAGCTAGCAGCTCTTGGATTGGCAGCTATAAACCTTCAAATCACAAATATACGAACAGGGTTGGGAGGCAAGACTATTTTGGAATTGAAATTGGATCCAGCTTATGGGGATGGGGATATTAATACTGGGACATTACGCACTGGAGATATTGTGAAATTATCCAAGATGGGTAAAGCAATTGAAAAGAAAAAGGCAAAGAAGGCATCAGCTACTGATGATAAGGCAGACGAAGAAGATTCTGGGATAGAAGCGGTTATTCTTAAGGCTATGACTCAGACAATTACTGTCTCAGTCGATGAATCAAGTGATAGTGAGAAAGTTCTTCAGTACTACACCAATACCAATGATCTGGCAAGAATGTGGCTTGTTAAATTAGCCAATTCTATTACGTACAAGCGAATGATCACTACTATGAATAAAGTGAATGAATTAAAAGAATCAGATAAAAATGATATTCAGAAATTACTTTTAGGTGAAAGTTCGTATATCCCCAAGGATGACAAGCATCCAATAAACTTTTTCAATCCACAACTAAACGATTCTCAAAGGCAAGCCATTGACTTTGCTATCAATAAATCAAATATAACTATAATTCATGGACCGCCAGGAACTGGAAAGACATATACCTTAATAGAACTTATTCAACAATTGACAACATTGGGTGAAAAGGTACTTGTTTGCGGGCCATCCAATATTTCAGTTGATACAATCTTAGAAAGACTAGGAGATAAATACAAGGCGGGCCAATTGATTAGAATTGGTCATCCAGCTAGATTATTAGCTCTGAATTTACAACATTCTTTAGAAATATTATCCAAGAGTTATGGAAAGGAAATTATTCAAGATATTGAACATGATATACTGTCGACTTTGACCAAGATACGGAAATGTAAACGATATGCTGAGAGAAAGGTATTATATCAAGAAATGAAATTGCTTAGGAAGGAATTAAGACAACGAGAGAAGAAAATAGTTGGAGAATTGTTAATTAATGCCAAAGTCATTATCGCAACCCTCCATGGATCTGGCTCTTATGAATTAAGAAATAATGATATTGTATTTGATACAATTATAATTGATGAAGTATCACAATCTATGGAACCACAATGTTGGATCCCTTTATTGTTAAACAACAGGTTCAAGAGATTGGTCATAGCTGGAGATAATATGCAATTACCTCCAACGATCAAGCTGACTAATAAAAAAGGCACCTCACTACTTGAAACTACATTATTTGATCGTTTGATTAACAAGCTTGAAGGAGATAAATTTAAGAAATTACTTGATGTACAATATCGTATGAATACTAGTATCATGAAGTTTCCAAGTTTGCAGCTTTATGAAAATAAATTGAAAAGTGATACAAGTGTCCAAGATATTACTCTTGCAGATTTACCTCATGTGACTGATAATGAAGATACTTCTATCCAATGTATATGGTATGATACACAAGGAGGACAATACCCGGAACAAAAGACCGAGTTGATTGAAGGTGATTCAAAATACAACGAAATGGAATTATTAGTGGTTAGAGGACATATGGAGAAGCTATTAAGTCTTGGAGTTCAGCCCAAAGATATTGGAGTTATTGCTCCATATTCTGCACAAGTCCAATTATTAAAAAAACAAATGGGGCCAGATACTGAAATTGAAATTAGTACCGTGGATGGTTTCCAGGGAAGAGAAAAAGAAGTCATAATTTTGACGTTAGTAAGATCGAATGAAGATGGTGAAATTGGGTTTTTAAGTGAACAAAGAAGATTAAATGTCGCAATTACGAGACCAAAACGACAATTATGTGTTATTGGAGATCTTGAATTGATGAGTAGGAGCGGAAGTAAATTTCTTACGAATTGGTGCAAGTATGTTGAAGACGGTGTTGCAGATGAACAGAATTATATTCAACCATATGAAATAATTTATCCTAACTTAGATGATTATCTTGTGCAATAAACTTCGATAGCCGTAAAGAATTTTGCCTGAGAAAGCTTATTTGTCGTGTACTTGCGGAGAAAACTGATCTACACTAAGAAACTAAGTTACACGAAAAAATAAAGTTTTTCTTGGTGTTTACATTTTGTGTTTTCACGCGTGATATTGTCCAAAAAGGGAAAGAGTCAGTCAAATTGTCCTCGAGAGATTCATGTCTAAAAAACCAATAGGACTCTCTTGTGTGCGAAATGCATGTTGTATAACTCAAACATCGAGGAAGATTCGGTTGAAGGATCAAAAGGGGATTATAGCGAATATCAGTCTCAATCATATAAAGAAGCTAACCAAGTAGGGATAAGCCCTTCGATGCTTCGTCAAGCAAGTCATTGAAGTGATTCTACAACAAGAAGTTAGTTTTTCGACTTTATAACGTTTCTTCCTTCGTAACAAAATGAATATAGAGATGGGAATAAGAAAAAAAATTAAGAATTATAATTTCTCGTGTTTTGAAATTCTCTTGGAAGCACCTGGTCTTAACATGATTATACATAAACGATTTGTTGTGTGCTTGGTTTTCTAATTCCAATTTTCATTTCTAACTTTATATTTTATTAAGGCATCCTCTTCTTCATCTCGAACTATACCATACAGAAGCAATCTTTAAAGCTTCGTCGTCCTTTTAGAAACCAGAACTAACTTCAGCCACTCCTTTCCTATTGTTAAAATTTACTACGTACAGCTCGCTTAAATCAGAAATACTTTAGATATGAAAGCGACATTTGTTTTAACTGCATTATCCATCGTTGGATCCATCGCTAATGCTGCACTTGTTGTTGAAACTGTAACTGAATATGTAACAGTAAGTAAACTTATCCATCCAGATGGTTCTACCTCGTTTGTCACTGTTGGTGACCCACTTGAAACTCCACCTCCAGTCCCTACCCCTGCTCCTCCAGCTGAACCGGTTGAAGAACAACACGTTGAACAAGTAGCTGCACCAGCGCCTGAAGCTCAACCAGAACCACAAGTTCAACCTCAACCAGAGCCTGTGCCAGAACCTGTTCCACAACCTAGTCCAGAACCTCAACCTCAAGCAGCACCAGCACCGGCACCCGCACCAGCACCTGCACCTGAACCACAACCAGCTCCTCAACCTGAACCACAACCTGCACCGCAGCCTAAGCAAGAAGAACAAGTACAATCTAGCGGTAGTGGATTCGCCCTGGAAATCCTTGATGCTCATAACAGAAAGCGTGCTTTACATGGCTCTCCAGCATTAGCATGGGATGCAGGATTAGAAAGCTACGCCCAAAGTGTTGCCAACTCTTATGACTGTTCTGGAAGCTTAATACATACAAATAGTCCATATGGTGAAAACTTAGGTGTTGGATATAAATCCGGTTCAGCGGTTGTTGATACTTGGTATAATGAAATTAACGGATATAATTTTAATTCTTATCAATATAACCATTTCACTCAAGTTGTTTGGAAGGGTACTACAAAGTTAGGTTGTGCTCAAAAGGATTGTAGTGCTAAGAATTGGGGATATTATATTATTTGTAACTATTCTCCAGCTGGGAATGTGCGAGGACGATTCCCTGAGAATGTTGTACCACCCTTGTCCTGGTAATTTTGATTAGATTTAGTTTAAGTGGTATTTTCTCTTTTGCGAATGTATAAATTAGATAATTGAATATTTGTTACTGTGTATTCCATAAGTTCCTCTCCGTTTGTTCGATTAATTAAACAATAGCTCAGAAATTCTAACGTACTTTGATTCTAGATTTGGCTGCGATATGTCGTAATTAAATCGCAAATAACTTTATTGTAATTCGCTTAGATGACTAAGTACAATGAGATCGAATAAAGTTCAAACCTAATGACCACAAAGAGATGCCCGGAATTACACAAACCTATTACAACAATCGAAAGAACATTCTTGAATTCAATAACCAATCACAACGATTCTACAACTTCCCTTGTGTCTGAACACTCCCCGAATTCGTCTAATAGTGCCGTGCAAGTAACAATGATGTGATTTAAATCCCCGCTATTGTTAAAAGTAATAATCGAACAAAATTTTATATTGAGATTTGATTCTAGACTTGGCTGCAATTCAGTTATTGTAAAAGCAAAGAATGTTTGTGCCCATTCATTTAGTTTACAATGGATGATATCACCTGGTTTCATTCCAACGGTAATTTGTTAGGGGAACCAGCCACTAGTACTTTTCAAGAAAAGTATTTGCTTCGGTTCCTCTCTGACCCTTTCTGGTATCTGGTCTAATATGTAGGTATATGAGCTACGTGAAATATAGGAAGCTAGCGACAGATTTTTAATTTGCAGCAAGAGACATAATCACATGGCTATCTAACCCGCAGTTACTCTCCCATTTGCCGCATCTAACTGCATTTTCCGGAGTTAGTGTTAGTCTGAATCAATATTTGGCAAACAATATCAAACGGGTACCAGGAATTTGAAACATATACTGCTATATCTTGCCTTATTGGTTGGAAGTAACTCCTATAGTTCTCCGCTGGGCATGTTTCCGATTTGGATGTTTATATCTGTATAATCTAAAAAGATTAATTTAATTCTGTGTCAGTTTCATTTTAAGCCACATCTGAAAACAATACGCCGCAGGTACCCTACCGAGATTGGTGAGCCACGAGGCTTGGTTCATTCCCCGCCCTGTAATTAATGGACATGTCAGTGCGGCCATAGAAAGTAGCCGACTCCGAATACGAACAACGAATGTCAACCATGGTGACTAAAGATTCTGTTGAAGATAGGCATGTGACAACGAGAAGTATTGCATCATAGTAAAAGCGTACCTTACAGACGCGTACCTGACAAAGAGGCTAAAGTAAGAAAATAGTATGTTAGAGTTGCAAAACTTAAAACTTATTGTATTAAACAATGCATATTTCAACTTTCATTTGCATGGGTATTTTTTAGCGATAATAAACAGGGGTCCCAACGAATGTATTTTGTAGCCTCATTTTAATCTGTTTCAGGTATTGTTCCTAAAGAAAGTTTATGGCTCCAAAAGAAACTATAAGTATGGGTCGATATTCCCACTTGATGACTTTCTGAGGTTATTGAGAATAAAGACAAGCCTTTCAAATAACCCAACTTTTAGTCAATCCTTAATACATAGGTCAATTTTACTGTCGCTCCTTTTACTAAACTAAGATGAAGATTTCAAGTCTCGTTACAGTCGCTGCTGCAAGCTTAGCATTCGGGGAAGCTGTCCCTGTTGTAATAACCAAAACTTATACCCAAAATACCATTGTTACTGTTGCAGCTTCCTACACTCAGATTCAAAACATTCCTGCTCCTTCGCCAACTACAGTGGAAATCTCCATAACTGCTGCTCCTGATCCAACTGCTCAGTCTCAGAATGGAGGTAATTATTGGAATACTGATAGCCTCAGAGACTACTATAGGTCCCTTTTCGAATCTTTGAGAAAGAAATACCCTGAATACTTCAAGGATTTCACGTCAAATGGTGACGATAAATCCAAAACTGTGGATACTGAAGCAGCCGATTGGATTGTCTCTCAAGAAGAAGTAAAGACTCTCTCTGAAGCTACTGTTGTTCAGTCACCAAACCCTTCCCCTGTATCAACTTCCGTTGCAACCGTTGTTAAATCTACCACACCAAAAGCCAGTCCTTCTAGCACCTCAGTAGTACCAAAGCCTACTGGGGCCACAAGCAAGGCAGTTGTCCCAACTACTCAAAGCGTTCCACAGAAGCCAACTACTACTTCAATACAGCCAGCTGCTACTAGTACTCCAGCTGCATCCGATGATAGTGAATTTGGAAATGTCCGTGATCTCGATTTCGCAAAGAGAATCTTAAATATCACCAATGAAAAACGTGCAATACATGGCGTTCCACCATTAAAATGGGGTGCTGATCCGTACAATTTCGCTCAATCATACGCCGACCAATACGTCTGTGGATCTGGATTGAAACATTCAAACAGTAAATTTGGTGAAAATTTAGCTGTTGGCTATCCAACGCCAGAAGCTGCTGTTGAAGCTTGGTATGCCGAAAATAAAGATTATAACTATGCTGCTGGTACACCTTATAGCCACTTTACTCAACTTGTTTGGAAGTCTACTACTCATCTTGGATGTGCTTATAAACGTTGTGGTGATAGTAGTTTATATATTACTTGTAACTATTCCCCAGCTGGTAATGTTATGGGTTCCTTCCAACAAAATGTTTTCCCACCAGTTAATTAGATGTGACTAATCAATCCCTTATTGCAAGTGGATTATTCTTCACCTAGGGATAATGTTTTTTAGAGATTTCGGAGCATTAAGCGATATCTTACTTCGCGTTAGTTGCTTTTCCTTTATTACTTTATGAGGCAAGATTGTTATGTATGGATTTTTATTTCTGTAGTTATACCCCTTTGATGCTTTTTATAGAAATATATATATGGCTTGCTGTTATTGCAACCCTTTCTTAAGTTTCGGTTGACAATGATTGTAGATTTTAGTAGCAGAATTACAGTATATGACGCGCCCGCAAACTGGTTTTCCAAAACAAGCCGATCTCAACCCCCAAAACAGGTCGAACTTAAACCAAAACAGGTCGAACCTCAGGGTTTACATTCTCTCTTTCAACAAACCTGTGGCTCCCTCTATGAAGTCAGACGAGTTTAGCCTCCTGTCTAAATTTAAGCATTCGGTACTCAATCTATTAACATGGGTCAAATTGGACAGTGGCTTAGGACTGGTTTTAGGTTCTAGACTTGTAATGTGACAACATGATAGGCGAGCGCGATATTGAGAGACTTTAAGTTTTAGTACAGAATCAATTGTTCTGTTAGTCTCGGAGCCCGAAAAAGTGGCTTTTTGCAGCTACTTCTTATGGAACCTAGCGATCACTAGTAAATATGCTCTATCTTAGTGAGTTCTTCTTATATCAACTAACCTTGAGAATTCTGTAATTGCTACCACTTTGAAATGGAACTAGAGATTCTAGCTATTACTTTCGGTGCACAAAAAAGCTGTACACTCTGGCTATTTGATGTCAAATAGAATTTCAGATCTCTGCGAATACAGCTTCAGGCTAGAAAACCGTATCTAGAACTGCTACTTCCTCTTGTTCGGAGCCAACCTTCATACTCTGAAACAAAACAAAATCCATAAGCTCAGTTGATTGATCACTTTTGTGTAATATTTTTTAGCCATTTTGCAACAATAAGCCAACGTTGTAATCTTAGACATAGACCCACAACCGATGTCATTGAGAATTACATTTACGGTTCCAATTGAAATGAAACTTACAAATAGTAGAATGTGGTAGGATAGAACAATACCAAGAAATTTAAATAAAAGAATGTCAAGTGAAACAAAAAAGCGTTAAATAAATTGTTTTATAATTGGCTTAATCAGAAGTCGCATATCGGAATGTGACAACGCGTATTCAATAATATGGCACAAATTATGTCATTCTCCTTTGGACGCGCTCTTCAAAAGCAGATGAAGCAAGAGATGGATATGTTGGGCTTATTGCTTCATTGTCTTAACTAAGTGTATTTCAAGTTTTGTACTAATACACTCACTTCAAAACTGACTAGACTAGTCTAGATTCACTTCTCATATCAAGAGGTTGCTCCAAGTGAGTATGTTAGAAGTCTTTAGAGTTTCCAGAGAACTATAAGTATGAGTCGATCTGCTCATCTTTATGCCCTTCTAAATTGTAGATTTCTTCAATTAAATAACAACTTTCAATCAATCAATTAAGACATTCAATATAAAAATGAAATTTTCTAGTATTGTTACCCTTGCTGCTCTCTGTTTAGCATTTGGTGAATCAGCACCGGTCGCTGGAAAGAATGGTTTTGGTGAATCAGCACCGGTCGCTGGAAAGAATGGTTTTGGTGAATCAGCACCAGTCGTTGGAAACAATGGTTTTGATGGTCATCAAGATGATAATGTTGAACCATGGGGAAAACACGCTACTCAAACTAAGAGTATTGCACACCCATTGCCAAGTCCTGGTTGGTCAAAGGATAAGCACGCTCACTCCAAGCACCATTCACACGGTCCATATTCTCCACATCCTTTCCCAACCCATTCTTGGTCTAACCATACTACCCACCACAAGCGTACTCACCATCCATCTCCAACCCACACCTGGTGGAACGCTACCACTCATCACGAGCACACCCATTCTCATGTCCATACCAGCATTGAAACTTCCTTAACTACTAGTGTATCTGAGCCACATCACCACTATCATGGCAAGTTCCCACATGGTTTACGTAACTCAACAAAGACCCATAAGGACCTTTTTGAAAAATTATGTGATAAATATCCAAACTACTTCAATAAGAACTTGCTCACTGCTAATGACGAAAATGAATATGATGAAATGAGAGCTGAAATTTCCAAATGGGTTGTTGCTCAAGAACAAACTAAAACTACAGAACAACCTAATTCTGATGCTACTGAAGGACCAGATGCTGAACAAACTAGTCTTGTTCTGAGAGCTGCTAAGTTTTTGAGAGAATCAAAGCCAACAACTACACTTGATCACCCACAATTTCAGTAAGGGTGAAGCGTAGATAGCTATTTCTAAAGGGATTACATTGTCTATCTAGCCCTTATCGCAATACTTTTACTTCAATATTATCAATGTATTTGTAGGTTTTGCGGGTTTATATATATGGCTTTTATATTCGTTTTGTAGACTTTATAATTCAATTGCAAAATTTTTTGTTTTTTTTCTTGTTTATGTTGCAAAAATGCATGAATATGATTAAGCGTTATGTAAGTAAATAAATCAGTCTTTAAATGATATCGAGCCATACAGTTCTGATACTATCGAGAGTACTGTTCCCTAATAGTTTGTGGTATAGAGAGCAATAGCTCTTAGTTTAACCAAACACTTAATCAATTGAAAAGAGTCTTTGGAAATACCCGGAAAAGTGAATCTTTTCAAAGTGCTGGTTAAACTTTCTGATCAAAATTAGCCAGAACACCTTGGCTCCTTCTAATCCTATTTTAGAAACACTTCCCACAATCAGTTAAGACACCAACCCTATAGATTTTCATCCGTATAATGTCACAAATGTCTCTTTTTAGGTTCCCTTAGTCTAAATGGTATCTATGTATTTATAATTGAGTGACATGGTTAGTGTCACTTTCACAATATAATGTCGCATTGTTTCTAAACCGGAGATGTTAGGGACCAAATATGTCGTCTAAACGTTATGCCCCCCGCCTTTACTCGATGTCGTTTTTCTTAATTTTTTTTTTCTCACTTCATCCTTCAAATTGTTACAGAAAATGACCAATTAAATATTAGTCACCAATCCTTTATCCCTTAGTTCAGCACCCCTTTTAGGTAACAATTTAACAAAACAGAATCATAATGAGCGATCGAGGCTCGAGTTCATCACTAGATGATTCTTCTAGGATACGAAATGGAACTCCACTGCCATCTTCCAAAGGTGAAGAACAAACAGCGATGGAATTAAGTTTAAGTACATCAAGCTCCAATTCAACCTTCATTGCGGGTAATACTCCTGTTAAGGGCCCCAATAATAATAATAATGCTCGTCAGAAACGAACATCGCTAGCATGTATTCGATGTCGTGCTCGTCATATTCGATGTCCTGGAGGAGATCCTTGTAAGAAATGTCAATTAGCAAAGGCAAAATGTGAATACGTGGAAGCAGACAAAAAAATCGTGGTATCAATGAAATATTTATCTAAATTACATGATGATATTGCAAGATTGAAAAAAGATAATGCTCTGTTAAGAAATAATCTAAAAGAACTGGAAGGTAAGCGTGCAAGTGCTGAAATTAAGAAAGAAGATATCTCTCCACTCCCACGACCCAACTTCCCTCCACCACAACAGTCATTTAGTGCACCTGATAATGTACCGCTTCAAGCACCAGATGGGGAAGTGATACACCCAACATTAGACAAATATGGAAGATTAATACAATCAAGAACAGGAGAGAAGCTTTATGTTGGTTCTTCTTCAATGACTCTTTTCGGATTGGAAATTCAAAACATGGTGCCTTCGTTTACATCCAGCGCGTTGTTACCAAGCTCGAGTCTTACGAGTCCAATTCCATCTCCGGGGGGGCAAGATCCATTGAGTCCAATGCCAATGAGTGAAAACTCTAGTACGTCCCAACATTCCAAACGAGAAACTAAAATTCTAGAAAAAGAAGGAAATGCTTATAAGATTACCTTATCTAAAACTAATACTCGTCCAGGCTTATCCATTAATTTTTCCTTACCATCCTATTCATATTCTATGTTATTGGTTGATACTTTTATTAATTATAATGATGGATGCTTTTATTTCTTCAATGAAGGTTTAATCAAACGATTCTTGATGAATTTATATTCTGGTAAAGCACGAGATAATAAGCATATTTTGCGAAGGAATATACCCTTAAGCAAAGGACCAGAAGAAGATGAGAATTCAATAAAGAGAGATACAGATGATGAAACTATATTGGAAACTATTTGGTTCTGTAAGATCTTGTTAATATTTGCAATTGGTGAAATGTATTTAGGAACTGAATCAGATACACATACAAGAAGACTTAAGATGGAAAATAAAGGTAAAAATAAAGCAAAGCGTGAGAAACATACTTTGCCTGGGTCAGGATTCTTTTATCAAGCCTCTGAATTATTCACCGGGTTGTTTGCTTCTGGTGCAATTGATAATATTACAAAAGATGGTGGTATTGAAGTTATGCTTCTATATGCGTTTTATTTACAAGTTGCCGATTGTACAATTGCATCATATTTCTATTTTGGTTTAGCATTAAGAGCTGCATTAATTTTGGGTTGGCATGTGGATGCAGATAAAGAAAACTTGAATAGGTTTGAATTGGAACATAGAAGAAGAATTTGGTGGACGGTATATATGTATGAACGAATGCTTTCATCTAAAGCCGGCTTGCCATTAAGTTTTGCTGATGATTCCGTTTCGACTGAATTACCTATTGATTTCAAGGTTGATTTGACAGATTTCCCAAGGGATGAAACTGATGTTAGAGGATATTATATTTTCCCTCCTGCTGATTATATTAACAACTGTGTTACTATAACGCAAATCAATGCCGTTATCTTATCATCATTGTATACTAAGCAACCAACTGTGAATATCTTACCTGTTGTTTCTGATTTGGTACAACGTTTAATGACATGGAAAAATACATTACCAAAATATTTATTAATTGATTTTACAGTTGAGAATCCTAAAGTATCAAGATTAATTGTTAATTTAATGACTGAATATTTCCAAGGGATTAATCTTGCAGTTCGTCCCCTCTTGTTTCATTTTGCAACTAAAAAATTGAAAGAATTACAAGTTCAAAATACTCAAAACAGATACATTGATTTAACCAAATATTCCAAGAATGTATTGACACTTTTGAATGCATCTTTTCAAGCTTCCATAAATACAATTAAAAGTATTTGGTCTTTATTGCCTGATAATATGGTCGCATTGTTTGGATGGATGGATAGAGAATATTTGTTCACTTCGGCTTCAACTTTAATTCTTTTCAATGCCTCATTTGGTGTCCATGAAGCTACAAAAACGCATATAGATCATGCTTTGGTGATCTTCACCAAGATGAAACGCTTAGGGAACTATCCTGCCGCATTAAGGAGAGCACAATTGTTGAAATTAATACGAGTCTTGGATTTTAATGGAGTTATGAATGATATTTTGGAAAAGCATGATGATGAGGAAGCAAGAGAATTATTCTCAAGTAGCGAATCATTAGATAAAAATGTATTTAATGATCTTTCTGAAGAAGCTAATGAAGTCTTGGGTGAATTGCAAGCACCATCTTTGAAAACTTCCGAGTTAGACTTTTTACAATATTCCAATACCGCAGGACAACAACTGAATATCCAACATGCTCCACAACAGCAGGGGCCCATTCAAGTAGGACCCCAACGTCAAAACGTCCCTAATATGAATCAAATGCAAAATATAATCCCTGATCCGAATGCTGCCGGGGATGTGTACACCAATCAGGATCTTGCTGGTATTGAAGGACTTACATACTTGGATGAGGAACAAAAATTATGGAACGAGATTACGAATGATGCAGGATGGTTGAATGTGGCAGGAGGAAATCCTAATCAACCCCCAGGTATACAATTCAGTAATCCGGCTTTGAAAAGGGGTGGTGCACAACAGGTTGGAATTCATGTTCATCAAGAGGCCGAGTCTCCAGGATTTTCGTATAATGTTGTGACTCCTCAAGATTTCCCTCAAGCTGGTGGGTTTTCATTGGGGTCAGGGGGATATTCTGATTTGATTAATCATGAATTTCAAGATTTTATGGATGAAACTTAGAGTAAATAATCACGTATGTGTAGAATATGAATACATGTAAAATTAATATTTAGAGATTGTACTCAATGCTTGTTTCTCATCAGAGTTTGAAGTGTTCTCTGACTTCCTTTTCAACTATAGGATATCTTCAATGAACATATTTAAATAATAAATTACATTAATGAATCTATACGCAGGTAGTGTTACATAAAAAAAATACTATATAATAATACAAAATGGATTTTTCAATTACTCTCCCTCTCTTCGTTTATCTCTCACATTAAAAGAAATCAAATCCTGAATTGCTAAGTTGACCTTGACTAAGCAAATCTCCAGGTGTAGTACTTCTCATCATATTGTTATTTGGGTCCAGTTGAGCTTGCTGTAAGATTTGTTGTGGTGAAAGTGCTTGGATGGCCTGTTGTTGAGGTTGCATTCCTGATGGATTGATCCCATTATTGGAGTTGTAATCAGGACCTCCTACGTTACCACCACCTTGGTTTAAATAATCACTCAGGGCTCTTCCACCTGGTGTTGGAATTCCACTGTTATACATGCTTCGATTTTGTTCCTTCATAGCATTAGGCTGTTGTTGTTGCTGTTGGAAAAGCATCTGGTCGTCCATTGCAGCTTTTTGTTGTGCTGCACGTTGCTGAGCTTGTTGAATTTGTTGTTGGGACATTTGAGACTGTAGTTGTTGTTGTTGTGCTAATTGCTGTTGTTGTTGTTGAAGCTGGTTCGATTGCTGTAGCGAAGGCTGTGGTGGCTGCTGGTTCTGCTGAGCTTGTTGCTGTTGCTGTTGTTGCTGCTGCTGCTGCTGTTGCTGTTGTTGCTGCTGTTGCTGCTGTTGTTGTTGTTGGAATTGCTGCTTCCTCATTTGTTGAATCTTCAACTTAAGGAATTGTAATGCTTCAGGATATAACTCTTGAAGTTTGGAATATAATTGACTTAGTTCAGGCATATCGGGAGGTGCGGATAACATGACTGGGAATGCAGTTTTGTTAAGACTTGGTTGTTGTGATTGATCAGTATGATATTTATCATAAATATAGTTCAAAACAGCCAAATTACATTGAATTCTTCTGGTACAATGTTGATATGATTCCATCACTGTCTTCCTATTAGCATCAGTCATCTGCTGTAACATTTGTTGATTACAAAGAATCGAATGATATATGTTGATTGCCTTCTTCATGAGATGGGTGTTTATTAATAGAAGACATGTAACTCTGTCTCTATCCAACGACAATGGGGCACTATCTACAAATGCATTCATATTGGCTATCTTCTCTATTTGTCTGTCTATCTGTATATGGTTAGATCTATTCCCCTTGTGCTTCGATGACTATTGAGGGTATAGCTATGGGGGAGGGTAGTGTATTACACGAATGGGTATCAACTGTTTTTCCAGTGTCTGTCTGTCTGAGCTTTGTTTTTCTCTATTAAAGTTTTTTTTTTTTTTCTTAAGAAACCCTCGCAAAATGTTTTTATATTTTTTTTTTTTTTTCCGAAAACTTTCAATTGAAATTTTTAAATTTATTTTTTGTCTTTTTTCTCGCTATTCTTAGAAAATATTCCTTCTACAAATTCGGAAGAATTATATACGACTTTGTGTAATATTGGTTTATATTTATATCCGGACGGCTATATACATGGGATACATCTATAAAAATCATACTTACATACGAAACTCTTTTTCAATGGCTTCAACTCTAGGTCCAACAGCTCTTCTCATACCAACAAATGCCATATCAAATGTGCCCTTTCCTTTAGTCATGGCACGTAACTTTGACAAATATCCAATCATTTCTCGCAATGGAGTTTCAGCAATGATAACCTTCTTATTAGAAACATCGCTGGTGACTCCCTTTGTGTTTTGTAAAGTATAGTCTGGGGGAACATATACTTTCTCAGCTTCTTCGCTAGTCCAGGAAGTATGTTCCAAGTGATCAGTTGATTGATCTTCAATAGTATGGATTATTGCCAGACATCTTTGGGTCAAATCGTGGGAAACTTCACCCAAGTCATTAGAATCAACATATACCTTAGTTTCCATGATTGGCTCGAGAACAGAAAACTCTTGACTATGTCCGTAAACAATTTGTGAAACAGCTTGTCTGGCAGCACTCATTAAAGTACCTACGTTCACCGAAGGTTGACTTGATTCAACAGGGAAACTCCAATGTTTAATTCTAATCACTATTGAATGTAATGGGAATCCATAATTCGGTCCACCGACTTGAATGGCAGTCATACACCCGTTGGCAATTGCTTCTTGAAGATCTTCTGGGGTATATTCTGACTTCCATCTTCTTTCTTCAAGTGCAGCTATGACATTCTCTGCAGCGGCATCTTGTTCCATAATGATGATAGAGTTTTCATTTTCAAGTATCATACAGTCTTCTTCTTCAGTGAATATGCTTTCATTTGCATTTCCTTGCAAGGCTGAAATAGAAACTTGGACTTTAACGGATTCATCTTCATTCACAAATTCACCTTCTCTTTCTCTCTTTCCACAAAATGATTCCTTATAAGCAACAGCAACATCTCTAAGTTTTACTTTTGCCTTCATATCTTTCACAAGTCTTTCTCTAACGATGTCAAGATGTAATTCACCCATTCCACCCAAGATTGTTTGGCCCATCTCTTCATCAACAGTTACCTTTAATGACGGATCTTCACGAACTAATGTATCGACACATTGTTTAACATATGCCTCATCCCCAGCAGTTGCAGGCTCAAGACCAGCATTGAATAATGGAGGTGGAATCACAATCGGCAAAAGTTTCAAACTTGATTCTAACGGAGAGAAAGATTTTTTAGCTGCCATACCTGCAATTAAAGTATCCCCAGTTTGGAAATCTTTTTCATGTCCAGGAATAACCCCGATATTTCCCGAATTTATAAACTTGACTTCTTCAGGTGTATCTCCATGCATGATTGAAAGCTTCCTAATGTGTAATTTTTCACCAGTTCTTGAATTCAATACAATCGAGTTTGAATAAAGCTTTCCACTATATACTCTGATGAATGTCATAGGACCACGGGTTGCATGAGTCATTGCCTTGAAAGCTAACGCAAGGGTCAAGTTTCTATCGTTTTCAACAATTAATCCAACATCTTTATCCATCACTTTCTTTATTTCTTTTGTGGCCGAATCTCCTGATGCTGTTTGCTTCTTTTTCTTCTTGGAGATGGTCATTTTTGATCTATCAACGATGATTTCTGGCATGTCTGTTTCCAACGGGGATGGTAAATATTTAGTCACAGCGTCCATCAAAGGTTGAACTCCAATGTTTCTAAATGAAGCACCGCAAAGTACAGGAGTTAAATAATTCTCAATTGTTGCTTTTCTGATTGCTTTGTCAAGGGTTAAAGATGGGATTTTCAAATAATCTTCATCATTTTCTAAAAATGAATCAATAATCGCGTCGTCAAATTCACCTAATGTTTCAACCATGGATTCTCTAGACTTACAAAGCATTTCATAAACTTCTGGCATTGAATCCTTTGAGGATTCGATATCATGGACAGTAATTTCATTCCCAAATGAGTCAGCTTGTGAATCCCATGTTAAAAGTTTCTTGTGGATTATGTCAATAACTCCTTTAAATACCAAATCTTGGTTTGCGTCAGTTATGAAGTATGGTAAATTGCATAACACGACTCTAGTTTCCAACTTTTGAATAACTTCTTTGACAGTCCTACTAAACCCAGCACCAGGACGATCCATCTTATTAACATAGACAATCTTAGGTAAATTCAATTCACGAGCTTGTTTCCAAACCTTTTCAGTCTGTGCTTCCACCCCAGCTACTGCATCAAGAATTGTCACTGCCCCATCAAGAACTCTAAGAGACCTGGTGACTTCAAATGTAAAATCCGCATGTCCTGGAGTATCAATAATATTCACTTTATGTCCATTCCAAGGTAAGGTAATTGCCGCCAGTTGAATAGTTATACCTCTCTCTCTTTCAGAAGGCAAATAATCCGTAACTGTATCCCCTTCATCAACATTCCCAATTCTTTTAATTTTCCCACTATAATAGATCATTCTTTCAGTGGTTGTAGTTTTCCCAGCATCGATATGGGCGATGATCCCAATGTTTCGGGTTTTGGGTAATCCTATTTTATTTACATCGATTCCTGCAGTCTGGGCATATTTCCTGGTAATTGTCAATGACAGTCGTATGACGGACCTCAAGACTCCTCTATATGTTTGTAGCATAGATACTAAGTTTAGGTGATAAAGAAGTGTAACTGATAAATTGAAAATTTTTAGTTCTCGGATTTTTGTGTTATTCACGACCAAAACGTTTGGTAGCGTCGTGCCCCGGAATGGGGAACTCATTTAAATACTGTTCTTCCCTTCTGCAATAGATTAGCAACAATGAATAATATGACCCGGAAGAAAAGACTTTTGAACATTCAATTTGTAGAGAAAGTCGTTTAATATTTAGTCAATTGATAGAAATAGATTAGGTAGGTTGAGAACACATTCATTTTGCTATAAAAACTTCCACTAAAAATATAAAAAAAGGATAATTGGCTACAAGCAATCCAATATGACTTAACGTTGACCATAGGCCTTAGTAGCATAGTCACCGTTAATAACAATAACATCTTGTGGACGATAATTGTAAGTCTTGTTGAAATATTCTTCTAAAATATTTTCAACCCCCTTCGAATATCTTTCTTGAGCATCTAATGAAGTACCTGAAACATGAGGTGTCATAGCATTCCCCCCTCCATATGGATTTCTCATAGTAATCCATGGATGGTTCTTTGGTGGTGGTTGGGGATACCAAACATCACCACCATATCCACCTAAATGGCCAGAATTAACTGCATCAGCAACATCTTGTTCAACACAGATGGCACCTCTGGCAGTGTTGACTAAATAAGCACCTGGTTTCATCTTGGAAATGAGTTCCTTGTTGAATAATCCCTTAGAAGAATCATGTAATGGACAATTAATGGTAACGATATCTGCTTGAGAAACCATATCTTCTAACTTCTCAACTCTTTCAACAATATTGTCAACACCATTGAATAAAGCAGAGGCATCATTAAGCTTTTGAATAGCTGCTGGAGGTAATTCTTGATAATCGAAATACAATAATTTCTTAGGGTTAAAAGCAATCATTCTTTCTAAAATACGATAACCAATTCTACCAGCACCAACAGTAGCAACAACTTTACCTTCCAAATCATACTCTTGCTTTGCAACCCCAGCGATATCCCATTTACCTTGGACAGCCATATCATGAGCAGGAACAAAATTTCTAACCAAAGTCAAAATAGTCATCATTGCATGCTCAGCAACTGATTGGACATTGGAACCAGTGACTTCCAAAACAGCAATTCCACGTTCATTGGCGGCATCTAAATCAACATGATCAGATCCAACACCAGCAGTAATAGCAATCTTTAAATTCTTAGCCTTAGCAATTCTTTCACGAGTCAAATAAGCAGGGAAAAAAGGGGTGGTGATGACAATTTCAGCATCGGCTAATTCGTGGTCGAATTTGGAAGATGGGGCAGGTTCCTTTTCAGTGGTGGTGACAAGTTCATAGCCATGGGATTCGATGTACTTACGAAGTCCGAGTTCGTTTTCAATGGTACCTAATAATTTTGGTTGCTGTTTAGCATGTTCACCACCTTGGTAGAGGACTAATAAAACTTTGGATTTGGCCATTGTTAAAAAATTGAAAATTGCTTGTTGTTTGAGTTTTTGAGGTTTTAATCGAGTTGTTTGTTGTTCGATTGATGAGGGAAAGAAGAATTGAGGATTGAAAAATGGGAACTTTACCTCATATTTATATCTTTAATTTTGAATACTAAATGAGATCTTTAAATCCACTCTCCATGGCTACCGATCTCTATATCCGAGTAATTTTCAATCTACAATTCCATAAAAGTCCGTAATTGAGTTGCACTTTCTGATTTTATGTTTGCCCCACTATATTTGCTTTTTTTGTGATAATTAATGGCTGCAAAAAAAAGCCCTCGGAGTAAATTTCTCTTTCCGGAAACTGAACAAACGAGTATCCAATAGCAAAAAAACAACTCGGAACAATTTTCAATTATCCAGTCTGAATAAAGATCTAACAAATACCAATCATCTATTTGACCATCATGCGGAGATTCTGATCCTGGATGCTTATTTGCTTTCCTTTAGTTTTCCGCGGCACTAAAATTGGCTCATTACCTTCAGTTTGCACAATTGTATGTCAGAGTCTTCTTTTTCAGTATTAACAATACATTAAATTCCATCTACATGTTTGGCATAAACAAAATCCATACAATTAGAACTAGTTAAGTGGGTAGAACTTTAAAAAACCCATGTCTGAGTAATGTGATTTTAGGAATCTACCGAAGAAATGAACCTATAGCTACAAAAAAACACTCTCGGATAACACCATATATATCGAACTGCAATCAGAACGACAAAATAAAATCAGACGCAAACAGATATTAGTCATGAGAGAAACCATGTCAAGTGTTTACTATTCCATCAATTCACTTCATCTCTTTATTCTATTTGTCTGCAAATTTAAAAAAAAATAGTGTCAGGCTTGCTGGGGCAAGCCGGGAATTGAACCCGGGACCACACGCATTTTAGTTCTTGACGCGAATCAAAAACCCTAAGCATGTATCATACCACTAGACCACGTGCCCATTGCGCGCGAAAAAAGATTTTTTCAGTCAAAATCAATCTTTTATTTCACGTGATAATCGCATGACTTTCGCGTGATTTTCATGTGACTTTTCCTGTGCATCAAACATTCTGGCGTGGTGGTGTTGGTTATAATGATTCATATTTTCAAGGACCAAGTCGATTGAATGTTTATTCTGTTATTACAGTCACTATGCAATATAGAAGAATTTTATTGGATACAAGCTTGTATGTTGTCTGTGATGTGTTATAATCTACAGTCGTTTCTGTGTGTCCTTCAATTGTCTATCTCCACAAGATAGAGATGCAGAGCAAGGGGCTTATCCCAAAAGAAGGAACCATCTATGGAACATAAATTGGTTAACTATATGAATATTTTAGTTTATGCTATTCATTCCTAATTTGCTTGTAAGTCATATGAAGTTAATTTTTATGTTTGAAGAATAAATTTTTGGCTGTTAATTTTTTTGCAACAATTGTACCAATTTTTTTTGCCTACACACTTTTCTAATTAACAACTAAGTAAAAGTCCTTAAAAACGGTTTAGATTAACCATGATGTTAGAATTTTGCCTGAGGTTTATTTGGCTAAAAGCCAAAGTGTCTTCTAAAGTTGTGGGGCTTTTGCCTACGTACTTTACAGAGCTACAGTAGCAACGAGAAATAGATAATAACTACGCAATTCCACTGCAAAATTTTCAACGTGTTTCGTTTCAACCTTACGAGAATGTTCCAAGATCAGGAATCAGTTCCAATTGGAGACTTAAGCAACAAAATTCTTGAATTGGAGAATTAAGCAACAATTTTGTTGCTGACAAATCATTGGCAAAAGCATCCCCATTGTAATTCCCATTATCATTTAAGCAAGTCAAACAATGACCTCCTCTAGCTATTGGAGTATTCGGAGTGTTGTGTAAGCAGGTTATACCGAAACGCACATATGGACGCCACTACTCCACCCCAACAAGCATCTTGCAATTGATGGAATGTGTCATGACTATTTTGTCCTCGACCCGTTGATTCCTGATTTTTTTGCAATTGAAATATCTTAAGTTTGGATAAAAAATAACGGAAAAAGAAACTCACAATGAAAATGTTGCAGTGAATAATTTTCTCTGTTCCAAGTCATCAATTCTATTGTTTTGAACATGTGAAAAAGTATCCACTTGTATATTAACGATCCGGGTTTAAGCCTATCTCCTTTTAGCAAGAAGATTGATGCAGTCCATGGGGGCAACGGTGGTGGTCCCTTTTCGGAAACCAGTATCGTATCTCCGTGCAAGCGGAATTATTATTTTTTATTGTTATTTATTTTTTCTTTCATTTTGGCATGCACCACTTCTCATGAAAAAACTTTAAAAGCAAATTGCCAAGCTAACCTAGTGCTTCGACTCATAGGTTTACTCCACATAAAGAGTTGACATTGGATTAATAATAGGAGATTACAAATCACACGGAATAATTATAATTTATCATACAAATTAATCCGATTTTCCTTAATAAATCACATCATACGGCGCAATTCAACTCGATTTGGGTAAAAAATCCGATCACAAAATCGAAACAATACGGTCCGGGAGCCCGAATTTTGGTTTTTGTAAGTCGGAGAAACGAAAGAAAATTTTCATTAGAAATCTGAAGAGTATCCTCTTGGTATTAATACCAACAATGATGAGATTATAAAAACCACCTGATTTTACCCATTTTCTCATCTTATAGTATACGGTATGTCAAACATGAGAGTGTCAATTAGTAGCAACATGTCAAGTTCCGAAATAAAGGAAGCGTCTCTGTCAGACAAAGAAGATCTTACACCCAGTAAAGTTCACACGAGAATAGATGTAGAAAATAATTCAGATGGTTCATTAGATATAGAAGCTGGTAAAGAGAATGTTGTTGATTCTCCGCCAGGATCAGACGATCCAGATATAGATGCTGGATATGCCTGGGTAATTTGTTTTGCATGTTTTCTTTTTAATTTTGCAACATGGGGAATGAATTCAGGATTTGCGATTTATTTTGCAAATTATTTAAACAATAATACTTTCCCAGGGGCTAATAAGATGGATTATAGTTATATTGGTGGGTTAGCATTTGGGGTAGGTCTTTTCTTCTCACCTGTCTTAACTGTGATACAAGGTAAGATAGGACTTAGACCTACTTTAGCTATTGGTAATTGTTTAGAATTTACGGCGCTTATGTTGGCCAGTTTCTCAACCAAACTTTGGCAATTATATTTAACTCAAGGTGTCATGCAGAGTCTTGGATTAGCATTCCTTTCAGTTCCATCCGTTTCATTAGTTCCACAATACTTCAGAAAGAGAAGAATTTTAGCTGGGAGTTTGGCAACTGCGGGGTCAGGTGTTGGTGGTATTGTTTTCAATTTGGGTATGCAAAAAGTAGTTGAAGCAAGAAGTGTATTCTGGGCATTAAGAGTCCAAAGTATAATAGCATTTGTTTTAGGTTGGGTAGCAATTGCTCTTGCAAAGAAGAAAAAGAATCTCCCTCCTATCAAGTTTGCCATGTTTGATAAAGAAGTTCTCAAATCAGCATCATTTTATCTTTTAGCTTTCTTTTGCATTACATGTATGTTTGGATATGTTATTGTATTATATACATTAGCACAATTCACAACTAGTTTGGGATATTCAGAGTATCAAGGATCAATAGTCTCAGCTATGGTGCAAGTCGGATCGTGTTTTGGAAGACCAATAGTTGGTTATGCATCAGATAGATTGGGAGCAGCAACAGTATCAACCACAGCTTATACTATTGTCGGTATCTTATGTTTTGCAATGTGGATTCCAGCTAGGAGTTTAGCTACTGTCATTGTATTTGCAATTATCCAAGGTGGATTAATGGGAGCAATCTATGGTATGATTGCACCTTTGATTGCTAGACTTTTTGGATTGAAAAAGATGAATCTTGTGCTTGCAAATGTATGGTGTTTCTTAGGTATCGCAGGGTTATTTTCACCGGTCATCGGGATTAAATTGAAACATGGAGAAGGAGGATTTGTTGATCCTACTCAATATGTTGATTGTTCTATTTTCGCTGGGGTTTCATTTATGTGTTGTGCGTTGACTTTGTTGATCATTAGAGGATATATTAAAGCAAGAGATTATATGTTGGCACAAAGAGGCGGTGATAGTAAGGATACCGATTTCAGTGATTATACAGGAATAACAGTTCCATTTACTCAAGTGTTTAGACATATGTTTTCTTACAAGTATGGTAAGATATAACATCTTCCACTTCCTCAACTTCATTAAGAAACTATTCATTTCTTACTATTTATATTTATCTATTTGCAAGTCATATAGTTAGCATTCTAATATAACGATTATTCTTTTAATATTTTGCAATTGTTTTCTTTCTTTGTTAAAAACGCGTGAGACAATGAAAATCTATAATGAAGGTGTGTAATTTATAGTTTTTATTATTTGTTTACACTTTTTGTAGTTTAATTATTTGAGAGATTTGATAACGCGCGTTGTTATAAGATTTTTTTACAACCATCGGAATTTTACAACACAAAATTTTATCAACAAACAGTAAGAAGCTGTAGATATCACATTGCTATACTTCAAACTAACTACTAGAGATGTCAGAAGGTAACCAAGACACTACAGACATTAACAAGAGGGAACCCTCTGCAGCGGGGGAAGAACCTCCTACCAAGAAAACAAGGTTGGAAGACTCTTCAGTTGCTGATCCAACAACAAATCAGACTATCATCTCATCTCCAAATATTCCAGTCACTAATTCAGCCAGCGTTACCCAAAGTATGATCATTACATCACAATCTCCTCCAGCATCAAGTATGCCACCAGTTGCCAACTCAGCAAATACATCTCTGGCAGCTGCTACTGCTAATTTCAATGTAACTCCTCTTGCAAAACCTTTGGTGACTCCAAATAGTGGTCCAAATAACATCACTACCTCATTACCACCATTAACACCCTTACCTGAAGTCAAAAAAATAAATCGTTTAGTTCTCCTCCACGATAAACCAAAGTATTATCATACTATTATGCAATTAAAGAGCCTTCGTGAATTACCAAACAATTTTGTCACCGTATTAGAAATTGGTACTATTGATAAGGTCTTGAAAGAAACTACCATTTCAGCAGTCAAATTCGATCATTTCCATATGAATATCGAATATAATGAACATTTCCAAGCCAATTTAAACAAATTCATTGCTTTTTTAAAGAAGAATCAAAAAATGATTGATGAAGTTGGTGATCTTGCTTATCATATTCATTTCGAACCAGGTAAAAAATGGGTAGAATACAAGCGTAGTGAAGTTAAAGCTTATTATAATTTCTTGGATGCAATTAGAGATGCGGGTGCTGATAAAGTTGTCCAATGTTCGATTGTGAATAAATATGATATGGATACCGTATATATGACTGAAAAAGAGGAGCTTACCAAATTGGGTAATGAAATTCAACAAGATATTGAATATTGGAAGAACCTCAAGATTTTGGATTATGGAGAAAGCAGTATTCGTGTCTTGCCAGGGGTTAAGTTACCAGATTCGCTTGAAGTATTAAACATTGGTGGTGGATATGCTTTGGAAACTTTGACTGGATTCAAAATGCCACCTAAGCTTAATACATTACTAGCTGGTCAAGGCGCTATTCATACTATTGATAATGTCGATTTCCCTTCAAGTTTAGAAAGATTATCGATTGAAGATAATAAGATTTATTTCTTGAATTATGTTGAATTTCCACCTTCACTTAAACACTTAGATGTATCACAAAATAGAATCGAAACCTTAAGAGGAGTTGAATTCCCAAGAGGGCTAGAATCTTTGAATCTCGGATTTAATCCAATCGAAAGTATTAGAGGAATAAGATTACCTACTGGATTAAAAGAGCTTGAAATCTCAAATATTCCAAATGAATCAATGACCGGTGTGAAATTCCCCGATCATTTGGAAGTATTAAACCTTCAATCATCAATGACTAATACTAGAGGTTTAAAACTTCCCCAACATTTGAAAGTCCTTGTATTGACAGGAAATGGGGTCAATAGTATAAACCCATTGAAACTACCCAATACTATTGAAGTTCTTTATTTAAATCAGAATAATATTAAGACTTTGAATAAAGTACAATTACCAAGTAGACTTCGAGAATTATATCTTGGTGAAAATATGATTACTACATTAAAGAATGTTACTTTTCCATCTACACTTGAGCTTTTGGATTTAGAAGGTGATTCAGATCAAGCTTTTGCTAGTGATAAACTTATTACTACTTTGAAAGATGTGGTCTTACCTCCAAATTTAAAGATTTTGAAATTGGGTTATCATTCAATCAAATCAATTGAATCTTATGAATTTCCAGTAAGTTTAAGGTTTTTGAGTTTGGCTTATAACGAATTAAAACAGATTAGAAATTTGAAATTTGGTAATCACTTAAAGACATTAGATCTTAGTGGGAATCCCGAGCTTTTAAGTCTTGATAATGTGATCATTCCTGAATCAGTCACAGAATTAAGAGTATCACCACAATTGATTGATAATTTGCCTGGCTATGTAATCGAAAGAGCAAACAGACACAGGCTCATAATCAAAAAGTCCGAAGAGCATCGCAGTTTACCTATAATTTAGTTTGCGTATTTACTTTTTTGTGTATATTACAAATGTATGAATGTGAGAATTTATTTTCAAATTATGTATGCCTATATTAATCTTCATCTTCTTCATCAGAAGATTCTTTATCTTCAGCTTCCTTTCTTTCTAATAAACGTTCAAGTTCGGCATCTTCAGTGGCAGTAACAGCCTTTGGAGCCATGGTAACTTTACAAACACCTCCACTAGCTTCAATCTTTTCAGTAATTTTTTCAATTGCTTTTTCCAATAATTCAATACCTTTCTTCTTATCTAAAGCTTGAACAGAAAGGAAATATAATGGAGCGGCGACTAATTTAGCCTTGACTTGCATTTGTGGAGTAGTTACGGCTTCGGCAGCTTTCAAAGCTTCCTTAATGGCATCTATACCTTCATAACTGAAACATGAAACTTCAACATCAGCTCTAATGTTAATGGCTTGTGGAGTTAATCTTCTAGAAATGTATAATTTCAATTCTTCTAAAATATCGCTTGAAGGAGCTTGAATATCATCAAAGATAGTTGGATCAGTGATTGATATTTTGAATGCATCGTAAGCATGACCGAATTTTCTACTTAATGGCCAGCCAATGGTTTCATATAATTTTTCTAACGAGATATTGAACTTTTCAGCACAATGTCTTAAGATTGAATGAACTGCTTTTGATTTATTATATCTTTCATCACATTTCACAATATCTTCGGCTGAAACTCTTCTTTTAGATAAATCAATATACCCCTTTTCTTTATCAACTCTTAAAACAACAGCTACTTCATTCTTACCAACACGGATTAACTTTTGGATAGAACGAATACGTCTTCTAGATAATTCGGATAATAAAACCATACCTTCAATATTATCATATTCTAATAATTTAACATATGCTCCCATTTCGGCAATTTCTTGCACATTGACCATGACAACTTCATCCACTTCGGGATATTTGTTCTCATAGAATCTACAGTTTGAGGAACTCATGATTATTCTCTTTAGTTATGTATTGGGATCAAACTGGTTTAGTAAGTTGACTCACCATCATCACCTAATACAACACACACTTAAAAATTTTTTTATTGTGTGTGCAGTACAGACTGAAAAAAATCAGATTACGTAATAAAACAAGAAAGATTATATAATCAAAATAACCTGCATTTGCTATAGTAAAACTGCAAACTAAAAAAATGCAGCTTACAAATGTGCAGTTTACAGGTGATGAGAGAGATTTCATTCATTTCATTGTCTGCCAATCCACACCGAGGATTTCATATGCAACCCACACATGGCCCACTCCAGCCCCTTCAGTACTATCAAACCGCCTTGATAACTCTTCCGTGAACCCCTTGTTATATGTTGTAGTGGAAGCCGCTTGTGACGTTATACACGATGGCTTAATTGGGAATGCGAGAAACATTCACACTTCTACATGAGAATTTTGAAAGTAGATTTAGTTTACATGAAGAAGTGAGGATGCAAATAAAGGGAATATGGTGATGAGACCACTGACCCTTAAAAAATTTCAAATACTAATTGGGAATAGAGATATCGCCTTTACTGTTCGCTTCTCTTTGTAGAATAAAGGGAGCTAGCTCCTTAAGAATATTTTTTGTACGTATTTGAAATGAGATTTCCTGAAATGAGATCTGAATAAAAGAAATAAAATATTATAAATTTCAAAATCCCACAGTTGGAAGACATACGTAATCCATCAACACATAACTACGAGAATATTTCCCACAGATGACGTCCAGAAACCTTCTAGACCATTGAAGCGGCATTTTGCCGGAGACTCGGCCAACGGTCATAGAATATTTTCTTGAATAAAACGGTCTAGGTCTTCTGCACAAGCTAGTAACACAAAGCTCATGAAAAAAAAGGAAAACCAGGATAATGTCTAACGTTTCTTTTTCTGAATATTTTCTAACTATTATAGACATTAACTCATGACTGTACCCGAATTTGTGGTTCATATATGCAGGAACTAGTTATTTTGGAAATGGATCTCACCCAATTAGGAAGTCTAATTGAAAAAATAATTTTAAACAATGCCGAATTAGGTTGCAAAAAAATATTTCTCATTTGCAAAAATTTTTTATCATGAAAATTTTCACAGCTGTGACTTGAGAAATGAGTTACCGATATCACACACAAGCATCATCTTCTCAATATATATATAAAGGAAGATATCCCCCCTTGATTTTCAAGTCTTATATCTTTTCCTTTTCTTTCTCATCTATCAAACTACATACATTCGCTTATACATCATGAAGGTTTTCCAAGTTATTTTCGCTATCTTAAGTATTGTCTTTGCTGCTCAAGCTGCCGACGATGAAACAAGTGGTACTATCACCCTCACCGCCGTCGCCACTGTTATCCAAACCGTTAGCAACGGGGAAACCACACTTCCAGTCACTTCAGCTCCAACATCTCATACTACCATGACTTCTACTATTTCATCTGCTGCAAACTCCACCACTCCACACGTTACCACTGTCAATGGTGGTGCTAATGGTATTGCCCCAGCTTTTGGTTTAGTTGCTGTTGGTTTATTACAATTGTTATAAGTGTGTCTTGACTTCTATGCTAGCATAATAGTCTTTTATTGACATTACTTCGGTTTTTGGTTTTTTTTTTGTCGTTGCCCCATTCTTTCTTATTTTAGCCCCCCGAAATTTTTTCGGTTTTTGAATTAGTATATAATATTTAGTCCTTACCAATAAACATTCGTTGCACTGTTTAAAACTTAATTTAAGTAATTATAATTGTAAGATAAGTAATCTGAAAGCTATATACTCTCCATAAAATTGTATTTGATATCTTTCTAATGCCGCAATAGAGACGTAAACTGAGAAATATTTTGAAAACTAGAGGGAGCCGTTTGTGTGACGGTGCAGTGAGGCTACCCTTCTTTCAGATCTCTCCCACATCTTCTAAGATTGGTTTACTTAGTCTCTTTAGATTAAAGACCAACGTGCAAGATAGATGGTTCATGGAAACACCGAGCTTAATGGGTCATTCCTAAAAATAGAACATCAGAATACGGACTCTCATTTTATTTCAGAAAATATTTCGCAACAATGGTTTTCTAAAATATTGCCTCGAGGAAAACCCCTTGATTCCCGTAGTTCACCTAAACTTGAAATCAGATCTCGTCTGTATAAAAATTGGGTCCCCCTTATAGCAATCTAAGGAATCCAAGGTGCAAGTTGTACATGACAACCATTGATATATTTAAGGTGGCTCCTTTGTCGTTTCCATCATGATATTGTTTTTTGACAATCACAATTTGATACGCAGAGAATAAATATGAAGTTTGCAACCATTATTGTTGGCTTATTAGGAATTACAACATCAGCAATTGCGGCTGATGGAGACACTAGCACTGATGAAGAAGTTATTATGGTCACTGAAATAACCGGAACAGTCACAGAAGAAGTAACTGGGCCTATCATCTTAAACCCACCTGAAAGTCAAGCTGCTGAGAGTGAAGCAACTCCTCCAACGACCCAAAGCTCAGTAGTCCCACTTCATCCACTTAGTGACTACAGTGATATCGTACCAATTGCTGAAACTACGACTAGCGCCACACTTTTACCAATTTCTTCAGCTGTTGAAGAACCTACAGTTGCATCGATTGCAAATGATGCTAATGCTGTTTCTTATGTTCCACAATTAGGAATGATCATTTTTGGAATGTTTGAAATGGTATTCTAGGGATATTAACTGTCTGCTTGTTGATACATGGGAGGGTTTAGCTAGGTATTTAAAGTTCTATTATTTAGTTCAATGAACTTAATGACAATATACGATTTTCTTGACAGTAATGAAGAGCTTTGTAGATTATAGGGGTGCATGCTTCTGTCTTCCTCAGGCTAACTTAGGCTAGCCCAATTCATGACAAAGGTAGCCAAAAACAGAAATTAAAGTTTACTTTTTGTTGTACGGCTCTCATTGTATTTAACCAACTTTGAAAGTATAGATGAAATATCTAATATTCCCCCCCGCGTATATATGTACAGTTGCGCAATGATGGGGCTTTCCTAGCCGAACAATATGATCTTCTCTCCACAAAACAGACAAACGCAAATTTCAATTAATAAGCCATCTGACAAATATTCATTATTCACAACATGTCATCGCAGGCGTTTTACGGTTTACAGTTTTACGGTAAACTTCCCGAAATCGTTCGACCTTCCTGTTGAAGTACATCATCTCATCTGATTACAATATCTTTCAGTCTTTACCCCTGAAACCGTTCAAAAAAGAACCCTTGACTGCATATTAGCCTGCTCACTTTCCTTTTTCTCACAGAAAAAAAGATGCGTAATTGCTTCCTTATCTGATTCTCGCTAACAACACTCACTGAGAGAGAGACATCTCTGTAAGTTAATGTGTAATTATTAATTCCTTCTCTAGAAGAAAGATCTTTATGTCTCAGAGCTTATTACTTCTATTCATTCTATTATTAAACTTTTGAAACCTCCTATTTCATGTAAAGGGGATTTCAATGTTTGAATTATTGCGAAAACTCATAAAGAATTGATTGTTGAGTTGGTTTGTTGTTTGTTTCTAACAATAGAAATTTCCAAATGGTTACACACAGGAGTTGCCTAATTTTTCAATAAAACCCACATTATTTAAATTCCATTCCCAAATTCACTTTTACTTACTTCCCCGTTAATTATTCCTTTATCTCCTTTACTCCCCCCGCCTGACTTCACACTTTCCTTAATCCTTTTTGATAAAACTTTCTGCATTATAAATATGGCAGCCAAAGTGCCACTTCCAGAATTCCAACCATTAAATGTTGTGGATCCTTCTCTTCCAACCACACGATCGCTTTCACTTATAGATTATATTAAACAGACAATACGACATCGTAAACTATTGATAAGTATGGTCATCTTTGCCAATTTATTTGCACTAATTAGTGTTCATTTATTCATTCTTAAATTCTCAAGAGGATATCCTTATGTACCAGCTACCAAACAACAAGACACCACCAAGTCAACAAATTTGCAACCCACAGATCAAACTTCCCTTTATGATCTAATTAATTCCCCAAACAATAAAGCAATCTTTAGTCAAATCAAGTTTTCTGATTTTGCATTTTATGACAATGAATCTAATGTTGTTGGAACTGTTGAATTTGCTTATTTTAATCAATATCAACGTCAACCATATGTCGCAAATGGTTACATTGGTAGTAGAATTCCTAATGTAGGACAAGGTTTCGCATATGATAGTCTTTCAAATTCCCCAGGTGCAAATGAAGATGATTTACTTAATGGCTGGCCTTTATTTGATAAGAGATATGCTGGAGCTTTTATTGCTGGTTTCTATGACATTCAAGTAAATACAACAGGAACTAATTTCCCCGAATTATTAGAGAATGGTTATGAAAGTGTAATTGCAGCAGTACCACAGTGGACTACATTAATGTTATCAGCAGAAATAGATGGCCAGACTTATACTTTGGATCCATCTTTAAGAACTGATCTTATTGGTGATATATCTAATTATGTACAAAACCTTTCACTTAGTAATGGGATTGTCACTACCCAATTTACCTGGTTGAATGCACTTGAAGTAAGATATGAGATTTTAGCTCATAGAACTGAAGTGAATTTAGGATTAGTTAATTTACAAGTTATTAATTTCGGAAATGAAACAATACAACTCGATATCATCGATAAACTTGACTTTGAATCCGCTCAAAGATCCCAATTAACAGGTGTTAATTATGACGATAATGGAATTTATATAACTTTCCAGCCCCTGGAAATTAATTACATTGATGGCGCAATTTATTCAACTTTGAATGTAGATGGACCAATTAGTAGATCATCAACTAATGACACTGTTAGTCAAACAAGTCGTATCTTCCTTAATGAAGGTAGAACAATTAATGCATCAAAGTTTGCGGGAATTGCTTCTACCGATTTCGATCCAGATCATCTAAAGTCCGCTCAAGATGTTCTTCTGCTTGCAAGACAAGTTTCACAAAAACACCATAACGTGAATGAAGTTGTAAAGACCCATAAAGCTGGTTGGAAAGATACTTTCCAAAAAGAACCAGTGGTAACTTTCAACAGTGATCCATTATTGACATTAGGTTCCAGAGCTTCAGTTTTCCATTTATTAGCCAACACCAGACCAGATGCTCAGGGCGTTACGGGTGCTCTTGGAGTTGGAGGGTTAAGTTCTGACAGTTATGCCGGGTTAGTTTTCTGGGATGCTGATTTATGGATGTTGAATGCAATCTTACCATTTGCTCCAAGTCATGCTAAGAGTTTGGTTAATTATAGACTTCATACCCATCAGCAGGCTATCGAAAATGTTCCTCAAGGTTATCAAGGAGCGGTATATCCTTGGACAAGTGGAAGATTTGGAAATTGTACAGGTACTGGTCCATGTTTGAATTATGAATATCACATTAATTTTGCTGTTGCAAGAGCTGCTTGGCAATTGTATATCAGTGGAGCTGCTGATGATGATTTCTTAGCCAATGTTGCATATCCGCTCATTACAGATGCTGCTACTTTCTTTTCGCAATATCTTGCAGATTACAATGATACATTAGGCAGATACGTCACCCATAATCTTACTGATCCTGACGAGTATGCAAATCATGTCGATAATGGTGCTTATACAAATGCTGGTATTTCATTAGTTATGAAATGGGCTATTTCAGTTGCGAGCCATCTTGGAAGGGAGTTCTCTCCTTTGTTTCAAAACATTGCTGGTAATATGTTTCTCCCTACCGCTGATAATAGTCAAAATATCACATTGGAATATTCAGGCATGAATTCTTCAGTTGATGTCAAACAAGCAGATGTAATCATGTTGACCTTCCCACTCGAGAATGAATTAATCGATAATGAACAAGCTTTCACCAATATGGAATTCTATTCGGCAAAACAAGTAAGTTATGGACCTGCCATGACTTTCCCAGTATTTTCAATCGTGGCCGCCGTGCTTGCTCCTTCTGGATGTGCTTCTCAATCATATTTACAAAAAGCAATCCAGCCATACCTTCGTGGTCCATTTGCACAATTTTCTGAACAGAATAATGATGATTTTAATATTAATGGTGGAACACATCCTGCATTCCCATTCTTGACGGCTCATGGAGGTTGGGTTCAAGCGGTTCTCCAAGGTTTGACTGGATTCAGGTTTGATTATGCTACAGACAATGGATCATTGGTAAGAATGCTCAGATTAGATCCAATTGCATTACCAAGTCTTGGCGATGGGGTCGAATATAAGGGTGTAAACTACAACAACCATTCCTTATCTATGAGTATCAATGCAACCCATTTCAAAGTCACGAATGAAGGCAAAACCAACAAAAATGCAGATGACCTGATTAAGATTCTTATTGCTGAAAGAAATCCAATGGCTGGTGTTTATGATTTAAAAGATGGTGAAGATTTGATTTTCCCACTCTATACTCCGGCATATACTTTTGCCAACAGTATTTCTGAATGTGGACTTGCTAATTTCTATAATATCACAGAAGGGGCGCTTGGTGATGCTCCAATCCTGATTAATGATGGCGATAATACTACTAGATGGCAGGTTCAATATAATGATACTGTAGGAAAGGTACTTGTTGATTTGAGAAGGTTTAGAAGTGTTTCTCACATTCTTTTCAATTGGGGTGATAGACCTCCACAGAATTTGTCGGTATCGAAATATATTGGGAATGAATTTACTCAAGCTACTGATTTCTTCGCAAAAGTTGACTTTGGAAATCAATTGTATCAGAATTATAAATATCTTAACCCAGAACAGAAGTTGGTAAAGCAAGCTGACGTTTTTCAACAAGTTCATTCTTCAGCAGTTGAAATAAATGCTCCATATGATCCAAATGAGTTCTTTGAAGTTGTGGTGCCTGATAGACATAACACAACTAGTTTAGATTTAGACATAGAAAGTAGATTCTTGTTGCTAGAGGTTGAAAAGATTCACAATACAGAGGCTATAGATGGCGATTTTGGTGGTGCGAAGTTTGTCGAAGTTGTGGTCTACGGATAATACTAGATCTGAAAACTAGACATTTTTTGAGACTTTACTTAAAAGTTTGTATATCAACACTTTAGATATTTGCTTCTCTCTTGTTTTTAGTATAATGAATTACGATTTTACTTACTGTATTACTTAAAATTTAATTAACCTTCTAAAATTTTACTACAAAATTGTTGTGTGCTAAAAATATAAACAAATTACAAAATTACAAAAAATTGTTTTCTCTCATCATCACTTTAGTCTCTCCTTCTTTATCTCTAATACATTGCTTCCGCCATTGTAATCAAACGCTTAACACCAATATGCCAATTCCCAGTCTCATCACCATGATTAGTAGCAATATCAATAATTAATCCGGTAGCAGTGTTAAATTCCCTACTCTCTATATTGGCGGTCACCTGTTTCAATTCTTCCACAACACCAGGAGATAATTCTTCATTGTTTAAATGATCAAATAAGAAATTAAGTCTTTGCTCCATATCTACAGCATGCTTTTTGTACTTGTCAGGAACTTGTGGTTTGATTGCTTCAAGAATGGCAGATAAGCCAGTGTAGATCACTTTTGCTTCTTCTGGAATGTGAGATCTATCACCCTTTGGATGCTTGACCTTTGCTGGTGGTGGTGGTGGGGTTGCAGCTGCAGGTGGTTGATTTTGTACAATTGGAGCTGGTGGAGCAATAGGTTGGCTAACAGTAGGAGGAGCAACTGGTTGACTAGCAACAGGTGGAGGACCAACAGGTTGACTAGCAACTTGAAGAGGTGGAGCCCTACTAACTGGAGCTGGTGGAGCGACTGGCTGACTAGCAACTGGAGGAGGTGGAAGCGGCTGACTAGAAACCGGAGGTGGTGGAGGTGGTTGACTGGCAGCAGGTGGTGGTGGGAATGAGTGACTTGGTCCACTAGGTAAACGTTGAGGTGGAGGAGCGCCATTAAACGACGACTGAACAAACTGAGGAGATCTTAAACCCAATTGTTGTGGAGTTGAACCAACACTGCCAATCCTTGGAGGTGGAGCAATGGTACTACCTGGTGGAGGAAGAATTTTACCACCGACTGGAGCTTGTGACGGAGGTGGAGCATAAGGATTCTTTGGTGGTGGAGCTGGGGCTGCACTTACACTCATACCCAAACCGATTTGTGCTGGTGGAGTAGCGTAGGATACCTTTGGTGGATTTACTTCAGCAGTTGGAGCATATGGATTCTTTCTATTTAATTGAGGAGAAAGGGCTGAGCCAGGAGGTGGTGCTGTTGGTGGAGCAGCCCCATTAAACCCATTTGTGACTGGAGTAGATGGCTCTGCACCTGGAGGTGGAGCATACTTGCTAGAGGGAGCATGAACATTCTTTGGTGATCTGGGAGCAACAGGAACTGAAATCTTGGAAGAATTGCGGCTGATCCCTTTAGGTGGTGGTGGAACATTAGAGGTTCCAGCATTGGAAAGTGCTCTTCTTGGAGTAACTGGAGCTACTGTCGATGGTGGGAAAGCTGGTTGTTCTGGCTGTTGTTGATATTGATTTGGTTGTGGAGTGACAACTGCAGCAGCAGTAGCACGACGTGGAGTTACAACTGGCTTAAAGGTGTGTGGTAAATCATTCCAACCGTCAGTATCAGTCTTATGTCTACTTGATGCAACTGGAGGAGGAGGAGGTGGAGCAGAAACAGCGGGGTTAACTTGTGACAATCTAGGAGAAAATGCCTGGTAAGGGTTAGTTGCTGCAGATGGAGCATAAGGATTAGATGACCGAGCATATGGGTTCGATTGTTGTTGAATAGGAGGCATGGGTGGTTGACTCATTGGACGAACTGGAGGTTGTTGTTGTTGACCGTATCTAGGCTGTTGTTGACCCCCAAATGTTGGCATTGGAGGTTGGGCATATGACGGGACACCTGGTGCAACTGGTGCAACTGGAGGTTGAGCATATGAAGTAGAACGAGAGATTGCCCTAGCTTGTTGTCCATATCGATTGTTAACATTCGAGTAAATATTACCTTGGGATAAATTAGAAGCACCAGCAGATACTGATGGAACCCTGGATTTCGAAACTGTTCCAGTTGCTTTTCTAATTCTTTCCTTTTCTGATCCAGCAAATTCACTTGGGATGATTTGTAAAAATTTCTGAGCTAATTCAAATTCACCACTTCCAGCTACTAAATTAGAAAATTCCACAATTGCTTTAGAAACTGGTTCAACTACAGGTCCTGAAATCTCACCGGTTGAATTTGTAAGATGTCTATAGGTAGCAATCTTTTCCACAAAGTTAGTCAATGCTTGAAGACGCGCATCTGATGGGGATGTTACATCTGGAGTACCTGATCTTAATAATTCTGTTTCATATTCTGGTAATTCCTTCAACCAAACAGCAGCAATCTTGTCCAAAGCATTCCCGGCCAAATAACACAAAATAGCATCATCTCTTCTTCCTCCACCAGAGTGTAAGATTCTGTCACCTAATTCAGACATTCTGTTATCATATTCATCTGCATCACTAAATGAAGAAATACCAACAGCAATTTCTTTCCAATTTTCAATATTTGCATGAGCAACAAGATCAGTAACATTCCTTGAGGATGTATTATAAAGCACTCTAGAAAGACTACTTTCTCTATTGTTTTTGAAATAAACACTCTTAACTTTTTCTTTAATTTCAGTAGAAGCGTCCAATGCCAATACTAAAGCTTCTTCAAGTTTCTTACTATCTAAACAAGCATCAACTGCAGCATCAATCTTATTGTTCAAAATCAAATGAATCAATTTCTTATTCTCAGGAGTTTCATTTGAGGAAAAAATCTTAAAGTTTCCAGCTGGAACATACGCTTCATCTTTCTTTGTAGTTTGACCAGTTCCTAAATGGGCAAAGAAATCATCATCGCCCCAACCAGATGGTTCTTGTTCGCTTTCAATCTTTTCTTCAACATTGTTGTTTAATTCAATATCAAATTCAGTCTTAAATAATGCTTCTCTTCCTGATTCTGATAAGGTTTTCAAAACCTCCCAATCGGCTTGATTAGAATGAGTGAGAGTTCCTTCAGATAATTTATTTTCAATTATGGATTGGAAATTATCATTCTTTAAATCGTCAAATATTTTGCTTGATTTTTGTGGATCACCTGAAGTAATTTTTTGAATTGTGACTATAGATTTACCATTAGCATCAGTTTTCAATGAAACTAATTTAGATCCAAACCCAAATGACACCGCGCAAGGATTCTTAAGCCACTTCGGAGGCTGTTTGACTTCAAAAACAGGTTGTTGAGTTTCAGTAGTTGACAATTCACTCCAAAATTCATTATCATCATTTGTTGTCACCTTTGCAGATGTTGGTGGAGAAGTGTCTTGAAGGGATTGAATGATAATTTTCCCATCGAATGAAGCTGTTGCAAAAATATCAGGCGCAGAAGGAGCAAATCTAGTTTGAAATGCCCAATTGGCAGTAGTTGGATATTCTCCCAATTTTATTCCAGTTATTGGATTCCACAAAAGTGTTGCATTATCTTTTCCACTTGATACTAATAGTTCTGGATCTTGTTTACACCAATCTAAAGATAAAACACCTTTCTTATGACCTTGTAATATATTTTCAGGAGCATTAGCATTTCTTAAATCCCAAGTTAATAGTAATGGACAAGAATCATTATCGCTAGCAGTAATTAATTTAGTTGATATCGTTGGATGCCATGAAACATGAGAAAAGTTAGCTCTACCAGAAGGACCACTATAAGATAAATGTAAAACTTCTTTTTTTGTTTTTAAATCCCAAATAGATGTATAGCCACCATTACCAGTAGTAGCGAGAATATGACCAACAGAATTATTCCATGCAACACAAGTTATTTCATCCATAGGTGTCATTGCTTGTCCTGGAGAGATTGGTTCATCAAAGGCTTTAGTGTCCCAAATAAAGATTTGTCCATGAGAGCCACCGGTAACAAGTACGTGATTTTGAATTGGATTAAATTGTAATGATTTCACTGGTCCACTATGTTTCTTGGATTTATGAACAGATGCAATATTGATATCTTTTGTATTTATTAAAATGTCAGCATCCCAAAATTCAATTACACCATTTTCGAAAGCAGCAGCTAATAAACCTCTAGGTCTTCCTTCGAATGGTTTAGACCAAGCTAAAGCATGAAATCTATTATCAACTTGGGCCGAAAAAATTGGTTGATGTTTATCAGTTGATGAGAATATATCCCATAATTCTAAAGTAGCAGATGAACTAAAATTGATATCAACAGCACCAGCTACAGTACCAGTTGCTAATAAAGGTAAACTATCCAGACTCCATGCGAATGTTGAAGTGCGTGCAATTTCACTAATTTTGACCATTTGACTATTTGTTTGTTATATTAAATCAGGATTATTATTTATAGTCAATCAAAGTATGTATTTCATTAAACAAGTCTTCTCTTCTGAATGAATTGACTTGATTCTGTCTAATTTATAAAGCAATCGATTTGAGAAATTATGTGTTGTCAATTGAATATGGAAAAAGTGAACAAGAATTTTGACAACCACCAAATTTCGTTTAAAATTTCAAATTGGAGTGGAAAAATTGAACAAATCAACAAAAAAATTTAAGGACAACGCAGAATTTTAACAATAATCACGTGATTACATATCAAACCCCAATTCGTATCTTTTTCCTTAAGATTTCCTATAAATTACACATTAGTTACCTAAAGAGAGAGAGACACACATACACATACAGAGAGACACAGACACTTGTAATTGTCTCAAATCTGAGACATATTTTTAATCTCCCTTGGTTGAATATTCCCACCGAAGAACCGATTCATTGTAACGCATGACAATTGACTTGCTTTCTTTCTTGTTTACGAAGTACAAAAATATCCAAAAAAGCCAATAGGTATAATAGGATAAACAAATCCCTATTAATATACTCATGATTCCAGGAAATTGCAAATCTAATTAGCTAACATTTATCGGTTGTTTAATTTTTCAATCTGAATTTTGTTCAAATTTGGTTTTGTGTAACTTTTTTCATCATCGACCACTCACTCCACTTACTCCTCCATATACCAAGATTTTTATATTTTTCAATTTATATTCATACCTTCTTCTTCTACTTCACTTTCAAATCCTTTTAAGACAAATTAGACTCATTGGGATTCCTGATATTTATAAACACATGCAATAAAACCCAGCATAAGGAAAGTAATTATCACCATTATGTTGCTTCTAAAGTCAAAAAATCAAAATCACATGCAACGTGAATTGATAAAACATTTGATTAATCGCATTGCCAAACCTTCACTAAAAGCATTCATATATGCTTACTTATATATTGTACTCCCAAGGATATTTGGACAACTAATAAGTGCTATCAAAAGAAAGAGATTGATTCTTTCAAGATTTACTAAACCCATCATTAGGGCATTCCATCCGAGGAAATTCCCCATGTTTTCGGCATGTTTGGTCGCTTTAATTAATATTCTTGAACCTATTATATTTGGAGCTTTAAAAAGACATGGATTGACTAAAAGAACAAAGACCAATTTATTCGTATCCACTTTAATCTCATCATTGATTTCTGCCATGATAACATTTCCAATTTATCAGAATCATGTCCTCGGATACGGAAGATATAATTCCTTGGATTTAACTTTATTGGTAGCAACCAGAGCAATTGATACTACATTTTCATCAACATTAGCTAAGATTGCACCTAGTAGCGTGACACCTTACGGAGATGCTGGGTTATTTATTGCCAGTTGTTTCTTTATTATGTATAATTGGTTTTATCATCCCGAAAAATTGCCGCCATCCTATCAGCAATGGATAACATCAGCTGCAAATATGGATGATGAATTACGTCAAATTCTTCGACTTGTGAAAACTAAAGAAATCGTATACGGTGAACATGGTCCCATGGAAGATTTCTTAGTACCATATTTTGAAAAATATGGTCAGGATCCAAAGGGTGCAAGTACATATCTGAACACTCCAATCTCTTGTGAATCTGTACATGCTTTCAAAACAAAAAGCTGTGAACTTCATGCTTTATGGAGATTTTATAGGGGGTTTAAATTTGCATTTACAGTATATGCACCATTGAATTTACTTATGCTAGTATTTCCACTGAAACTTAAAAGAAGTACTAGAATTATCAGAGCTCTTCGAATGGCAATAAGATCATCTTGCTTTTTAGGTGCATTTATTGGTTTCTACTGGTATGCAGTCTGTTTGGCAAGAACTAGACTCTTCCCTAAGCTTTTCCCCAAAATACCAAGAACAAAGTTTGACGACACAATTGGACCTTCATTTGGTGCGTTAATGTGTGGACTTTCATCATTTATCGAAACTCCTCATAGAAGAAAGGAATTAGCTCTTTTTGTTGCCCCAAGAGCTCTTGGAACGTTAGTTAATTTGGAACCCACCAAGGAGAATTTGAAAATCGAATCGATTGCTTTTTCAATTGGATTGGCTATTCTTGTAGCATTTTCTAAGAATAGTCCTACAACTGTCAGAGGTATCTTTGGAAAAGGTCTCAAACAAGTATTTAATATTGATTACTATGTATAATGACCACCAACTTGTATAATTAATTTGTATAATTACGAATTGCGCGTATCATACTAAAACCCTTCACCAATTTATTTTTTTTCTTCCATATGATTCTCTAAATGTCAATGATCATCTAAACACCAAATCAATCGTATAATTAAGTACAAACCCAACATATAAACGAGTAATGTCATGCAGGAGAACGCATCAGATGAAGAAATAGAAGGTAACAACAACAAGAATAACGTTGTTGAATTTGATTTTGCATTACCATTAAATCGATTAGTTCAAGATTTAGGCAAAAGACATGAACATTTAGCCATATTACTCGATATACCACCCGAGGACGAAGTACTTAGTTTCTCATTCAATACAGTGGTAGCATTATGTGATCCATTTACACAACCTCAAGAAACCACGGAAAGTATTTTAAGTGTAGATTCCATCTCGGACTTGTTAATTGCTATAGTATATGGGCATTATTTAGAGGCGAATCGAGAAACGATCAATGAGGAAGATATAGAACTAGAATCGATTAAGTTTGATATATCCACTCAGTTCTTTGCAATATTGAGATATATCCATTCACTCCTAAATGCAGAAGATGAATTAGACTTACGATATATTGAAAATGATGAAGAACATTATCAAGAAAATATTCAATTATGGACACCTGAAGAAATACTATGGAGTGATGAATTAAACCTTAAGATAGTCTACTGCATTGCCTGTGTACTTTTATTAGCAATTTACAAACTATTCAAACCGACTTCAGGAGAATATAACCTAACATTGAATCCATACTTACATTATTTTCTTAAATTATGGAAATGTCACACCAACATCATCTTACTCGGACTCGAAATTGACCGAAGAATAGAATTTCAAAATCACGAGAACTCAACGGTGGAAGAAACTCCAGAAGTAATAAAGCAAACCCTAAAAGGATCAAGTTCCATTAGATACGTCCTAGCATGGATCCTAAACCAAAATCCTTCACTGGTTGTCGAAGATGAAGACGAAGAAGGAGGCGTTATTCCTGCCGGCGAATCAGATCTCTCTCCCCAAGATGATTTCGACTTGAAAAATGAAACAATACTTAATTTTATCCAACCATTAGCCAGGAAAAAGGTCAACGGAGGAGCGATTCTGATCGATATGAGACTTGTTGTAATTGCATTATTGATAATTTATTCCGGCACGACATTCACAGCAGCGTCGTTTGAAGTAGAGGATAAACCTTCAAGAAATCAAAGTGAGGCTAGTAGAAGATTGAATCAATCCAAACAAATCGCCGAGTTGGGGGATATTTTAATTGATTTGGAATATGCAGATCGATTTGATGAAGATATTAAATATATTTTTGAGTATGAATATGATGACTCTTCNTATGCAGATCGATTTGATGAAGATATTAAATATATTTTTGAGTATGAATATGATGGCTCTTCTGATGTTGAATGGCTGGAGGGAGAAGAAGAACATAACGGTAAAGAATCCGAAACGAAACTGCAACCAGAATCGAAGATAAGAAATGAGACAGCCGATGAACCACAAGTGGAGAACAACCTAGTAGAAGAAACAGAGGCGATCGAATTTGACGAATTTGGTAGGGATTGGAGAGATATTCCAAGAGGAGATAATGAAAAATTACGCAAAAACTTCCTAAAATTATTTTCCGACTTTGATAAAATGGAAGATAAGAATCTGTCAGATGATATCTTTACCCTGTGGGGACAACTTTATGGATGTTTACAATTTGTGACCTTGAATAGTATAGAAGGAAACACAGAAATCGAGGAAAGAGTAGGTCAAGTTGTTCTTAATACCATTTCAAAGGCTATTTGGGATAAAGCCAACAATAGACCTAATCCAATTAATCCTCATCATGTATCGCAGTATTTTGCCTTGCTGGCGTCAGAAGATGAAATTACAGTGACCCAAGAGAATAATAAGTTAATTGTTCCAATTTTTAATATAACCAAGTTTGAATTATTCCTTCATAATAATTCGAAACTTGCAAGATGTGTAATGGATGAAATGTTGATGTGTTCAGGAGAAAGAAGAGTTTTGATATGGTTTTTAACTCATAATTTGAATTTATCCAATCTTTTAATTGATTATGTTTATCAGCTTTTGGCTGGTCTTCGAGGAAATTCGAAAAGTCAAACGCCCTATCTATTCACTCGAGAAGGAAACAAGGTTAATCTTAGTGAAGTTGAACAACTGATGTTGCTTCATGAATTTTTGACAAATAGTAATGTTTATTTATCAGCCACTGATGGGATAGAAATCGATGATGGGTATAAAGTAGTTTTGGCAGAGTCTATTGCCAAAAAGCATATGCTGATTCTTTGTCTAATGATAAATCAATTAATAAAGATTGGGATTATTAACTTGGCTCAACAAGGGCAGCCCGATGAAAAGAATGTCGATGACATACATGATTATAAGAACGAGCTTCAGGTGTTGCTAATCAATTGGATCGGTAAGGTTCCTGAAGCTAGACAGTTGTTTTTCAAAATTAAGAATGCCAACTATGAGAAAGTACCAAAAGTGGAACAAGCACCTTCGGAAGTCAAAGTCACAGAAGCAGAAGAAAGAGAATTATTTCAAAAGTACTCCAATATGTCGACATTAGAGGTCAGCGAGGATATGAAGTCAAATGAGCGAAGTGCCAAGATAGTAGAGGCGTTCACAACTCGGATTAAAGCAGATATAAAGACAATCTTAAGTCCAGACAAGAACGCAAATGTCAATTTGACTCTGCTTTCCGAGGATTTGCGATACTTTATTGAGCAGTTCAATGTGCTTTGTAAAATCGAGTATGTTGCAGAGGAATTATTTGATGAGTTTGAGCCAGTTATTACAACAGGATCCATATCGAGTGTAGATGCAATCCCTGTAGAAGCCAATCCTGGAGAACAATTTGAAGCTGAATTCAATACTGATTTCTTGAATGGAGAAGGAAAGTTTAAGCAAAAGAACAATGAAAATGAAGCTTCAACAAAGAAAAAGGGGAAGAAGAAGAAAAAGGGAAGGAAGAAGTAATTGAGTAGTATTAATGTATTATTTTATAGAGTATTTTAATGAGTTTTATGAATCAGGATAAACGCGATCTCTCTTGAACGGCTTTGTAGTACCGAGTCAAAAGTTTTTATCGGGATCTCAACCCCACTTGTCAAATCTCAATTTTTTTCGTTGAACCGTTTGGAATATAAAGCGGATCTTTCCCCAAGAATTTCATTCTAGGTTGACTCATCTTAAGGAATGTTATCTAAACAAGTTCGTTCAAAAGCTTTTAAGTCTTTAATCATGTCTGCCAAAAGATCAAACGCTACCATTACACCAGTATGTCAATTGCAAAGAAGTGAAATCTCCCTGGAAGAAAGTGAATTATACTAACAATTGATTGTAGGTTAGAACCACTCAAGCTCCTCCACCAGCAGCTTCTTACTCCCAAGCCATTAAAGTCAACGGTATGTATTAATGCAACTAAGTCACTTCAATTGGGACACTTACTAACAACCGACTAGGATTTGTTTACGTTTCCGGTCAAATTCCATATACTTCCGATAACAAACCATTACCAGAAGGTTCTACTCTCGCTGAGCAAGCTGAACAAGTTATTCAAAACGTCTCCAACATTCTTGAAGCTTCTAATTCCTCATTGAACCACATTGTCAAGGCTAATATCTTCTTAACTGACATGAATGCCCAATTTGGTGAATTCAATAAGGTCTATGCTAAATACTTCAGCGAACATAAGCCTGCCAGATCATGTGTAGCTGTCAAGGAATTACCATTGGGTGTTGCTTTAGAAATGGAAGTTGTTGCCGTTGAAAGAGATGATACTAAGTTATAAACATACTATATAGTTTGATATATATAGAGAATCAAATGTACATGTTAAAGGTTCCGTTTTAATAACCACCGTAGATAACGCACGTTCTAGTCGATCTCTTGATACTTCCTGTACATAATACTCGTTAGGGCTAAACCCTACTTTATTCCAAATTTCACGTGACATGGACATTTCATTTTTTCGTTCTAATTTTTTTTGTAACTGTATGCACGCACTTTTTTAACCTTCAATTTTGCACTAATTTGGGCATTGCAGTTTTCGCACATACTGTAGGAAAAATTTTGGGTTGTTTGCGACTAACTGAAAATTTACATATTATTAGAAATTTTTTGAAAAGGTTCCTTCTTTTGAAGCTCTTAATATAGCATATAGATTATCTTTAAAAATGGCTCAACGTGTTACCTACAGAAGAAGAAATCCATGTATGTCTAAACGGAATAACTACGACATGATAATATCTATCAGATTATTGAATATCGAAGATTTGAAACAGGAATTACGACCAAGCATTATTCTCATCGAAAATCATTAAAAATGAAGCATGAAACGGAATACTGAAGTAATAAATCAAATGAACATGAGTAGGAAAGCTCCAACCACACAGAATAATGATATATATCAATCAGTATACTTTTCAATCTACAACGAGACCCCTTCAGCTTAATGGGAGAGTCACATCCATGGTATATCGACTTAGAATGAAATCAGAAGGCCAGTCACACTATGAAGTAAGACTGCATGCAATTCAGACTTCACATATATATTTGACAATAATCCAATAATGCATAGTTTCTTGTTTCAATAATTTTCAATAAATATCAATAATTTGATAGAGGTCGGAATTAATATGAGAAAAAGTCACATATACTAACATTTATTTTATAGACAACACCAGATCCAACAAGATCAAGGTCGTTAAGACCCCAGGTGGTAAATTAGTTGCCCAACATGTTAAGAAGTCTGCTTCCAGAGTCAAATGTGGTGACTGTGGTACCGCTTTAGCTGGTATCTCTACCTTAAGACCAAGACAATACGCCCAAGTTTCTAAGACCCACAAGACCGTCCAAAGAGCTTACGGTGGTTCCAGATGTGCCAACTGTGTTAAGGAAAGAATTGTTAGAGCTTTCTTAATCGAAGAACAAAAGATTGTCAAGAGAGTCTTAAAGGAACAAGATGAAAAGGAAAAGAAGGCCGCTTCCAAGTCTAAGAAATAAATTATTTAAAAGAGGATTTAAAGATGTATAATATATTTTTAATCTTTTGGTTTTATGGTACTATGTAATCTCTTCTTTCACTTTTTTAATACATGTAAAAACATTACGGATAAAATTTACGAATGGAAATTCCCATATCCTGTAGAACTAATACTTTTTACAGTTTTAAAGGTGTTGCAAAAAAAATTGAACTTTTGATTAAACTTAAAGAGATCAAGACAAGTAACATTAAAAGAACATGCAACAACTAGTATCAAACTTCGAATCACTTTTGAAGAACTTCATAAGTAAGTACTCTCTTATCTCTTCTTGTTTTGTCCCTTCAGTTCTAACAATACCTTTAGAAACCTCAAATGAAATCTATGATATTCTCTCTGGAGTATCATCCACATTGCTGGAAACTCATGCACTCCAAACTCAATCCAAACTTGATATTGTAATGCCATTAGCAGAGTCAATGTTTAGGAATATAGAAAATAGTGCACAGAAAGTTCAATTACCAACAGATCTACAAGAGCTTTTGGAGACTTCTGCTTCACAGCTTTGGAATATTAGCAATTCAATTTCTGTTGCTTTGGATGCCAAAAATCTCATGGAGATCACTTATAATGCCAAATTATTCTCCATCATATTGTTAATCATATATGAGTTGCTAAATCCCAGTGTTGATAGATCATTAATGAATTCTTCCTGTATCGTTAGTCTTTTTACACTTTCTATGTCCCACGAAATAAAATTGGTTGCAAAAAAATGTCAGTCTTACGGAGAATCAATTTTGGTCAAACTTATTTCCTTGGACAAGGATACGGAGTTGAACCCAAGCCAAAAGAAGATGCTTCAAGAGAACTACCTGAAATTAATAATGTTGAGCTTGAATCTTTCAGTTTTGAATAAAGAATTCCAATTAGCAAAGACTTTCGAAGTCAAACTTGAAAAGTTAGATCTCCAGAACTCTGTCAAACCAGAATTTATTTTCGAATGTAGTAGGTTCTTATACAATTCCAGTTTAACACTGTTCCAAGATAGTCAGTATGGTATTGCTTTGTCCTTGATTCTCATTTGCATAAGATACCTAGAATGTGATGGTATTAAGTTTAAAAACTCACAAGCATTCAAAGAACGGTATTTTCATTCTTATATTCTCCTTGGTAAGTCTTACAGTTTAAAATTCTACCCCAGATTAATACTAACACTTTTCAGTGAAATGCTACAAAGCTTTAGGAACACCAGAACTAAAAGAAAGGGCTAAAACAGCATTGAAGTTTATGCAGAACCAATTTGGAGATTCATTTGAAGTATACTATCTTGCATTTGAAGTGAATGATGATCTATGTGAAGAGGATATTGAAAACTCGTTCATGCGAATGGTAATGTCTGTGGATCTAGAGGCTAACTTTGATAAAATAAACTCTCTTTTGAAGGAATACTCAAATAAATCTTTTCACGGGGTAAACAAATGTTTGGATTATATGTTTACCAAATTTGGTTCTACGGATAAGGAGGAAGTCATCAACACTATTGTCACAACCAAATTAGTTTTCAATACTGTCTTAGAAACTAATGAGAATAATCCCAATAAGATTAAGGAGCTACAAACCTTTATTCAATTAGCAGAGAGAACCTTAGTCAAGCAACTTTCCTTGAAAGTCAAAACAAGTGGGATTGCATTGTTGTGGAACCAAGGAATGAAAAGCTACAGACAAGGTCAATTCCAAGAAAGTCTTCAATGGTTTCAAATTGCTCTATCAAGATTATTTTTCATCGAATATTCTATAAACCAGGACAGAGGAAAGGTTTTAAGAGCTATACAGAATTGCTATATCGCTACTAATAAGTTCGACGATGCTATCGGAATAATCTTGACCATGGAGGAAGAGGATAAGTTTGCCATATTAACACAGTACAATTCATTTAAAGCTTATTTGGGGCTTGACAACGAAGAAGCTTGTTTAAAATGTATTGACAATATTTCATCTTGTGATGATCCAATTGCTGTATTAGTAGCTGCTGCTTGCATTATTGAAGGTAGAGACAGAATGTCCAAAAATGCGACTGCACAATCAATGATCAAGCTTCTTAGTTCATTATTAGAATCGGAATATGAATCCGAAATCTTTCTAGAAAGGTTAAAATCTCATGAAATTGTTATCCCAGTTGCTCTTAGATGTACCATAATATTACTCTGTACTGAGATAGAGAAATTGTCAAACAGTCAGGAAATGTTACCAAAACTTTGTATTCTAAAAGAATTGTTGCAAAAAACTTATTCGGTTGCGAAAAAAACTACACACAATTCTGAAATAGATAAGGCACAAATACTTACTATAGATGATTTAGAATGGTTCGCAAGTAAAGCTTACAATACTGCAAATATATGCCTCCATCATAATATCAATTCAATTGGCTCTGATTTATGTCAAGTTTCTGTTGGGTTCATAGAGTTGATATCGCCTCAAGTTGATTCAACAAGATACAAACAACTTCTATTATGGAAAACAAGAGCAAGTATTATGAATATCCTCGTCTCATGTTTAACACAAGATTTAGGAACAGCTGAATGGAATCAAATAAGAGATAAATGTGTCAAGATAAATGAGGAAGTAAAGCGTGAGAACACATCCAATACACAAAGTGATTGGGCAGAATGCCATAGGCAGATACTTGTATTACATTTTCAAGCTGAGCTATCCCTGGGTTATATTCAAAACCTTTTTGGAATCATTGAAGAATGCAAATGGTTTAAACCTAAAATAATGATCCAAATATTTGAAACTTTTGTGAATCTTATTGTCGAGGCAACAAGGCTAATCAATAGTCCGCACAAGAAACAACTTATGAGAACTATAGTTGAACAAACCTTGACAACAACTCAGCCTCTTCAATTGAAGATAATCATTAATTGGATGAGGATACTTTTAAATTTAAATGAGGCTAATTTTGGACCAGCTGAAGAAGGGTTGCTTTTACAACTTTATCGAACCATCAAATTGAATGTTGGAGAAGTAACCATTCCTACATTCGAGATTGAATGGTTATCTACAGCAACATGGAACTATGGAGTGGTGCTACTAATGTAAGTATTTTCACAATCACAATTGCAAATGAAATTTTACTAACCATTTAGTGATGATCAAAATATTTCAGAAGGCATAAAATGGTGCGCTTTGGGTATTCTATTCTCCAAGTTTGTTCACGAAAGACTTAGACAACAAGTACGTATATAAGTTTAAGTGTAAATATCCTAATATATTTACTAACATACCTTTAGTTTATGCAACTGTGGAAACAACTATGGCATGATCAATCCTTATCTCCAGATTTGTTGGAATCTGAAACTAGTAAATATGAGTAAATGCTCGGAATCCCATTCCCGCAGTTGAATTCTTGTTTTCAACTTCTAACTCAAAGAAAAATAGATCAAACTAGCTACAACACGCTACTGTAATCATATAAAGATCATAAGGTATCCTATCGATATAGATGAGGCATGCTCATTATAATTATAAGTTCAAGAGAGAGGTGCCGGGGACGAGGAGTGGCGGGTCACATTTCCCGATCCAGAAAAATCCTTATCAGTAAACTGCTAAAAATACACATTTGATTGCGAATTTTTCGTGAACACGTCAAAATATTACTCATTTCTTTATATACAATGCCAATCCCTTCCTAAGTTGGTATACAACATATATAGTTCTTGGTTTTTCTTTGTTTGTAAAATTTTTCAAAAATCTATAGAAGTAATAACGCAAAAATAATGGAAAGTTCACGTCTTACATATTTACTAAATAATACATACATCCCACCCGCAAAACTGAGTGGTTCTTCTAAGATCCCAGATTATCATCCATGTCTTGTGCTCCATGATAAACTAGACCATGCCGGTAAAACCAGACCCTGTGGATGTGCTAATGATCATTGTATCAAGAACGCAAAAGATTGGATTCCTCGTCCGAAATATTAGCATCGTCATTTGCTATCCTTTATTTTCATAGACAGTTTGTATAAATCGAATGTTTTTAAATTTATGTAATTCTAATATAATTTCACTTTCTGACATGATTATTGTTATAAAACTCCAATTCATTATCTTCAGAAATTCTCATATTAAATGGATTAGTAGGGGAATTCCAGGTTGTATTCACACTTTTTGCACTTTGAGACCGACTGCGATTGCTATCATCAATAACTGTAATTGCTGAAACAGCCGAAGAAGGTTTTAATGGTTTTAGTTTTGTCACAAAGACAAAATTAAGCATAGTAGAATCCTCAGAATATTTACTCTCATGATCATCTACAACTTTGACTTCACTTGCAACTCTAATACTTCCAAATGATAGAGCTCGGGTTGTCTCTCTCCCAAACAAAAATAAGGGATGGAAGGGTACATAAATAGCACAGGCAAGGAATACTGGTAATGCATCCAAGGCCATAATGTATTCTTCATGTGTTATCAAATAACCCCGCCAACCTTGTGATAATTCAATGACTCTATAGATACATCTGATGTAAATGAGCAACACCGAAAGGAGAATTATTGATGGTGCATATTGGAAACACCGTCTATTCCGTATATTTTCAAACTCCGGGGTATAATATCTATCTAAGTGACGTTTCATTTTAATTCCTTCTGGTGTATTGAATAATAGTTGAAATAGTCTTTTTATCGAAAAGGTAATATCCGGATCAGGTTTGAAATATACTCTATGTATGAAATCAAATAGAAATCCTAAGAAGATTGTCATTGAAACCACTTGAAATGCAACCCCTGCCACCATAACAAAAGTACCTGGTTTTGTGTTTCCGAAATGATGTAGTTCCACTGCTGCAGTTGTACCTCCACTACCTTGGATAAGCAAACTGGCCACATCACAAAATATGAAGACATAAGAGAACCATATTGGTTTTAAAACTGAATACTGTCGTCCACTCAGAACGAGCAATTGTCCTAATAAATAATAAATCCCAGCCATAACGAAGGCAGGAGCCATAGTTAAACAAATAATTTGACATAAAAACAAATTTGGATCTGACCAAGCATAATGAGCAAAAGTTCTAGCTAAATATCCTGCAAATTCTAATCCTGTTCCAACAATCATACAAGCCCCAAAATATTTCGTTCTTGCTCTCCAAGCTAAACCAAAATGACATATGAAACAAATCCCAAACAACGCTGCAAATAAAACATTTGCAACCACCGAAAGATCAATTTTGTATAAATTGGCATCCCATTCCAATGCTTTTAGATTCAAAGTAGCATTAAACATTTCTTCAGTTATAAGGGGGAAATCTTGCGTAGCTGTAGCTGTTGCCAAATATTCTTGATTCTTGATTAATGTATAAGAAGCAGCTGCACCTCTAACATCACGCGATAAGAAATATAATGATATTGAATTCGTTTCTGTCTTGACTCTTCTGGAAGCTATTAGAAGAGTGGCATATATTCCTGCTAAATTAGTGGGGTCGATTGTACTGATACTGGTTGTGGTTGGAAGTGTTGATGGTTCCCATGTTGACATGGGTATAGCTGTAACATAATCCATGATTTAAATACCAAAATAATATGTCCTTTTTCTATAATAGATTAGATTTATTTGATGAACAACGAGATTAGGTTTGCTTAAGGGATATAAAAGGTCATTATATAAGAAAAAGAGAGAATGTGATCATCGGAATTCTATTTGCACAATTCGCCAAGTTTAGATCTCCGAAACAATAACAATTCCTAATTCTGGAAACCTTAATCAGGGGCTTTTAAAGTTTTCCCTTAGTTAATGACATTTGGTAACATTTAATGTCTCGAGATCAAATGTCAACCTGAATAGACTCGCATATCAATGCATACATATGCCTTGACTTATGGGGTAACATTTCAACGCATCTCATACTGCTATTGAACTAATCTTCATAACCTCCCCAGAAGAACCCCTTTGGTCTTTACACTACAGACCGAAACCGATTGACTGTTTGTCCCCATAAATGATGAATATGTTTCCAGATATGGAGATTAGAACAATTTCAACATTTCCTGTTCTGGAAAAACAATTTTGATGCTTGTAATTACAGCCCTATTGTTCCTCTTTGTTAGAAAAATGACACACAAATGTCATTTATACTTTCATTGTCTCTTGGAAAGCATTAATTACTATTAACGACTAATTAATTAAATAAATTATATTAAAGTATGTTTAGAGCGCTATATATAAATATCTCTACAAAATGAATAAACATAATTTAATTAAGAAAACTCAAAAAGTAAATTAAACAAAAGAACAAATTTATATATAAAACAAATTCAAACATAATTTACAAGTTTAATGAACTAAAGACCACAACAAACGAAGCCTACCCTGCTCCCATGAACAACAACCCCTACTTGGTAAAACAATGTAATTAACCCTTGATTTCTTGTTTTGAAGGATTTTCAGGATTATTATTCACAAGTTCATTAGTGATTTGTTCACGTTTCCAAAATCTCAATAATAAATCTCCATAATTTTGTAAATCTTCAACTGAAATCATTAATTTAAAATCCAACAACAAGAGGAATTGTAATTCTAAATAATTCAATTCTTCCAAAGGTAATCCTCCAACTTTTGCATATCTTAAATTTTTATAAAAGATATCCAGAAAGAATTTCGATGAAACTGTAATCCCACTAATTATTAATCTATGAATATTATAAGAATCCATGACAAACAATTGTTCAGATTCATTTTGATCATTGTCAATGTTATTATTAATAGTGTTCTGACTATCGACACTTTTCTTCTTTTGTTGATTTAAATTATTAGCCTTCTTCGCAATCCGATCAAAATAAACCAATAACGAAAGAAACACTTCATTAGTAACAGGACAATATTTCAAAACTCTAGATAAATACGCATGTAATGAAATCCCGGGGATATTTGTTCCATGAAATGCCAAAACGTTGGCTAAGTACTTATTCTTAATTTCATCGTCGTCGTCATCTTCATCATCCCCCTCATCATCCTCATCAAAATCCATATCATCATCTTCTTGTTCTTCTTCAGCACGTCTTCTTTCTGATGATTCATTACGATAATCATGATCAACATCAATATCATCACTTTCCCCTTCTTGTTGTTGCTGTTGTTGCCTTTGTTGTTGTTGCTTCTTTCGTTGTAATTTCTTTAATCTCTTTTCATCTTTTAATTTCTGTCTAATTGCAATGGTATTTTCAAAATGATTAGGATGTAATTTATCATTAGCCTCAATAATTTTCGTCAATAAACAAGATAACATCACAATCAAATCATTAACAGGATAATCCACAATATTCAAATGTTCTTCAGATGATGATGATGATGAGGTCGAACCTTCAGAATGATCTTTTGTTGTCAAATTAGTCAAGAATTCACTATAGGTCATATAATGATCCGGCTCAGGTGGGACATATGGATCCAATTGTGCTGGGGGTTGTGGGGGAGGAGGTGGTGTCTTATCTGTTAATGAAGATGCAGAGTGATGTTCGTCTTGTGGTAACAGAAGGGCCTGATTTCGAAGATTGGAAGGAGGAGGATTCAAAGGAGTAGATGATTCAGCACTGGTTGCTCCACTGGTAGGGAGCAGCCTGTCGACAATGACAGATTGGGGCACTATATTAAGATATGAAGCTGCTTGAGGTTGCGATTGTTGAAGATGGGGTGCTTCTTGTTCTTGTAATGGAGGTGCATGTTGTTGATGGAATGATGATGATATATTATTTGTATTATTATTACTTGCTGGAAGTGAATTAGGGAATCTTAATTGACGTTGTAATGAATGTGATTGCATTGAATGAGGTGCAGGTGGTTGATATTGATTGGGTATAGAAAATCCTGATTGAGTAAATGAGGAAGATGCAGATGAAAATGAATCTCTATTAGTCATGGCAGTATCAGTGAATACATTAGTTGTAGGTATTGCATGCGGCACTATCCCAGTTGGAGGTCTATAACTCGATGATGATGATTGGAAATTATTATTATTAGTAGTAGTATTAATGGTTGGTAATGATGCATTATATGAATGATTTGATGAATAAGAAGTGCTAACGACAGTTGGTGTATTATGAGATGAAGGAATATAATTAATATTATCATTCACAGAAGGATGAGAATATTGCTGAAATCCATTATTTGCATTAAAAGAATGATAACTTTGACAATTGAAATCAGTTGAATTATTCGGTATAAATCTTGCACTTGATGATGATAATGTATTGTTATTATTATTATTAATTGAACTTGCATAACTAGGAGGATTAGGTGGAAGTTGTGACTGATTAGATCCTATTCCTGTATCAGATGCAAATGCTGAATTGTTATTTATCTGACTGTTAGATGATGATAATAGATTCTTTGTCAAATTCGATATTTGTGGTTTATGGAAACTAGCTATACTTGATGTTGATCCTAATCTATTTCCATCATCATTTGCTGACCCTGGAATGGATGATGATGTTGAGGATTGTTGTGGTTGCACATTGGAAGCGGTACCTGTTGTATGATGATGATCATGTAGTTGGTGATGATGCTCTATAGCTGCATTGGAATGGTTAAACTGAGAACTCATCTGTTCAACCTTTGGATGAGTGTATCAAAATAAATAATTAATGAATAAATAAATAAATAAAGTGAAATAAAGAAAGATTGAATTGCCAATCAAAAGAAACCTTAAAAAATCCTTTTTAATAATTAAAAATCTGATGGGGGGTTGGGAATTTCTTGGTCAAAAAAAAAACCAGTAAACTGAAATTGACTTCTTACTAATTAATTTGAATGTGTGAATGAATATGAAACGTAGGTGCGGCTAGTATCTTAAAGGGTCCCTCTCCTAGTGTAAATTTAGAATGTGTGTAAATGGAAAAGAAAATTGGTTGTAGTGTAATGTAACTAATTTAATTTGTTTGGGTGTGTTAATTTTGTTGTTGATTTGTAACTCTGTCTCTTTCTAAGTTAATAGAATGAGTCTAGAGTGTCAACGAGAGAACGGAAGACAGAATGTGATTTGTGTCGTCGTTAAATTTTCCCATACAATAAAATTAATCCGCCGAAAAAAAAAAGTAAAATTTGAACTTATAGACACGACCCTTCTGATTTGTCTATAAATAGGCAAAGGGAAATATCGAGTTTTTTTAAGGAGTTGAATTGTATTCCAATTTTGTGTCTTCTTCTATGTCAAGCGCAATTCCATAAACCACAAAACCTGACCAATTAGCTCGTTACTAAATTTGAAACTTGCAGGGTCATTCTCGCTAGTAGACCACTCAGTAATTAAGTACAACATATGGGTAATTCTTCGGATGACCAAAAAACTAAATCAACCCACTTCGTCTCTTTCTTTGTTAAGACAATGACCACCAAAAAACAATAATGAATGCTTAGTTGTCTATTATTGTCTTTCCAAAATAATTGATTAACGGAATTATGAATTGTCTTTCTTTATAATCGCCACTTCAATATTATGTGAAATTATTCAAGATAAACGGATGATCATTGTCATGGAATCAGAATGTTTAGCTTCCAACTAAGCGACAGTTAAATAGTAAGGTGTAGGAAGGGTATATCCGGTCAGATGAAACTGAAATGGGCCATTCGACACTACTCATCTTGTCAAAATATGCTCAGATGCTAAAATTTGCAAATTTCGGAAGTTCTGGATTGTGGGAATTTCTAGAATAACTAGTTCTCCCAATTCTTCCAAAGACAATGAATAAAATATGTCTATATTATAAATTCCTTCGTTTCCATGCCATTAACAAAGAAGCTTCCGATGAATAATCATACAGTTTAAATTTAGTCTCTATCACACTTTACTTTCATTGTTGAGCTCTTCCATACTTTTCTTTAGCTATCTTTTCCATGGTTCTTGAAAGTGATATGGTTAACTCTATTGGAGCAATGGATATATGAACTCGTAGATATCAAACTTATTCAATTCCCTTTGACTCAGAGGTAAAATTTCCACCTAAATTGACTCGAATTAATTTATCTGATTGATTTTTTTTGCAACCAGGATTTGGTACGACCGATTTTCATTTTTGTATACAAAGACATTACTATAGTTGTCATATGTGCTGGCACAAACAAGAGGTATAGAAAAGTGCTCTAACCAAACATTATTCGTCAAAAGACTCCCTAATAAAGCAAGCTAATTAGTTTTCCTCCCTTACTTGAACCTACTAAGCTACTATTACTAATACCAAAATACAAAATTGTTCGGCCGATAAAAATCATTGGTAGCGCTAAATCATCCAAACTGAAAAAAATGAAACCATACTGAGTTTCTCGAACCATCAAACCCCGTTTTTATCCAACCACAGCTAACACACCATCTCTACAATCCTTACAAACATATACTCACAACAATAGCAACAACATGTCCACAGCATCCAAAGTAACATTCGCTGCCTCCTGTGTATTTGCCACCGCCGCCTTCGCGTTCATCAATTATTCCCAACAAACGGAACGTGATGCACTCAGACAGGGGCCAATTAAAGATGCAGCACGTATGCAAGCGAAGTTAACCAAGAAACAATTAGCTAATGATGCTGAACATCGAGAACAGGCGGAATTGAGGGAGAAGTATTTGAAGATGCAACCTTTGTCTTCTGAGATTATTCGGGGGGAGGAGACTCCTATTCCTCCCAAGGAGGCATGAGGTGATGACAAGAGAGAAGAGTTTGAATAAATAGACAGCGGTCAGGGAAAACATGTATATAGATTTAGATATAATATTATATAATATAATAATAATCATACTGTGTGTAATAATATGGCAAGAGGAGTGGTTTATAAAATGTTTGTGTTCTTGGAGACACCAGAAGCTAGGAACTTAATCTCTGATGTACTATGATGCACTTGGTTATTCTCTTCATTCTACGAATCCTGACCCAATTAGAACCGTTCAAAATACGACCAAATTGAAAGATGTAGTATGAAAAAGTCTTGCTTCAATAGACTTACCAAAACGGTTCGTCAAAAAGAGAAGGTGTTAGATCATATAGATAGAAGACTGACGTCTTCAGGATCAGGCCAAGACTAAATACTATATTCTCCAAATGATCTAGAGTTCAATTGTTTTATATGGGATTCGAGTTTTGAATGATTGGAGAAAGAAAAACATGAAAGACATGTGTTAAGAAAAAATTTTCAAATTTGTTCATTTTTGTAGTTCGCAAGATCAAACCCTATTTTTGTTCAATAATACACGACCGCAAATATCTAGGGTTTACATGTACAATATTGGTTACAAGAAGAATGTAATGTCTCGTTAAATTGATGTTTATTACTTTTATATGTATAATATGTATATAATATTTTATTATGTATAATTAGAAACCTCACTTTTTTCACACAACTTGGATAAAACAATTAACAACTTTTTTTTAAATAAATTATGTGGGGGACTACGATTAAGTTTTGGCGAAGGCCATGTAACGTCTCTCTCTTACTGAAGCTAGTATGTAATACAAATGGGACTTATCATTGAAGATAGGTCAGCGGGAGGTCTGAGTATCGGGAACGAGGGTGTGAAGATCAACTAAACATCCATTCTTCCAAGTACTCCATCATCAAAAGATTCATCTTTCTTACTATCATCTCCATCCCCATCATCATCCTCATGATGATGTCCCCTTTGATTCGACTTACTTCTTTGATGATGCTTTATGAAACCATTATTAGTTGGCGATTTCAATCCCATAAGATTTTGTTGTTGTTGGTCCATGAATCCATTTTTACTCTTTTCGAAATATCCCCCATTTAATTGTGGAGAAGATGATAATTGTCTCTTATGATGATTATCAAATCCAGTTGGTGGATATTGACTTACAGAAAATGATCTATCCAATTTCAATTTTGTTTCAACATCATCCCCATTTATATGATGAGTATATATTTCATCAGTATGATTATAACCATTCTTAAATGCCAATGATTGTTGTTGTTCATTCATTGGTGGAGTGGGTGTGCTTGAAGAATCTAAGTCATGATGTGATCCAGGTGGGGAAAAGGGGGAATTACTAACATATCTTGGGTCATCAGTAGATAATTGACGACGATGACCAGGAGCTGATGGTTTAGATCCAGGTTCATTCATCCCTACTAATATACTAGCAGCTTCTAATAATTGAACTTGTTGATGTTTTGAAATTAATAATTTCTTAGTTACATTCCATTCTGGAGTATGTTCCCAAAGATGTTTAGCTAATGATGAAATATGTTTATAACCTTTACCACAAGCTTCACAACGTAATTCTTCTTTTAATCTTCCAGTTTCACCTTCACTGATTCTTCTTACGACGAATTCACGTGATAAGCTCGGTACAGAAGCTGATAAAGGAGGTGAGGTTGTTGTGTGCTGTTGCTGTTGTTGTATTTGTTGTGGATGTTGTGCGTGATGGTTAGCGTGGACGTGGGTGGTGTGTCCATGTGTATGTTGATGAGTGTGTTGATGATGGTGACTTTGGTAGGAAGATGAAGTGTGGGTTGGGTATTGTTGGTGTTTGGTTGGAATAGTATAAGGAGTAGCACTTGAATTTCTTCTGTTGTAATTATAGTGAGTACTGGCAGTCATTATTGGTCGTTAAAAAATAATATAATATAATATAAAAATAGTAATAGCAAGTAAAATGTATTTCGTTAAGGGGGTTTCTATGAAAAGGAATGGGCGTCGTGAGTTATGAGGCAACTGTTATATGGCCATACACAAGGTAGGAATTGGAAGCTTGGGGGGTAATTAATTATATAAATAAGAACGTTAAATTAAAACAAATTGATGTTGAAATGAAAATTTTTTTTGGGTGTTTTGATTGTTGTGGATGTATATTGTTGATTAATAGAATTCAAAGTTTTCAAAGTAAAAACCAAATGAGTGCTTTTGTTCAGTTATACACTACTCTTAAGTTGTATTTTGTATTTTGTAAATGGTTTAATACTTTTTTTAACTTGTTGTTGTTCAGTTGTTGGAAGAAAGAGAAGAGAAGAGGAAAATAAAATTAAATTAAATTAAAGACAGAACCAGAGACAAAGTGTGAGAAATAGAACACCAAAAAAAAAAAAAAAAAAAAAAAATTCAAGAAGAAGGGGGCAGGCAGGCGGGACGGGCANAAAACAAATTGAAAAAAAAAAAAAACCAAAAAAAAAAAAAAAAAAATCTCAAATAAATTTTTTTTTTATTTTTTATTTTATTTTTAATTAGAAAAAAAATTTTTTTTTTTTTTGTTCTTTTTTTTTTAATTTTTAATTAAATTTGTTGCAGATAAAAAAAGATCTCAACATTTTTTAATTCTGCAGTTCTAAATTTCAATTTTTATGGGTCTTTTCTAGGATTAAATAATACACCCTGTTCTGTTGGGGTGTCATCTCTATACGACTAGGCTAAGCATTACGTGAGATTTTACTAGTTGATGTATGGAAATTTTGAATTGTTTATTATCGCACTGTGAACATAACACGTTGTAAATACACCATTTTGGACAGGTGACATTATTTCTAAGACACATTATTTAGGCGTGGGTATTAAATTTATAATTTATTTCTTAAAAGGAATTGTCAAAATTTTAACCGTTTTTATTCTGTCTATTGTAATCTCATTCATATTATTACTTCAAAGAATAATCTGAATAAAACTACTACAGGGAGTTGCGTCATTAAGGGGATATGAGATATTTTAATTCGGCATTTTTTCTACTTACTTGCTATATGCCGCCACACACCCCAATAGTCATAGGCTCATTTCATAGAATGTTTTGTTAATCATCTTTTATAGGTTTTGTACCAAATAAATTTATTTTTTTAATGAATTTTTTTTTTTTTTTTATAATTAACTCCAGATTTTCTTTTTTTTTTTCTTTTGTGTCATCGCAAGACCATTTTCCAAATTTTTCAAATAATGAGACTGACAGACAAAACAAAGAGAGAGGAGCAAGAGAGGGGGAGCGCGGCAATAGAAGGGGGGGTAAGTCGGTACTTGTTATTCCCAATTGGTTATTTTTTTCAGTAATAAATAACCGATTCACGTGATATATATCAAAATATTTCTCAAGATATCTCAATTGTCTATTCTTACATCAATTGTAGATCCTTAAGGTAGTCGCCAAGAAATCGGATATTTCTAAGAAGATGAAGAGAGGGGGGAGGTTAGAGGGGCGGTCTGGCGGAAATCTAAAACCAAGAAACTTGGCTCTTTGATTCGTTAATCTGCACGGAAATTAATTTGTAGAATCTCTTGTCAAATAAATTGAGACATTTTTACAATACCTATCGGATCAATAAGGTTTCTGTTGGGCTACACAAACATGTTGTTGCTTATAAGCCCTTGTCTCCCAAGTTCCCCAGAAATTGTTGGATTTCCAAAAAAGAAAAAAAAAGCATAGAAACCTCCAATTGGTCACAATATTCCTAACCATTAATAAAATATAAATTTATAAATTCAAACTACCTAGCTTCTTATAGACGTAATCCCAATGGGACTGACAACCCCCAGATATACTCCCAAGGACACTTCTAAACACTTGTACTTCCAACAACGCTGGCAAGCAATCGCACTTACAAACGCACTAAAAAGACTCACCATCTAGCATATCATCAGTATAACTCATATGTTGTCCATTATGATGTGACCCCCCAAGAACAGAAGACTCATCCATCATACTTGACCCCGAAATATTTGAAATCTCATGCATAGAAGCTTCAACATCACCAAATCCTTCTTCAGTTTGATAACAAATATCCAAAATTTGACTTGAAAATTTAACAATATCTAAATCTCCTAATTCCTGTAAATTTCTTTGTTGATTTAATTCTTGAATATGTTGACAAACAATTTCAATATCTCTTAATTTATTAAAATAAAAATTCCGTTCCGTGACTAAACTTTCGGAAGATATCCTATATTCTTCAGCTTCTGACATTAATTGGGCATTTTCTTGAGATAATTCGTCAACTTGTTTAGTTAATTGGGTTATTCTTGAGTTTTGTTGTGGGTTTGGTTTATTATAATTAAGTGATGGAGTAGACATACTACTATTTGAAGTATTTAACCCGAAATTTTGAGATGATGATCTAGCTAACGGAGTTTCAGTTAATCTACTTCTAGAAGTATTTGCAGCAACACCACCTGCACCGCCACCACCGGAAACTCCACCCGTAAGTGATGATCTTGAACTAGTACGTTGTCGCAGCATTGGCTTTGGTGGTGGTGCCACGGTGCCAGTTGTCGACGATAGTACATTTCTCCTCCCACTAACACTCGCAGAACCCGTGCTATTCGTACTCCCACTCACCCGTCTCTTCGAAGCCGGATCATAACTATCATCATTATAATCCTTATTCTCGGCCCAATATCGTTTAAACCATTGTAGAAGCTCCAAATTATCTTGTAATCGACATTTAATCAATCGTTCAACATCAATAATCTTGGTGATTTTATGTTTTGTGAATCCACCTTGTAAGATTTTCCAATTGTGTCTATAATCATATTCTGTCTTTGCATCAAATCTAACTTTCATCATGGGGATTCCTCCGACTATTGAATCTAATAATTGACAAAATGCGGCACCGGTACCACATTGTTCTACTTTGGTGTAGTTTAGATCTAAGGTGAGGTTGAGCCACTGAAGTAGTTCAGTACGTGATTCTCCAACTACCATTATATCATAGACTTATATCCCCAAACCAATATGGATCAATTGTTCGTGTTTAACTTGTGTGGATCAAAGAAAGAAAACTTGTCAAAGAAAAATTTTTGTTAATCACGTTCAATGAAATCAAAAAATGTAAACACTAAACGAAAAAAAAAAATTAAAGTTATAAAATGCGGTAAACTTTCTTAAAATAAAAAAAATTCTTAACCTAACAATACATAAGCTTTTCCATACAATATCTACCATCTCTTTAATCAATTCTCAAGTTCTATTGATGAAGCTATCAAAAATACAAAAAGAAATGCGCAAACCCGGAATCGAACCGGGGGCCCAACGATGGCAACGTTGGATTTTACCACTAAACCATTTGCGCGTGTTTTACACAGTGTTCAAATTTAAACCGGGTCTGGTCACGTGATTTTGATTAATTTTTCGAAAATCCTATTTTATCGATATTCTGGAATGGGAGATGAATTTTGGAGGTGTTTGATGAGTTGATGTGGTTGGAGTTCTTTATGAGAAAGATAGGGAAAAGTTTGATGGATTCTTGACGGTTCGATTGATGATAGTTTTGAGTTTTCAGTTTTTGAAATTTCGTTCATTTTTTAACGATTATTCCGATGATAACCAAATATTTTTTTTTTTACATATACAATCTGTTTATTGAGTTCATATACATACTAACATACAGAAATATAACAAACAGAAAAACAATATACATTAAAGGCAAAAAGCATCATTGCCTAAAACCTTATTTCAGCAGCATCCTATAGATTAAGTGTGTAGGAGTAGTTGTTAAGACTCTTCGATGTGTACGATACCCATTTGCGAATGAATTGGACCGTGAGCTCAACGTTCCGGCCCCCTCCACGTCGAAATTTTTGAAACTTATAAAGGAGGGCGAGGTATCGATTTAGCTGCATTAATTGAAATGGTTGAAGGGAGGAATTGCAAATAAAGAGGCGTAGCCTCCTTGGTAGTGAGCGTGGACGGCAGAGTTGCCAAAGAATCTTAGTGACCCGACACTTTGTGTAGACATGATGGGTGTAATAGCGACCATGTGGGTTTCATAGTTCTTTTCCGAGTTCTTAAACCCGACTAGAGAAGTATAAAAGTTGGATACTCCACGTTTATTAATATTGATACTCTAAAGTGATTGTTCGAAGTCCATAATAGATTTCACAATGAGAAAGTTTTGAAAAATTTGAATGCATTTGGAAGGACCAAAGGGAAATACAATTAGAAATAAACTGTGCGTATATCCTCTAGCTTTTATCACAATTAATTAATAGATAATGTCAGGCTGTATTTAAAGACTCATGAAGCATTCGACCAAGCCAAATATTTTGAATGTGAATTTCGACGTTACTTAAATAGACTAAGAACAAATATAGCTTTGAAAGTTAATGAACAATTTCTTATCACAATAAGCTTTTTGATATTCTTGCAGCCACTAGAAAACAATAATCTCTAGAAGCATGTATGTTTCACTAGTCTTGGGTGGCGTAGCTCATGTTTGGGTCTCCTACAGGGTTCATTTTGGTTGTCTTGGATTTACTTGGGCGAAAAATTGCATTTTTTTTGCAACCATTTTTTTTTTCTTGCAACTTTGGATATTATAGGGCAACAGAAACGAACCAATTACTGGGCTTCCTTGATTTCATCACAAGGTTCGTTATATGATGAATGTGGGATCTCTATACGTTAGTTGAACTTTGAAAGTATCGCGTAGGGTTAGAAGATAAGGTATGTGTAGTAGCGTTTGGCTTCAGATACATACGAAACTTTAAATACTTTTCTAGTGAACACTGCTATTCCAAGAAGACAACCATACTGACTGCGTTGGAAGGAAGCCTATTGAAGGAAAGTATATTTGAAACTCTCTATAGAACACGAGTTCAAATCTGTTCCCAGCTATAGTATTTTTTCGCAATGAGCATCCCATTCTATCACCAATATTGACACAAAACTAAAAGCTTTTTCTGCCTCAAGTAGCGGTCAGTACAAAAGTTTCTTCAAGGTTCTGTAGTCCAGTTAAGTTTTAGCGGCATTAAGAAATGGTTTATGTTTACTTTGTGGTAGTATATTATTCTTGACCGGATATACCGGTGTTCTTTTTGTAACCCAGTTGATATTCATAGTGAGTAGGAAGTTTATTAACCCTTCACCCAACAATCCCTGATGTCGCAAATCTAAAAATAAAAAAATCACAGGCAAAAAAAAATGTTAAAGGAAGCCCAAAAAAATTTTCGTTATTGTTAATTAATTTTCCAGTTAACTGTGTCTGTTTACCTGATTCTCGTTATTAAAAGACTCATAAGAATATTAAATTAAATTGAATTTAGATTTACTTCTCTTTGGTGTCTCCTTGGAACAATTGTATAGAGAATAGAATATTACTAATAGTTTGCTAAAGAACTAATATTTATCGTACCCGCCTAACCGAACCGAGACTCTATCCCGCCCTTCACACATACACCAACTATTAACATGTCCAGTTCATCAACTACCGGGTTTAAGAAATTTGATTCAGCAATTGCTTCAGATTCAGAAATGGATGAGTCAGAATCTGCTAGACCACAACCACCATTAAGAAGATCATCGTCATTATTTTCATTGACTTCAAAAGAAGATTTACCAAAACCAGATGAAAGTGAATATATTCATTTTATTGATGATGAAAGACATTTCAGTTTAATTAGAAATTTACATATGGCAGATTTTATTACTTTATTAAATGGGTTTTCCGGATTTTATTCAATTATATCATGTTTAAGATATACATTAACTGGTAAAAGTAATTATGTTCAACGAGCTCATTTCTTTATTGTATTGGGAATATTCTTTGATTTCTTTGATGGGAAAGTTGCTAGATTAAGAAATAAATCTTCATTAATGGGACAAGAATTAGATAGTTTAGCTGATTTAATTTCATTTGGTGTAAGTCCTGCCACTATTGCATTTGCAATTGGATTCCAAACAACGGTTGATGTTTTGATTTTGGCATTTTGGGTATTATGCGGATTAACAAGATTAGCTAGATTTAATATTTCAACCAATAATATCCCAAAAGATCATACGGGAAAGACTAAATATTTTGAAGGATTACCAATTCCAACTAATTTATTTTGGGTTGGTGTAATGGCATTTTTAGTTTATAAAGATTGGATTCATCAAGATTTACCTTTAGGTACTGTACTTCAAGGAACTTCATTCGAATTCCATTTGCTTTCAATTGGATTATTTATCCAAGGATGTGGTGAAATCTCAAAATCATTAAAGATTCCAAAGCCTTAGATATGAGTGTTTTTGTATTTATGATATTCCCTACAACCTCCTACATATATATATAGTTATCAATATACACGTTATTTACAAGTTTGACTCATTATCCACCGTCTCCTTCTTTTCAATCCATTTAGGACGATCTCGAGAAATTATAAAAACATCTCTAAAATCAAGACCTTTATATATCCCAGTTTTTAACTCATTATAAAAATCTTCCGGGAAATTCTTAGGATCCAATAATCCTAAATCCTGTTGATTATATTTAACATTATGAACATGATGAGCAAGATCAGCCGAATACATCAATTCCCAAAATGATTCATTTATTCCTGATAATTTAAACCAAACAACAGCAGCAAATTTCAATTTATGAGTTTGTCGATTATCCGCATTTGTCCGGGTGATGCCAATTTTTTCACATTGATAATGATATAATGCTAATAAAAATAATAATTCCCGCTTGTCTTCAATTACTTTGATAAGTTGAGCTATCTTTACGGGAGTAGCTGTTGCTTCTAATGCTGCCATTTTGGCATCTGCTTCTTGCATTGTAACAAGGGCAGTCTTAAGTTTACCATGTATTCTATCAACTATTGAAGGTTTGGTTGAATTGTAACGTATTAAAGGTGTTATTCTTATCATTGGTTTAATGATACTAGAGCGATATGCTAATAAGCCTATACTTCTTCTAATCATCGCTTGTTGTTTGTTTTACAAAGTATGTATAAATCTCTTTCTTAAGGTACCCAGCCTTGGGTTCAACAAGAGATCAAATAATTTTCCAGTTGAATCTCAAAGTGCAACAAAAAAATTTTTTTTTTTCATCACCATCATCATCACATTACTCTTATAAAGCTTCACAAACTCCAAAGAGATTTTGTATTGTAAATAGAATAGAACAGATAGAGAAGAGACAATGTTGAGAAATCCAACAAGATTCTTAGGAAGAGCTTTATTAACAAGTGCTCGTACTTCCTTACGTATACCATCTACATCCATTTCCAGAGTAGGTGCCACCAAATTTCAATCCATTAAATTCTATTCCACCCACAAGAAACATGCAGATAAGAAAAAGGATGAAGGACCTCAAAGTATCTTAACCGAAGATATGTTAGCCAGAGCCGGATTTGAAGATATTGAAGCCAATAAAGAATCCAAGACTACAGAATCAGCTGAAACTGAAGAATCAGGTGATGAAAAAACAAAGAGAAAGAGAAGAAGAGCACAAACTTCAAAAGATATACAACGTGAAAGATATGCCAATATGTTTTATTTATTGAGTTTGGTAGGTGGGATAGCTGGTGTTGGATATATGTCCAGAGATTGGGATTCTGACAAAGAACAAGAAGAAATGGATGGTAAAGATATTGATAATGGATATACTCCACAATTAATGTATGGTAGATTAAACAAGAGATTAGGATCCTTATTTACATTTTTCTCCGAACCTGCTTTTGAAAATTTATTACCACCACCTGCTCCAGAAGCATATCGTCGTCCATTAACTTTGGTTTTAACTTTGGATGATTTATTGATTCATTCAAATTGGGATACTCAACATGGTTGGAGAACTGCTAAAAGACCAGGATTGGATTATTTCTTGGGTTATTTATCTCAATATTATGAAATTGTTATCTTTTCATCCAATTCTCAAATGTATTCTGAAAAAACTGTTGGAAAATTAGATCCTTATCATGCCTACGTTTCTTATGCCCTTTTTAGAGAAGCTTGTCGTTATAAGGATGGGAAATTGATTAAAGATTTATCATTATTGAATCGTGATTTAGCCAAGACTGTTATTGTTGATGTTGAAGAAGATACTGTTTCTTTACAACCTGAAAATGCCATTGTTGTTAATAAATGGGATGGTAAAGCTGATGATTATTTAATTTCTTTAATTCCATTTTTGGAATATTTAGCTACTCAACAATTTGCTGATGTTAGACCAATTTTAAATACTTATAAAGATAAATCTAAAATTGTTGAAGAATTTGCTGAAAGAGAAAAGAAATTAAGAGAACAATGGAATAAAGATCATAAACAAGCTGGACAACCAAATGCAGCCAATTTTATTGCTAAATTATTAGGTGTTCCACAAGTTGGATCAAAGCAATCAAAAATGCCATTGGATTTAATTAGAGAACATGGTCAATTACAATATGAACATTTCCAAAATTATTTACGTGAAAATGCTCATAAATTTTTGGAAGAAGAACAAAAATTAAAAGATGAATTTGGTAAAGTTACTTTAAATAAGTTGATTACTGAAGGTGCTCCATCTGCTGAAGATATTGCTAAAGCTCAAGCTGAAAGAGCTAAAGCTGCTGCTGGTGAAAATTAGAGTATATAATTGTAGGAATAGTTTTTATTGAAAGTAACTTGTATATAAGTTTGTGTAAACCCACCAAATACATACACAACAAATAGAAGTTTCAAATGTATATGTAGAATTTTTATGTTGAGCAGTTTTTTGCAGCCATTTTTGGGTATTCTAAGATTAAACAAAGCAAACGATAGTTCTTCAATTTATAGTTTCGTGGCACATTTATTTGGCCAATTGAGATTTAACACAAAAGAAGTAAGATTAACAGGATTGTACAAATGAGCAACATAAGCAGAATTTAAGCAATATTTCGCATACTGATACCCTAAACTCATATCTAAGTCTTATATATCAAAGTTGCATGTTCAACTAGGAATCTATACGGAACAATTCGACTCCGAACATCCGGACTTTTGAAGGATTAAATTCGGTAATTAATTAAATAAAAATGACAAAAATGAATTCATTTTTTATCTGATCCGAACTCGGAAAAATAGAAATTGGAATTTCCTTAAAAAATAATCTATCCAGTTGCAACTAACTTTTTCTGTATACCTGAAACGGTTAGGCAATTGACTGTAATGAAAGAAGACGCCTTACCCAACCGTATACTTCACCGTACAATATCTAACCACCGAGATTCTTCTTGTAACGATGAACTAAAATATTAAGGTACGACGAAGACGTCTAAGCATATTCTCATTGGAAAAGGTGTTCCTTGAATTTGCTCATTATTAAAACATGACATTGTATTCCTTTTGATAAAACAAGTCTTGGATTAGTAATAGTGGGCTCGTTCGCAGGCTATGTCCGAGGGAGATCTCTATTTTTCTAGAGATTGAAACCGAGGGTTGAGGCCTAAAAGAAGTAGAAAGCCCCTGGCTTTTGAAGGGAATTTATAAATTGTACATCTATATACAATTAGACATGTAACAAGTGTAAAAAAAATGGTTGCATTCTCAAAGTGAACCAATTTAGTGAGATTGGGTAGTAAATTATAATACAGCCAATCAAAGTCAATAGAGAAGTAAATCGGTAAACGAAATAAAAAATAAAATTTGTTGAGCATGAAATTACACAAAAATAATTTTTATCTTTTTCATCAATGTCTTCTTTTAGTTTTCCTTTATTAATAACCAACATCATATCCTGTTTATATTCAAACCCCTCAATTTACATATTACTTTTTCTTTCTATCAATTTGGTTCTTTCCATCTTTCAAGCTTTTATCCCATTAAACAACGAATACTTCAATCTTACAAAGGTCATTACCAATTACTAATCCCATACTTCCACTCAGTCAAAAGAAACTTCACGTTAATTCGCAGGGAAGAGAAAAAACTGCGCAAAATTTTTAATTACTCATACAAAAAAAAATAAATAATAAAAAAACGCAATGCTGAATACAAAGGGAACAAATTTAGCACCAAGACAAGCACCTTCTCCAATAGCAATAGCTTTATCTCCTACTTCTCCAGGTACTACTCCACAAAAACCACATCACCAGCAACATCAATATCAACAACATCATCATCAACAACCGCAACAACAACGTCGTATGATGATATCAAAGACAACAACAACAGCTGCTTCTTCTCCTCCTGGGACTACCAATTTAGTACCCAAAGGAGTATCTCAAATAGTTACATCAAGAGAATGGGTTCTACCTCCAAGACCTAAACCAGGAAGGAAGCCAAGTGTGGATACTCCTGCTTCTAAGAGAAAGGCACAAAATAGAGCTGCTCAACGTGCATTTAGAGAAAGAAGAGCAACAAGAGTTCAAGAATTAGAACAGAAACTTATGGAAGTTGAAAAAGAGAAAGATATTAAAGAAATGGGATTACTTAATACTATAAATAAATTAAAAGTAGAGAACCAATTTTTGTTAAAGAGTTTGGAACAACTTAGACAAGATGTCAATCAAATGAAGAACTCATCCCAATCAAGATATCAACAAGTACAGCCACAACAACAACAGCAAGTACGGAGTAGAGGATCACCGAGTGGACAACAACAAAATTCAAAACCTACTTTCTCATTAGGTGATCGTAGCAATCATGCATCACCAATGAATACATCATCACCTTCTAGTTCAACATATTCAGTCCAACAAATATCACCTGCTCCATCTGCAGATTCTCCTCCACTGTCATCCTATAATCATTCTGTCCAACCAAAACTTCTACCTGCGACAGCTGCTACATTGACTCCAATGTCAAAGAATAGTTCTCCAGATAAACCAGCTTCTTCAATAGATACATCAAACTTTGATTGTGGTATTTGTCTTAAGGATGAATGTTTATGTGAATCAGTTGGATTAAAAGATCCCGTTAAAAAGACAACCAATAATAATGATATTGAAAAGAATTTACAAGCACAACTTGATTCATTCCAATCAATGCCAGCAGTTTCATTATCATCCAGAAAGAGAAAGATTGTCTCAACTGATGAAGTTCAAGAAATCGATTTCACAAAACAATTTTCAACAAAGACAAAACCAATGCCTGATTTAAAGAAATTGAAAAAATCATCACACAGCCACAACCACAATACATCTATGCCTCCACCTTCTAGTGAAATAACTTCCAATTTTGATGAAGGTTCCCCCGTAGAAAATTGTGGATTTTGTTCAGATGATACCCCATGTGTATGTCGAGAAGCTGCCAAAGAAGCAGCCAGGTTGAATAATTCCTTAAATGAACCAATTCAAGAATCTAATGAAGAAATGGATCATCTTGAAATGAATCATAGCACACTCCCACCAATTCAATACAATAACAACAAATCCAATAATTTTTCAAGAGCAGCATTACACGTCATGCATCCTGGTCCATCGGTTGAAATTAGAGAGATTACGAATTTGACTCCAGGTGCAGTTCCGACAGTATTATCATCCAGACGTAATAATAATGATTCTTCTACTACGTTGATGACAAATGATTCTAGTAGTGAAAATAATGAATGCACGGGTAATCCAGGTACTTGTCGTCAATGTCAACTTGATCCAATGTCAACATTATTCTGCACAACTGTGGCCAGTAAGAATGAAGGAACCAATAGTCCAGCAAAAACATCATCCATTTCAAGAACTAGTTCTTCACTGGTGATATCATCGGGCATGCAACCGCTCTTGGCGGCCGCTAATGCCGCTGCAGCTGCATCGAATTCTACAACTGCTCCAGCTACCCCGGTGGCTACTAGTTTGAGTAATGGAAATAGCACCAGTATGAACTCTACCAATCTGGGGATTTTTATTCCTTGTGCTGATGCATATAAGACATTGTCTCGTCATAAGAAATTTAATTCGGTGGATTTTGGGACTTTGGTTGGAAAATTGACAACTAGGGGTATGCAAGTTGAAGTGCAATCTGTGGCTAATGTTTTACGTGAATTAGATAGACGGTTATATAATTAGGGTTTACTTGTATATTTTTTATTCTTCTTATGTTCTTTTTTTTTAAGGTTTCTATGGTTAATTTTATTTCATAATATGTTTGGATTGATTATTAGAGTAGATCTACGATTTTGTAAAACATTATAAAACATTAATATTTAAAAACATCATCAATACATAAATTATAAAAATATTCAAATAGTAAAATAGTAAAAACTCAAAATAAAAGATTGTTAAACGAATGTAAACTTATTCCCATGAACCAGGCATGGCATAACCTTCTCCTTCTCCTTTCGCATCTCCAGCATAAATTCCACTACTAGATTTCAAATCACCTTGCAATGTTGTCTTCTGCGATTCAACCTTTGGTAAAGCAACACTTCTTGGAGTTAAATATTCATCACCACTAACCAAGGTAGGAGGACCCTTAATGATAGTATTTCCTAATGAATCAGATGTATAATTAGCACCTTCATTCAACAAATGACGGAATCTAGCAGCTGGTTTCTCAACACTAGTACCACTCTCTGACGATGAATAACCATGATCTTCTTCTTCTTCTTCCATTTGCAAACCTCTAGACATTCCTGCACCTGCCACAGCTCCAATAGGTTCAGAAGAACCGGTATGCATTTCAGTTGACTTTATTGGTTCACCTTCAAGATCTAATGCACTATCAGATACACCAGCAAGTACCGGTTTAGTAATATCAGCTGAAGATTCAATTGTAGACTTGGCAAAATCTTGAATACTACCTCTTCTACCAGGTAATTGAACAGTTGCTAAATCAGGATAACGAACAATTTCTTTACCTTGAGGATCTAAAACATCACCAGTGGTTGCATCAACTTGAATTTCGGTCAAGTTATCAAGCTCATATGAATGGGTCTTTTGTAACCTAAATACAACTTTTCTAGCAAGTGATGTGGCAAATTCACTATCATGTACACCTTTAACATTGACATAAATATCTTCTTCGTTATCATTTTCTGGTAATCTATGCTTTCTACGTTGATGTAATGAACTAGCAACACCAGCGGCTCCTACACCTGCAAGACCAGCAGCCATAGCAGCTTCAGCACCACCAACTTTGTGAGATAATGGTTTATCACCTGTTGGCAATGGAGCACCTTCAGAAGGACCACCACTAACAGTTCCTCCTAAATCTTTCGAACCACCCATGTCTCTAGTCGTCATATCAGGTTGATCAACATCTGGTTTATAGATCTTCTGTTTATTCATATCAATAACCAATTTTCCGGCTGATAAATCAACACCTTGTTCATCTAACTTCTTGGAAACACTTTGTGCTGTCTTGAAAGCTTCACCACGATCTTGAATTCCAATAACATCAACAACTGCATCACCAGTGGTTCCCATATCTCTGGTTGAAGTATCCTTTCCACTCATGAAATCTTTTTCTTCTTGACTTCCAAGTTCATAACCAGGAACTTGAGCAGTGAGTCCAGTACCGAGATTTACTTTATCCATGCCTTGAGGTTGATCAAATCCAGAACCTCCCATATCAAGACTTCTTTCTTTTCCTTGTGTAGAACCAGAAATTTCCTTCGACAAATCACCAGTGTCCTTCTTCATCAACTTTGGATCTAATGATTTTGCAGCAAATAACTTATCAGCTGGTCTAATATGAGATGACTCTTCATAATCCACATCCTTGTCAGTATCACCTAATTCAGAATCTCCAAGTGGTTTAGTCACATTAAATTCTGCACCTGGAACATTCTTTCTCATATCTGTAGTATCACTTGTACCAACACCACCTGCTTGCAACATCCTCTCATCATGAACAGCTTCCATATCCTTTGATGACTTCATTTTATCTACTGGAATATCCATAGCTCTATCACTCACAGCGATTGCACCAACACCAGCCAATAAGGCTTCATCTTTAGTTGAAACATCCTTGCTTTGTGGAAGTTTTGCCTTTTCAATACCTTCTCCACTTGTTTCCATAGTACCTTTAGAAGCTGGTTTATGTTCAAACGATTTCTTATGTTTACCTAATGAAATTGAACCAAAAATACCCTTTGATGGACCGGACCAACTATGACGTTTTCCTTTAGCTGCTTGCATTTCTTGTTTTCCACTAGGAGTAGCTTCTTGAGTATCAGAAATACGTCTACTCTTATCTTGTTCAACACCGAGTTGTTCACCTTGAGCACCTTCTACGTCCTTCTTCTTGGCACCATGAAGAGCAGCAGCAGTTAAAACCGTGGCACCACCAATACCAGCAGCAATCTTAGCCTCATTATGATTACCTTTTTCGGAAGAATACTCGGGCCAGGCATTCTTTGAACCTCTTTCCATTGAACGATCACGAGCACCAAGTTCACTCGAACCAATAATATCCGCATCTGCTTCCGGTAATTCCTTATCTACATCAGGTACGTTGACTTCATCCTCTGGTTTCGAAATGTGCGTTGTTCCTAATGCACCGGCAACTTCAGTTGGTAATTTATCTATCAGACTTTCTTTCATATTACCCTCTTTCTCAAATGTTGGAGTCTTTACATCACCCTCCTTCATAACAGTTGGAGATTTAATATCACTTTCCTTCTTGGATGTTGGAACCTTGTCTTTAGACTTCTTTCTGGAATGGAAAATACCACCACTAAAGATACCCTTCTTGGAACCAGATTTAGAAGTTGTCATATCTTGAGCTTTTGAACCTTCAGGAGTCTTTGCTGAAACCGAACCACCTGCTTTAATGTCTTCACTAGGTACACTCATGTCTTTATCAATATTCATATCTTTACTAGGTGCATTCACGTCTTTCTCGATATCCAAGTCTTTATCTGGCTTCATGGCACCATATGCAAGAGCACCACCAGCAGCAGCTGCAGCACCAGCAAGACCACCAGCTTCTGCCAAACTTAATTCAGGCTTACCTCCAGTACCAACTTCTTTTTGATGATCCATCAAACCACTTGTCTTTGCATCACCTGATGGCATATCAAGCTTGCCACCTTCTGGAATTTCAACACCTTCTCTAAGCTTTGGTTCACCGGAAATATCACATTCATTAATAGGTTCATCAATATTCTTGGACAAATTCTCACCAGTAACGTCAAGTTCAGGTTCTAATTGCTTACCCTTTTCTGAAGTATCAGCAGCGTGGTGCACACCCATACCAACCTTCGTTTCAAGATCTTTCAATTCTTTGTCAACTTCAAGCTTGCTTTCATGTTCGACATCACCTGGAGCTGTCATATCCAATTTATCACTTTCTGGTTTGTTAGCCATTGGAGCAGTAACATCCACATTAGCAGCCTTATCAGAGATTGATTCTTTTGGAACTTCTTTCTTACTTGGACTCTTCTTACGGAATAATGAAGCACCAAAAATACCCTTCTTTGGAGAACCAGACTTGTCTTTGGAACCGGAACCAAATAATGAAATACGCCTATGTTCTTCACTTGGACTAGAACTCTTCTTCTTGGAATGATCAGAAGGCATATCAGTGTCTTTGAGATTCAAATCACCAGCATTAGCATCTAACTTCATATCTTTATTTGGAATATCCGTACCCATCTGTTTCTCAATTCCTTTATCTTTAACATCAGCATTAAGACCTTCAGATCTCTTATCTTTGGCTTCCATAGCTCCTAAACCAACTAAACCTGCAGTTCCAGCAGCAATGGCAGCAGTCCCTTTATCAATATTAGCATTTGTACCGGCCTCAAAATCTTTCTTAGAAATACCAGCATCCATTCCTGAAGTACCAATGTCTTTATCAATTCCCTTATCTTTAACTTCTGCATTAAGACCTTCAGCTTTCTTGTCTTTAGCTTCCATAGCTCCTAAAGCAACTAATCCAGCAGTACCAGCAGCAATTGCAGCAGTACCTTTATCAATACCAGTATCACCATGAGTACCTAATCTTTCTTGGGCATTATCAAAATCTTCCTTCATTCCCTTGAGATGTTCTTCATGTTGAGTACCAGCAGCTGACATTTTACCTCCCATTTCAGGCATATCGAAATCCTTCTTGGCATTAGCATCAGAAGTAGGAAGTTGAGCTCCAGTAGGAGTCTGAGTGGAAATTTCGGAACTAACTATTGGAACATGTGATTTTGGAGGCAGCATTTTCAAAAGCGAACCTTTTGTGGTATCCATTGGTTCATAAAGGTCTTTGGATAATTCCTCATCATGCATCATGCCCTTTGGCAAGTGTTCACCAGCATCAATATCCATTCCTGGTTTATCAATTCCCTTTGCATTAACATCAAGATCTGGCTTACCCATTTCCTTTGCATTCATATCAATATCTGGCTTATCAATCCCCTTGGCATGAACTTGAGCATCCGGATTAATATTACCTTCGGCACCTAAATCAACGTCTGGTTTCTTAACATTCTTACTTTCATCCGTAGAAGATCTTCTCAAATGTAAAACATCACCAATCTTTGAAAATAAACCTTTCTTTGAACCTTCTCTTGAAGCCGACTTAGGTCTTTCAACACCACCAGAGACACCAACTGATTTATCAACATCACCTGATACATTAGCTTCATTAATGTTCTTGTCCAACTTTTCACCGGCTGAGATATCTCTTGATTTCAATTCTGGTTGAGAAACATCACCTCCTTTTCCACCAACTTGTAATTTCGTATCAACATCAGGTTCAAGTTTACCTAAATTCATATTCGCATCCTTCTTATCCAAACTGGCATCTGGACCTTCCAAATTAATATCCTTATCAGCATTGATATCTTTATCTTTACCTTTACTTAAATGCATACCTGCAACACCTGCACCAATTCCAGCAGCAGCAATACCAGCACCAACACCAGCCATACCTTTATCAATCTTGGAATCAGAATCTGGTTTTGTTCCTTTCAAGTTCACACCCGTATCGACGTTTGCATTAGCACTGATATCTTTATTCATATTCAAATCTGGCTGAGAAACATCACCTCCCTTTCCACCAACTTGTAATTTGGTATCCATATCAGGTTCAAGTTTACCAAAATTCATATTGGCATCTTTCTTATCCAAACTAGCATCTGGGGCATTCAAATTGATATCTTTATCCATATTGCTATCTTTATTCTTTCCTTTATCCAAATCCATACCTGCAATACCAGCACCAATTCCAGCAGCAGCTATACCAGCACCTACACCGGCCATACCTTTATCAATCTTGGAATCATAACCTGGTTTTGATCCTTCCAAATTCATACCCATATCTTTATCCATATTAGCATTTGCATTGATATCCTTATTCATATTTGCACCTTTTGGAAGATTCACATCACCTAAATTCATCCCCATGTCTCTATTCATATTCGCATCCATATTCTTATTCATATCAACATCCTTCATATCAATACCTAAATCTGCATTTGGTTTCGTCATACCCAGATCGGCATCTAAATTCTTACCCTTGATTCCATCTCCTTCAACATTCAATGCTCTTCCTTCAGCATCCAAACCACCACTCCCTTGAATGTCCATATCACCTCTTCCTCCAACCAGAGCATCTGCAACTTCTGAATGTGAAGGTAATTCACCACCGGCATTACCACCACTACTTTCAGCAATCTCAAGTAAGGATTTCTTTTCATGAGCATGACCATGTTCGATATTGAATTTAGCTACATCATCTTCTGTCTTCTTAAAACGGGAAGTTTCTTTAAATTCAGCACCTTCTGCATCCTTAGCAACATCTTCAGAAGCAACTCTTGGTGGTTGATCAGCAGTCGTGGAACCAGTAACACCCACTTCTCCTTGATGAGGTGGGAGTTTTGCAATATCGGGAGAAACCTTTTGAGCTCCTTTAATCAATGACTCATCATGACTAGTGGTTGTTGGTTGATCGTCATGATGATGTGGTTTCTTACCAAATCCCAAATAACCAGCTGCTGTTGATAACATACCTACAGGAGTAGCAGTACCTGACCCAGTATTAGAGCCAGTACCAACACCGACACCACCAGTACCGGAGATGTTTTTAGTTGCAGTAGGGGAAGAAGGAACATTTCCAGAAATGTCAGTACCACCAGCTCCAACGTCAACATCGGACCCACCTTCATGATATCTTGGTGTTTCAATTGAAGCATCATGAGCAGTCAACACAGAAGCATTAGCTGGATCTTCTCCTAATCTTTTTCTTATTTCTTCATGTTGTTTCATTTGGTTGTCAATGTCTGATAATTCTGGATTTTGATTTTCTGAGCCATCAAAATTTTGTGGGCTGCTACCAGTGGTTGCAAAATCACGAGTATTTAAACCAGTAGTAGGTTTCAACAGGGGATCAGGAGCAGCTTTGACTGATTTTAAGTTTGCATTGGTTTCAGCTTGCATTTGATTAATATGACCTTCTACCTCACGATTAGTGTCAAGGTTACTTTCGGGTCTAGAACCGGCTAAATCGTCATAATGCAGAGAACCTTCACTTTCAGCATTAATTACTGGCAATGTGTCATGTGCACCTCCGCCTTCTTGTAAATCTTCTCCTGAAGGAGGTACTTTTCTTCCCATTGGTTGATGATGGACATTGGGAGGAGTAGTGATAACTCTACCTACAGAAGTTTCAGTAATTACTTCTTCTGGTTTATGTTTTACCTTAATTGTCTTTTGACTTTTGTCTGCGGTAGTAGAAGAAGACCCAGTTGGTGGTTCTGGAGCTTTACGGTGCAATTGGAAGAATTTACGTCCTTCTTGTAATACTTCATCAACAGCATCTTCATTTGTATTATTATCATCTCCTTGTTGTAGTGGTTCTTTTTGTGTTTGATCTTTTGATTTTCTTCTGAATGGGTTTATTTTATGTAGTAAATTAGAATCAGAACTCATAATGGAAAAACTAGCTTTTTTTTATGGGGTTTTTTAGTTTAATAACAAATAGTAATAATAGTAAAAGTCAATTGTCTTGTTATAGTAGATTAGCTTACTTTGTAATAGTCAATTGAGAAAGAAAGCTAAAGATTTAAAAGAATTTGAAAACTTGAAAACTTGAAAACTTTTATTGAAAAAGTGGAAAGAAGAGTGAATTTTCATGATTTACTGAAACTGAATGACTATATGAACTGCTACTACTAGAATATATTCTTCTATATACAGTATTCTATTGGAGAGGCTTTTTTTAGAACAATTTTAAAGTTTTTTTAATGAAATTGCTGTATGATTGTAAATGTAATCGTATGTGCAATAATTATCTTTCCTACCCCCCTGAAAATTTTTTAAAAGTCATTCGTTCATCAGCCTACCTGCTCCCCACCCCACAAATTACTGAAAAATTTGATTTGCTAATTTTCATTGATTCTAGTAGAATTCTCTTAGACAATTTCATTATTGTGTAATTATACAATAGATGAAACAATCCCACATCAGGTGATACTTGGACTACTTCTGCTATTGCTGTTGCAATTAGATGCTCATCAATCCTAACTCTTGCTGCATAAAAATAGATCTGTCAAATGATTGCCTCATCTGGAATGACGTCAGTCAATAACCCCCAGGAAAAAAAAAATAATACAATGCCGATTATTACAGTTTTTATGGTCAACAATGAAAACCCCCCCTTTGAATCACTCCTTTGCAATTGGATTTAGAGATCTTCCATAAGTAGTATGAGGTAGAGTGATAGCAAAATTGATGATTGCAAAATTGCTTTGTAAAATGAAATAATGAGGTTGATTAACGAGATCGATCTCTCTTTACAAGATATTAGACAACAGGTTAAACCCATGGCTTAACGTAGATACATGCCCCATTCTCTCATCACACATACAAGGGAAAGACTAACCGAAACTATTTCCTTAAATTGTACACTGGAAGGCATCATGTTATTAGCCTAGTATCAACCATTTCTAAATATAGACACCGTATAAACAAACCCTAATTGACTCTATTGAAGAAGTATATAGCAAATTGGTAATAGTATAAATAAATCTATGAAGTAATTAACCCATCTTATTTATACTCGGGCATTTTATTACTTTTATTATAAATCAACCTCGTAACTAACCATTCTAAACTTTCTTTCAATCCTTGATTTTCCAATACACTAACCGGTAACAACTTCGAATCAGTTGCTTCTAATTCACTAACCAATTTAATAAAAACACCAGTCTTCAAAGAAACCAAATCAACAGCTTGTGGTAAATCTTGTTTATTTGCCAACATTAAAATTGGGACATTTACCATTGATCCGTTTGCCTCTTCATCAATCCAACTATCATCATTAGCAATATCAATTAATGTTTCATAACATTCTTGAAATCTTTCAGTATCAGTAGAATCAATTATGAATATTATTCCATGACATTGTTTAAAATATCTTGACCACATACTTCGAAGTGATTTTTGTCCACCTAAATCCCAAAATTTAAGATTTATATTTTTAAATTGTGAACTTAATTGAGTTTCTAACGATGATTCAAATTTGATAGTTGTGGTGTTTTGTCCAACTGTAGGTAAGATTCTTTTACCTTTTAATATATCAGATGTGGTTCTTTCTGTTTGTTCAGCCAGTTCATCCTGAGAATTCTTTCTCTTTTTAATGCTACTCCTCCTTTTGGAATCGCTACTGCTTGAAGATGGATATAGTAGTTTTACATGTTCTAAGAAGGTTGTCTTTCCAGCATTATCTAATCCTAATATTAGTATATTATATTGTTCGCGTTTCGTATATTGTGTATATAATGAAGATGCTAAATGAAACATTTTATCCTTCCTCTTTCTTTCTATAAATTAAATAAATATGCAATGCAAGTTGAAACGACAATATGAACAATGAAGAGGTAAGATAAAACAAGATGGACCCTTAATTAAACGTGTCTTTATCAAATACCCTTTCTTGTTCCAGTCCACCCTTGGGGTTTAATCTAAAAAAAGAAGTCGAGTCTTTATTTTGTTGTCAATTTTTCGAATTACCGAAATTACCCGGAAATAGATTTTCTTGGTAGATTTAAGGCTTGAAAAAAATTCTTTTACATTCACTCATCTCTCTTCTACTTCTTTCTTTTCAAGAAGACATGGAAAAACCACAATGATGTTTATATGAATTGATATCTATACACTATAAGTATACGTTCATATGAACATAATCTAGTTGGTAGTAAAACTTTCAAAAGGAGCAAATTTAATCCTTTTTCTTTTTTGTTAAAATGATGATTAACTTGATAGGGACAACTGAGTTCAAAGAACATTGAAGATAGTTGTTTAAAAGATAGTAGAAAACATATCTGAATACAAAAAGAGAAAAAGGATTTGCTTTCTTTTAAACCTAAGTTTTGACATTACTACTAATGTGTATCATAAAGAAGATATAACTATACAATTTGACTATATCTTTTCGCTCTAAACGTTCTTTTTTACAAGATCAGTCTTTCCAATAAAGATATAAGCAACAACAAAATAGAACCAAGCAAGAATCACTAATATGGTAGCAGCCATATAATACCAAGCATTAGTGATATTCCAAGATCTCTTGAATTCATCATTTGCTAAATGTCTAACAGTAACCACTCTCTTATCTTCCAAATAACTTAATCCTACTCTCTTATAATCTAATTCAAAAGTAAACATACCATGATGATCAGGAAGGGTGAAATTGACATAATAGGCATATGCATCCAAAATTTCATCATCTTGAGATGAAACTGGGCCCAATGGTAATAAATTAAGTCTTTGATATGGATCTAACATCTTGAAAGATAATTGTAATTGATCTTCATCATTCTTGACTTCAAATGGATACCATCTCCCATCATGATACTCGGAAACACCAATTGTATAAATAACTTGATCTTTAATTCTATATAATGTAGAATTAACATCTTGAGGAGAATCAGCTTTATGATGTTGAACAAATTGTAATTTTAATACACCTTGTTGTTGGAATGTCCATTTATATAAATCTTCTTCGGCTAATAATTCCTCAGAACCAAGCCAAACTAATCTAGCATTATTTAAAGCTTGTAATCCAACAGCTAAGAACCCTTGTTCTCCAAAAGTCCAAGTCTTACCTTCATCAACTGGAACATTTGCCTTATAAGTATATCCAGTAGCTGAAGATCTTAAAATTGGGAAAAGATATTCATTATTTGAAATTAAGGCAGCATTACCATTATAATCCTTAACTTTCAAATCTTTAATAATCCTATTTCCTGGGACAACATTTAAGTCTTGATTTAATTGAACTTCACCATTTTTAGAATTAAAATGATCAATATATTCATAATTCTTAGGAGATGGGAAAATTCCTAATTCATTTAAGAAATTTCTAATACCTTCTGGTAAAACACTTTGAATTCCACCAATTGCTACAATATTACCATTTGCATTTATGAATTTCATTAATTCAAATTGGGTTAAATTTCCCTTATTTTTAATGGCTTTTTTAGAACTTGGAAACAAGAGTAAATGATCATATGCTTTTAAACCGCCTTCAACAATGATAGATGCAGGTTCATCATAATTTGATAATGAAACATCATATTTCTCATTTAAATGAGTTAAAAATTTATTAACTTCTGATGAATATGTTGTAGAATCATTAAGTTTGTTTAATACTGGATCATACAAGACAAGAACATTTTGTTTAGCTGCTAATGTTACTTGAGTGAAAGTAACCAATAACAATCCCAATAGGAAATTCAATTGCTTCAACATTTGTTTGTATTTAGTTTGACAATTGATAAGACTTCTTAGGGGGGCCGTTGGTTTTATATTTTGTTGAAATTTATGTTTTTGACAACTGGTCTCTTTTTTTGACGTGTAACCTGAAAAATTATTATATGCAGGATACTAGATTTTTAACTAGCGGAGTTGCCTATACAAGAGAGAATTAGAACAGGCAATTCTTTAAAGGAGATAATACATATTAAAATGTGAGCATATCAGAGAGTTGTATTCAATGTAGCTGAGAGACTAAAAGAGTTCCAACTTTCAAGAATTATTTTTAGGTATTAGTTTCGCTCATAGAAACAACCAAATAGGGTCTAGTAACTGATGATTCCCCGAGAAAAAGAAATCTGACTCGTACTCATCACACTTCTTTTTCAGTACCAAAGATAAATCACAATCTTATATACATACAATATAGCCAAAATGACCATCAAAGTTAAAGTAGAGTTCTTGGGAGGATTAGATATAATATCCAACTCAATCAGAGAACATAAATGTACTATCCCTTATGAAGAAGGTGAAGCAACCATGAAAGAATTAATAGATCATATAACAAAAACAATCATCAATGATCCTAAAGATATCCCAGTCTTTATTGAAGATGGAACAGTTAGACCAGGTATACTTGTACTCATAAACGATACTGATTGGGAATTAGAAGGAATGGAAGAATATGTAGTTGAAAGTGGAGATGTCTTTACATTTACCAGTACTTTACATGGTGGTTAATGTGTACCCTTTTGTATTCATTTGTGTATTATTAGTTAGAGAGAAATATAATTAGATAGGAACTAATCGACACCCTAATAGACCCTGACCATCCCATTTATCTGTTGGTTTTAATACAAGATTAATCCTTTCATCTCCTCGTTTTATATCCACATTTATATTTTGATCTTGTTTAGAACGAACTCTAATCACCAATTCGGCAAGCTTTCTATTATTGACAGCATGTATATCATTATCAAATAAAATAATCTGATCTCCTTCTTTTAATCCCGATTTCTCTGCTGGTCCACTTGGTACTATTTGACTTACTCTCGCAAATGGAATAGTATACCGTTGAGTCAATATTTGTCTATCGGCTGCAGGGCTTGATGTCTGTTGTTCTTGTGGCTCTTCTTCAACTTGGTCTTTCCTCGATGCAAACTCTTCTGCCATTTTCTGCTCCAAAAGATGAATAATCAGTTTATCATCATTTCTTAATCGAATAATTCGTACTCTAATTAATCTAATACTAACAACATCAATATCACTCCTGGGGAACCCATCAATTGTAACCAATTTAGTCTCCATATCAGCATTATATTTCTGTCTTAATAAATCAAACAAAATAGTTAGTTGTGATTCAATTTCTGTTTTGAGTTGGGAGAGTTGTTGAAAGTTTAATTGATGGAAACTTTCAATGTCATATTCTTTGAATTGATTGCTGTCTAAGTTTAATGCTTGCATAAGCCCATTGAATGAGCTCTCTGTAACATCATGATCATCGACTGTCATATTTACAAGCTTACTCCTTTTAAGATGATAAATCAGAGAGAAAGAAGTAAGTCAAATTGGTGATGGCAAAATCTATATGATCGCGTTTTTTTCGTGTCAGATATTTAAACTATAAATACTATACAAAACTGTCTATAAATACCACAAGCACAACGCCCCACTGCTCTACAATGTAACATTATCTTCAGTACTTAAAGCGAATGAATAAGTACTCACCTCTTCAACATCATCCTCTTCATTTCCTTCACTAATCTCATTCCATGACGCAGTAGTCAACATAACAAACCCAATAATCACAAGTAAATCGCCAAATAATTGTTGGAATCCTAATTTATTTCCAAATACCCACCATTCAACAATTCCAATTAAGAAAATAGTCAACAAAGAACTGACTGATGAAAGCACTGGACTTGTTAATGCCATAAGTGATAAAAACGAAGCACTGAACAAAACATTACTTATCATAGATCCGGAAATATAAATCCAAATCCGTCTTGTATTTTCACCATAATTAAAGAAATTGAAATTATGAATATGAAATACTTGACCGATTATAATTAATGTTAAAACAATCATAAATGTAAAAATACCAAATAATCCCATTATAAAATTCGCAAATGTCAGTTGACGCCTTGGAGTAATTATCTTAGTTAAATGATAAGGAATACAAAGATATTTCTTATACAACACTTCATAATATCCATATAATACTGCCCCGATAAGTATAAGTAAATTTCCCCAAAACCGGTATGGATAAAGAGTCTCGTCTTCTGTCTTGGAATCAGCACCGGAATATGCCACAATAAACACTCCCGTAATTGCAATAATCACGGAGCTTGCCTTCAACCACGAAAACCTCTCATTCAACAATGGGATAGCAAATGCATATGCTGTAAACGCCGAACAATTATAAATAGCAGTCACATCAGCCGCATATGTCATTGACATTGCTCCATACCATGTAAAACCAGCCACGGTAAGTACGGTAGTGATTATAAATGCTTTGATTAGAACATATTTGATTGAATCAGTTTTGAAGAATGCTCTGACGCATTGTGAAATTGAACTTGAATGGGGGATATGTTCACTGTTTTCAATTAGGTGATTAAGGTGAATGGTTGTCCTATCGCCCTTGACATTCCCTTGGTAGATTAAGATTGATGTATGATAAATATTATGAAATTGCTTGACTATACAGTTCCTGAAATATGTGAAGTAGCTTGTTGTGGCACTGCCGCCATGTTCACCCCCCTCTAATAGTTGACTTTCAGAACTTAATCTTTGGTAATGTGCCTGTCGATGCAGATCTCTATTAGTTCCTCCACGATCTTTTTTATATTTCTGAAAGGTTCTAAATAACGAGATTGAAATGATTTGAATTGGCCAAAATAACCACCAAGATCCATGAGTGACCAATAATAATATTAGCGGTTCTTCAAAATTAAGCAAATATGCTTGGGATGTGAGTTCGGTTTGCATCACAAACAGGGCCAATGAGATCATAAATAAGATCGCAACTAATACGATCTTAGTTTTGGACGTATGATAAGATCCTGCTTCACCCGGACTTCCGTTTTGTTGATGTTGCTCTAGTAGATTTGTTATTGCCATCTTAGTTAATAGCTATACCTGTTTATATATGTTTCGATCCTTGCGGTAACATTAATGGCTCGGCTTGGCTTGAGCTTCTAGAAAAAGAAGAGTGACGTGATAATAATTTTAGTCGTGCTCGTAAGTAACTGAAATCATAATCTTTTTTTCCTTTCATAAGGGGCGCTACCACTGGGCTACAATACAACCACTATTGTTGTATAGCTTTCCTAATTGATATGAGTAAAAAAAAAAGAAGAAATGAAGAAAAGAAAAGCATTTGTTTTACTCTCTATCTCTCCATGAAACACTGGAGGCAGTCGTGGATGTCAACATGATTGATATATATTTAGAGAAAGCATTTGCCGAAGCTCTACTAATTAAAACTACAACCTTTGAGTCTAGTGAAGAATGGGAAATATATCAAGCAGACGCTAGAACTGATCCAGAGAAAGCATTTGTAGTTGAGGTTCAAGAACCTTTACTATGGGTGTATCTATCCGAATCACAAAACAAGAATGCTAAGGCTTTCATAAGAGTAGTAAAGAAATACTATCAGAGATGGTGTGAGGATAAATTGAGATTTCAGATTCCAGATGAAGATATTGTTACTGCCGAAATTGCAGTCTATGACAAAGGCGGAATCGCGAACAAACCAATGAATATCACGAAAGCTAGAAACTATTGCAAATGGATTATTAAGAGAAACCAGTTGGATAAAGAACGTCCACATCTATTTAGTCCCATTAAGAGAAGAAGACTTAGAAAATCACGATGATCGGGTATACCTAGACAACATACAGCTGTTATGTGTATTTATTTGGCATTCAAATTATGCCACGACTATACAAGAATTTCAGTTTGTCCAGAGCCTATAGTGAATTTTATATATTTCTTAATACATATAAGAGAGTAAGCGAATGAACGGATCTAATGTGTTGCTATTCTACATATGCAATCACTATCACTTTCAAAAGAACTATTAAAATCCTCTTCATTAGGTTTCGGCTATCTGAACCAACTTCAAATTTAATCATTTCTTCAAGATAACATTTCCTGGGTGGGGGAATATATTGTTGAACGAAATGGCTCGGTTTTATCCAGATTTCCCTTCCCCTAATGCAGTTCTAAGAGATATATTTAGTGACTCTATTGAAATCGTTAGTTATCTTTTTCGCTTAATTCACAGCGCTACCACCCATGTTCCGATAGCCACTCTGAACTAACAAATCAGGTAGGAGAGTATATTCAAGTAGTAGCTGATGATGACTCATA